AGGGTGGGCGTCTGGGATCTAGGGCTGGGGAGCTGCCACAGCACGGCAGCTGCAGGCGCCTCTGGCACGATTCTCAGGGATCACCCCAGTTCGTTTTGCATCGACCTAGCCCCAAGCACGCCTAGCGCGTCCCGACGGAACGGCACGCTGGTTGACTGGTCGGCGGGTTACATTCAGCCCCCAGGATGCTCCATTTTCCTGCATGGGATGCAACACAAACGGTACCTCCAATTCGACGCGGGGGGCTGGTCTCATCTTCCACGCTCTCATAGTGCACCTCGTTTCTTGGCGTTACAACGCTCCCTCTTTGAAAGTCGTGCTGTGCCGTGTTTTGGCATCCTTACGGTACTCAGGGATTTCGGTTTCCGCAAGCTGTGTGCACTCTTCTGTAACCCGGTACCCTTCGCTCTCCCCGCTTTCTAGCCTGATTGCGTCAACCAGTCTTTGCCGTCCGTAGGCTGTCGGTCAACTATGCGCGCAGAGGTACCTCAAAGCTGGGGTGAGTGGGAGGGTTAGGCATGTGTAGTGTACCACAGTTGCGTGCCTGAGAGAGAGAGAGAGAGTGTGTGTACGGAGCATGTGCGCGTGTTTGAGTGGCCGCATATCGGTGACCAAGCCTGACCTGTTGGGGCGCTTGTTTCGGCTACTGGCCTGTGGTCCTCGCCTGAGTGTGTCTCCTCCCACAAGGCACCGGCAACCAGTGATGAAAAGATGTCGTTGTTTTTGGCTTGTTGATCCTGCTGGGAGCTGTGCCTGGCCGGGCCGTTAAGGATTTGATCCCATGTAGAGATTAGCCACGCCTGTGATGAATTTAGCGCAGGATTCGGAGCCTTGTGTCCTGTCCACAATTTGCCGGTCGTTTTCCACCTGATGCCGTTCTAGCGCGACCAGCTTCTCCCGTCTCCAGGGTTGTGCTGGTCTGGGCACGAGGAGCCTGACCGTGGTGTGCCTTTGAGCACTGACTGAATTTTATGCTTGCCGTGAATTCTGAAGCGAAACCCATCTTGTCAACCTCTCATGATCGGCAGTGTCCACCACGGAACCAAGATCGCGCCAGTCAGCCAGCCCCGGTTGCCGCGAGCTAGGATCGCCTCGCCCATTTTTTACCAGCCCGCCATCCGGGCATGGGTCAAGGGCCACATAGGGGCCCAGGTGTGTCGTGTTCTTCTTCCAGTCCCGATGTTGGGCAAGTCCATTGAGGGCTCTGCGGCCGGCCATATTTTGGCTTCAATGATGCGGCCCGAAAAAGGGGGGAGGGCACATCGGGGCGTGATAGGCCGTGGTGCTCGTACTTTGCCAAATGGTACTATGTAGATCATGCATGGTATGTGAGCAGCGCCGGCATGCTCGCTTAGGGGCTGATTCGAGGTCCCGCTGGCGCTGGCGCCCGCGCACATGACATATCCGGGACGCGGGAGGTGAGGCAGGCATCCCGGCTCTGGCAACACGTCGATCCAAGCCCACCGGAAGATGCTCCCGAGATGATGCGTCTGTGGTGCGTTGGGTGTTGGGTTGGGACGATTGCGGCGGTTCACGAGCAGTTTATTAGGCGGTGGTTGTTGGGAGGAGAGCAGGCGGGCGGGCGAGCAGGCGAGCAGGCCGTGTGCGCGCCTAATTTCCGGGTATTAGTGCGGTCTGTGCTGAGCCATGCGTTGTTTTGCCGTGCTGCTGTGTACCTAGGTATCTAGGTACCTAGGTACTGTGTGTCTGGCAGTGTGTGTCTGGGCCAGGAGTCCAGGACAACAGCTCCCATTCGGCGCCCACCGAGTGAGGAAGCGATGGAGGGTGGTGAGGAAAGGAATGTCCTTGTTGCCCATTAGTGCCGATTGCGCAGATTAGTCTGGCCTGCTCGCTATCTCTCCCGAGGCCTAGTCCCGTTCGAGGCCATCCCCCCTCCAGCCCCAGCTGCCCCAGCAGCAGCAGCATCGCCTTCCCCAGACCCCATGTGTCGAGCCATCCCAGCCCGCAACCCGAGCCCGGCTGCATCCCCCTTTATGCGTTCATAAAACCCAATGGTCATCACGTCGGTTTGTCAGGCATCTGGCATGTGCGTGTGGGTGTGCGTGCGCGTGCATGTATTCGTGACAGGACGGGAAAGAAGGGGGGAGGGGGAGGGGGGAGGGGGGGTTGCGGTGGTGCATGCACATGTGGTTTGGGATGGGCTGGCAGGCTGGATGGGGGTATGTAGGGCAAGGGCGACGACTGACAAGATGATGACGGGAACGGTCGACTGGTCAAACACCGAAATGGCCCGTCGTCAAATCACAGCCCCTGCCCCAAGCTCCAACGGCGGCCCACCTCTGATGCAACGCCCAGCGCCTGCCTGAGCCAGACTGCAATCCGTGCTTCTCCGCTGGCGACGATCTGTTCCTCATGGGCAACTGACAGGGTTCCCTGAGCCTCTCAGTCCCTTCAGTCCCTTCAGTCCCTCCGGTCCCTCTGGTCTCTCCAGTCTCTCCAGTCCCTTGAGTCTCTCGGACCCCTGTTTCGCTCTGGGTTGCCGATGGACAGAGCCAATCTCCTCGTCCCGCAATGTCTTTTCCTCACCCACTGCCTAGCGCCCCTAGCCGTCTTCCCCGACCTTCACCCATCACCCCTTCCCGTGCAACCGTGCAACCGTGCAACCGTGCTTGCCTCGCCCTGCTGCCCACGCACACGCACACGTACCCTATGCTGTGCTGTGCCGTACCCCGTCTACATCTCATCCCGTATCTCCTTCTCCCCGCCTGCATCTGCATCTTCAACTTGTCTCATCTTGTCTTGCCCCCCAGTCTGCCCACCCACCCAATGGCGGACTCCCCTCTTTGTTTCTGGCTCACCGTTCGACGGCCCCTTGACTGATCCTGACTGGGTGTGAGGCCGTGGCCATGCGTCGTATGTAATCGCTTCCCCGCCTGTCACGAGCAAGAGACAGAAAGATCAGCCGTTCCCTGGCCAGGCACTTTATGTCAACTATGTCACCTCATCCAGACCTGTCCAGGGTCTCCAGACAATCTGTGCCGCCTGCCCGCTGCTAATTTCCTCTTCATCTCAGCGGTACCCTGTCTGGGCTGTCTGGCTGTCTACCTCTGATTTGTACTCCGTACATGAGGTTGACAGCAGCACTGAGAACCTGCTGCCCGACCGAGGCTGCTTTGGGCTGAAGTCATCGTCAGTGGCCAGCTCGATCCTCGACCACTCATCATCCCGGCCAGCGTCCCAGCCGCACCTGGCCTGGGCTGCGTCCCCACTCGCCCTGTCCATGTCTCCTGGGGTCTCGCAATTGCGCCTCTGATATTCAAGTACTGGTGCTGGAGATTTGTCTGGCATACTGCGTACTGCGTACTGCGTGCTGTTATTACCTGGTATCGACCGCACTGACGCCGCAGCTAGTGTTGCTAGCCGAGGACTGCGTGCGGCATGCTGCTCTTGCGGCCCGGGCGGTCTTTGCCCCGAAGACCCTGCCATGACATGGGGACTCGGTCTGGTTGCATGAGAGCTGGAGAAGGGCTTCCCAGGAAAACTTGCCAAATCCACCCTGCGATCTGCCCTACCCTGCCTGCCTCTCGCGACCCTGCTCCATGGGGCTGAGAGCCAGCCGGATTGGGAACGACCACGGCCCACGTCAATAACGCGTACCCACCTGGCCTCCTGCCGCACTCGCTTCTGCCATTCGCGCTGTCAGCACCTCAGGCGTGCTGGCCACCATATGAGCAGCACCCGGGCGACAGTGAGGCCTTAAGTCCGAGTCGGCGCCCGGGATATGGTCAGCCCAACCAGCTATACTATGTATCGCTGGACGGTGGCTCGTGCCCTCGCTGAAGAGGCGCACTCTAGCGACCACACTGGCGACCGCACTGGCACCTCAACATTGCCTGGACCTTTGGATTTTAATGTCAAATCTTAGAGGGGCTGGTGGTCCAAGTCACCCCACTGTCGGCTTTGTCCCGTTCGCTCCGTTGACCTAACTTGTCGTTCTGTATCTCTACGCGACCCGGAGTGGAGCAACGCGAGGACCCTGTCTTCTCGCCGACTTCAACAAGCCCCTCCCCCCAAAGGACCCGAGGACGGAACCCACTGCGAGTTAGAAAAAAATGGTGTGGCCTGTGGTTCATGGCTTATCGGCGGCACAAAAACTTCCACCTATTTCCGGCTCCCATCCGCACCCGCTGCCCCAGAGACCCCGGCCCACTTGGCGGCAGCCCCAGTATATCGCACACATAGTACACATCGCAACGGCAGCAAACACCCCCCGGGAATGACCTGATGTCAGAAGCCAGCTGTCAGGGGTCACCAGCAGGGGCTTTGCCAGCCCTGTACACTACACCAAAAGTTGCCGAGGGTCTCCCTCTAGACAAATGTACATCGCATCAAAAATGTGGCCAGGCCAAGGCCAGTGGCATTGCTGTCTCCGCCCCTGGCTGTGAAGACAACTCTATTCCAGGATCTCCCTGCTACAACGCGGTACTCCACGCCGGACCCTACTTTCCTGGGCTCTCCCCGGCTTCTCTTCCCTGTCCTAACTTGTACTGCCCTGCCCTGCCCTGTCCTGCCCTCCGCCCAGACTTCCCCATTCATTAGGCGCTGTCGAGCTGCAGACATCGAGCCCTATGCCTGATCCACACATGCTTGTGTCCGTGGCCAGTCTGCCTTCCCGGTCCACACCCCTTAACTACACTTGGTTGATCAGGACCACGGCTTCAGCAGCCTTGTATAATACCCGAACGGGATAGTGCAATGCCACTGTGGGAAGCCCCCCCCCCTTCGAGCCTTGAAACCGGGCCATCCAGCGGCTATCATGCGAATCATGAGCTTTACCGATAGTACCTGTCAAAACTACCACAACGGCCGCGTCGCCGACGGGCAAGGGCCCTCTCGCCCGTTGCGACCGCAGCTACGGGGTATGGAGTACGTATTGTCTACATAGTACCTCACAGACTTCCGTGGGCCCTGCTGGTCTGAGCTTCCTGGGTTGGTCCGTCACGGTGTTGCGGTTGTATCTAAGTAGACTGCCCCTTGTCGTGACTTCCCTGGTCTGCCACCCCTGCGGGCTGGACAAGTCTTCCTTTCGGAAAGCTTCTCTGCCTCCACCTGCCGTCTCTATACATGTCACTCTGGGCCATGGCCACCGCACCTCTCTACAACAAGGTGTGGGTGCGATCCACCTCAAGGTACGTACACTCTACCCACCAACTCAGCTCTTAGCTCAAAGACAGACCCCTCGAGCCTCTGCCGATGGCGAGGCTCTCCTTTAAAATAAAGACTGCTCCCCTGACCTCCCCAAAGACCTCCAGAGGCAAGATCATTATCATCCTTTGTCGAGACTCTGGTTATACAAGAACCAACCGTCCCTTGCTTCTGCTCTTCTGCTCGAGCCATCGAATCAAAGGTGGAGTTTGATATTGACCTCGCACGAACCGCCACTCCATCACTCAGCTGGGAGACATCATACCCAAAGCAGGCTTCTTTGAACAAGACAAAAAGGTTGACCTCACCTCTCCCCGGATGCGAGCCCTCATCAACATGGCCTCGAGTCCTCAGTATCTCGCCCATGGTGCGCACGACCAGGTTGGCACAAATACACCTACACTGCCCGACGGCTCATGCCCTGGTGACCAACCAACAACCGTCTCCGCCTATCCAGATCCAGACCAGATTTACTCTTCCGTGAGTCTTCCCTCCGCTGCTACTGTGCCTCCCGCCTCCCTGTACACATATGTATGTATCTATATATACACGCACGCGAAGGAACGGGCCCGGATCTCCTTCACCACCTTCATGCCTGAACTCCCTTGAGCCCTTCAACTGACTGACACCAACAGGTCTCTTCGGCTTTTGATCAGCCTGCCATTGTCGACGACGACAATCTCTTGACTCCGGTGTCTAGCGCTGCTTCGCCGCCTTTGCACCAGCGGTCCAAGCTCCAGTCGCCGTACCACCACCAGCCGCAGGACTCTCCTCAGTGCCCACAGCAGCCAACTCCGCCCAACACATCCACGATGTATCCCTACTCAGACTACGTTAACAGCACAAGCCAGGCGTCTTCCCCGATGACTGTTCAAGCCACAGTGACCCAGGCATCATCACATGATATCCTCGGGCCCTACATCCAAAGCTCTCCAGGCCACGAAGAAACCATCCCTCCACCACAATCAGCCCCATACTTTGGTCACTACAGTGCATCTAGCGTGTCTGTTGGCACAGAGCCAGATGGGTTGCCCTCGTGCTATATAACAGATGTCATGGCCGAGAATCCCTACGGGTTGATGCGTGGCCTGCCAGACATCCACAGCGGATCCTACACCCACAGGCCGCTGGCCCCAAACATGCTGCAGCAGCCTCAGCAGCCCCAGTACCGCCGCGACGTGCTTCCAATTTCAAGGCTTTCCCCAGCAAATTATGGGCGCCCACCACCCGTCCAGGTTAAGAGGCACCCCAGCCGGAAGTCCAGTGCTAGGAAGTCTCGCGTCAAGAAGGAGCAATCGAACAGCCCGCCAGCCATGTCCCAGGCCTTCCAATTTGACGATGCCAGCAGAGGGGGCAATCCAGTGGCGCCAGAAGAGGATGTCTTCCTGGACCACAAGGCACCCGCTGATCTGAGGCGGCTGTGGACCATCAGGCAGAAACATTTTACCAGGAAGGGGCATGGCATGTGGGAGAATATCATCAGGGACTTTCTTGGGGCTGAGGAGGCCGACAACCTCAGCGAAGATAAGAGGACGCAGGTCAAGGCGAACCTGCAGATGAAGATTCACAGGGGTGTCTTGAGGCATGGCATCTGGCCAGAGCGCAACGTAAGTAACACGTCTAACTTGCATCATCACGGTACATTTTGTGCCATTCCACCTGGGGATCGAAACCGCTGACAGCTCTGTCTCAAAAGAAAGCCGCACTGCTCCGCGCCTATGCACGATGGGAGGAGAACCGTTACAACGAAATCTTCAGGCTGTTCATGCTGGAGCTCGAGAGCGAGGGCCAGCCCCCTGCGTACGAGTGGAAGAGTGTCCACGTCGAGGCTGAGTTGGTCAAGGAGGGCTTGGAGCAGAAACAGCGCGAGCCATCCAAGGCGCGCAGGAGGCGCGTGCAAATTCCAGCGCGTCACCGCGCTGCCGGTGGCCACAGCTCCTCACACACCAAGTCGTCTTCTGTACACCAGCAGCAGCGCCTGCCAGCGGTGTTTGACCTGACTCCCGGGTTCGGACACTATCCCGGCCAGAACTATGGGCATCACCAGTATCATCCATATGCTGTCGGCGGCGGGCACAAGCGGGAGATGTCAGCCGGGTCGTCGTCGTACGACATGCTGGTCGAGCAGCTACATGCTCAGCCCCAGCCGCCGCTGACGGATGAGCAGCACGAGCAGCTCATCGACGAGTGCCTGGAGCGGACTCCGTTTGAAACCGACCCGGATCCCGCAATGGCAGTGCTGGAGCGACACAACAACAACCAGCAGCATCAGCATGACGATGTCAAGATGTCCGACGACCCTTATCCGGAGGAACAATTGCCACGCAGCCGCCCGTCCTCGTCCTCGCTCCCGGCAATCAATGGCATGATCGCTTCGGCATCCGCGTCGCCTGACATTAACGCGCAACGCAGCGCAGCCGTGGCTAGGCAGGCTTGCGGCGAGCTGTTAAAGCACTCGAGCGGCCCAGCACAACACAGCAACCACCACCAGTACGCAGGTGTGTGATTTATTCGGTCGCTGCTGCACTCAGCATTGCCAATCGGTTGTAACCGATGATGTTGACCAGGATGACTCGTTTACCATTCTTCTTCTGCTTCTTGTTCTTCACACCAACCCATTTTGCGAACCCGTGCCGGCTTTTGGACCTATTATGTCCTTCCTGATGCGGACCGGATACGAGTACAGCAAAGTTCGGGGCTAATGCAGCCCTATTCTACGAGTCTTTCATCCTCCAGCCGTTTTCCACCCCTCCTCACGGAGGGCTGTTGCCGATCGAGCCTCGGCGCCTACGTTCGGGAGGAGAGAGGGAGCTAGACCCCCCCTCCCTACTCTTTTAGGGATCGTGTTTCCCTTTGGCTCTGCTTTCACGCTCCTTTTTTATCTTTTATTCTGTGGCACCCAGTCTGATGCTTGATACCTCCACACTATTCGTTATTTCGCAACTGTTGCTTGCTATCTGGGGTAAACGTTGGGCTCTTCAAGGCAACAGGGGCCTTAGACTTTTCTTATGACCTACTCCTCACCACCTTCTTCTGTGCTGGGAAAAAGAAATTCTCTCCTTGTGGACTCAAAATTGCGCTACTGGTCGGGAAAGGAGGGCGGTACTGCTGTTAGTATTTTGGTCTAAGGTTTTGGGTTTGTTTTTCTGTTTGTTTTCATTCAACGGCGGCTATGCTTCACATTTAGAGATTCCCAATTTGTTGTCAGTTTTTTTCCCCCTCTTCTAACTACAAAGTCTTCTCACTCTCTGCGCGGAAACGGCTGCCACCAAGGCCTTCTTTTCTATCCTCAAACACTCTTACCCTTCTCTCGTACATAGATAGATTTAGTCTGTCATATCTCCAAGGGCAATATCCCAAACTTGAAATATTAGTCGTTAATGAACACCTCGTCTGCCTGCTCTCAGACACGTCACAGCCACACTTTTTTTCTGCAGCCTGCGTGTGCCGCAGGCAGCGAGACAGGTAGTCACAAGACGGGCAAAGCCCGTAGTGTACCGAGCGCCAGGCTTGTGGTATTGCTGCCTTGCGAGCGTGCCGAACACAGCCCACAGCCCAGCTTGCTCACAAATGGGTCAGTACGAGACCGATGGCACTGTAGACGGAGGCTACTTCACAAGGCCCCAAAGTTAAAAGTCAAAAGTCAAAAAAAAAAAAAGAACGCCCAGGGAGGGGATCGCCTCGATTTGCAGTGCTAGACTGGTAGGTGCCGAGGATCGCCTGGGCTTGGGTGTTATGGGACCGGCTGTTGCGTTCCTGACACTGGCCAGGTGGCCAGCAGCCTAGAAGCGTGCCAGGATAGGCGCAACTTGCCGGATGAAAACGGCGGACTAAGGACTTTGGCCAGGGGGGCATAGGTACTCTGCAGTAGTGCAGGTTGAGGCTGGAGGGGCGCGACTAAGTCCCGAGGTTTGCGCAATAGCAGAGCAGAGCCAAGTACCCACGGAATGACGGCACGCGGCCCCTTGACGTCTGGTCGTGTGGGGGTACATTCTTTTACACTAGGGAGATTTAGGGCTGAAACAAGAATCGCGCTTTGGGCTGGGGGAGAGGCGGGATGAGCAGGCAGGGCAGGCAGGGCAGGGCAGGGTGGAGTAGAAGGGGGGGGGGGAGTTGGAGGATTGTGGAACGGAAAAGGTGGCAGGACAGGAGGCAAGTGGTCAAGTCGTCGACACTACTGTGGTAGCTTGCTGACGGCAGGACAGGGTTCTTGTGCTCGATCGGCTCGACTAAGCACTCTATTTGGACGTGAGTGCAGCGCATTTACTGCGCAATGGCGTCAAAATAAAATGAGGGTTCAAGCAGCGCACCGGCGACGCGATCCTGCAGTTCCTGTCGTCGACAAGAGCAAGCAAGGCCAGCCGGGAGCGAGCTGGCCCCTTGCACCTTGCACACAAGTTCCCCTGGCCATGCTGCCAATATCCAAGTGACTCCACTGACTGGTACTGTAGCATGGCGTGCGAAAGAACCTAGGTCAAGTACACAGTAGCTCACCGAGTGGGCCGTGAAGGAGTGGCAACCTTGCAGACCGCAAAGACCTGCCCTGACCTGGCCCGGTAGCTACTGTGTACACTACTTGGCCTTGTCTGCCAGAACAGGGCCCACTGCACTCCCCTACCCCTACCCCCTCCCCCCTCCCCCCTCCCCCCTTGGCAGGATCGCGGCAAAGAGGTGCCTCTGGCCTCCGGCTCTGAAAAATGAACCGCCAGCGGCGCGCCAAGGATCAATAACGGCTGCTAATAAGCGCCATTGTGCGTCTGTGCTTCCACGGTTGGAGGAGCCAACCTGCCAACCAGCGCGATGACACTTTATGTGGTGTCTGCCCGATTGTACATCCCAGTCCGAGTGACCAAAATCGTAATGCACTATTGTAGAGTAGAAGGTCATCGCGCCTAACAGACAAGACAGGGTGGGTGGGGGCAAAACATTTGAGAGCGCGTTGAGCAGCGAATCCCGCAAAGGCATGCTGGCATACTAGTCGGCGCCCGGGGGGCCAGGCGGGCGAGAATGTCGGTGAAGCTACCAATAGTTATTATCGGAGGTTCCTCGATAATGCTGGTTCATTTTTCCCCCCTACGCTGGCAGTTCCGTGCACCTGGGCAGCAAGTAAAGTTTCGACCCCCTGGCCCCCCTGCCCAGCCTGAGTGGCTCCAGCGCGTGCAGCTGCGTCTGTATGGACAGCTCAGGTTCCGGCTGTCTGGAAGCGAGGCGCTGTGCTGCAAGGCCATGCATCTAATCAGGAAGTTGTGAGTGCTCACTGGCCGGATGGAACTCTGCAGCCTCGGACTGCATGGCCGGATGGGGTAAGACGCGGTGGGCGGTGATGTGTATTTGGCCAGCCTGCAGTAGTGTAGATGGCCTGCAGTATTGCGCCCGCACAAGTGCGCACACAAGTACTTGTTGGGCAGCCTGACAGGCTGCCTGTCTACCAGTCTTCAGTGTTGAGAATGGTGGTCTTGACCCTGGGGCGCGGCGGCTTCGTCTCCACGTGGGGCTGGGACAGCCAGCAGCAGCAGGCTGGCTGGCAGGCAGGCAGGCAGGCAGGCAGGCAGGGTGCTCGCCGGCACATTGCTGGTTTATCACGGGTACGTACATGAACGTTCAAGGCCGACGGCTTTCGGCCGTGTGGTTATTAGGCCCGGGATGCATGCAGATCTTGTTCCTCGAGAGCCGGGGCGCTGGGGGCCAAAAACCCCGTCATCTCCGCCACACACGGGACACAAGAGTGCAGTCGTATGATGCAGAGTGGTCAGTCAGTCGACAGGTCAAAAAAAAAACCACCAGGAAGTGTGAAAAAAGGGCCAGAGGGCTGAAATCAAAAGCGTTGCATCCCGTACCACATTACATGCTGCTCAAGTGGGCAGAGAGAGGCTGGTGGTGACCTTGATGCGTGGCAATGGAGGGGTCTGGGCTTAGAGGCACTACTCCGTACCGAGTACATGGGGCATGGGGCATGGGACAGGAGTTCGGCGGCCCAGCGGCACAGATCGGCTGGCGACATTCTCAGCCATGAAAGATCTGGACGACGGGATGAGCACGCGGGGCCTGGCATGGTTGCTATTCCTTCCCGAATGCAGGCCCGAAGCGTCACTCGGAGGGAGTGTGTAGTGTACCATGTAGAACTTCACAACGTCTTTTCCACACCCAAAATAGCACCGCGGGTCAGTGGATGCAACCTCTGGAAGTGGAACACTGACGGACGGTGTAAGCTGAGCGGGCACCTGACAGACAGCACATGAGTCACGGAGGCTTTGTTACGGGGCGAGAGGGGACGGTGGAGGGGGACGGGGGAGGAGACAGTCGGCCAGTGGCTCGAAACTTTGTGCAACCGTTTCCTGCAGTGTGCCACGGGATGTCAGTCGATCTAAGGCAAGCCACGGGGCTGCCACAAGGCGAGGGAGGCCCAAGGTTGCAAGGCGAGCCAGCCGTTCTGCCGGTCCGCAGCGGCACGCATGCAGCAGGCTCCTTCTGAGCTTTGATGCGTGGCTCGCTTGGACCATGGCCGCACCCGGGGATTTGGAAGCGAGCGAGAGGCAGGTGTCAATAAGGCGAGTTCCGGCCTCCAGAACCTATTATTACCGAGTACGGAGTACGGAGTGCACTCCTGGGCCCCGGCTGGTGGCACAGAGGGTCAGGCTCTCTCTGCAGGACGCATGCCTGGCAGCACAGGGACGGTCGACGCCCGAATATCTGGTCGCCGAAGCCGGTACGCCCGACTGCATTAGCCAAGGCCTTTCTTTATCTTTCTCTTTTGCTTTTTCCTGTGCGGGCTGTCGTGATTTCTTCTGTTACGTTTGAGTGCCTGCAGTACAACAAGAAGCTGGGCCAATGCGATGCCCTCCTGCACGAAATATCCTGCAGGAAATTGAGCCTTGGGGGCCGGGTCGCCTGTAGACGGCCATGCCACACTCACTATCTGGCTATCTAGTTGTCTAGGCATGCGGCACACAGAAATACGAGTCAACACCTATGCCTCGGTATGTTGACCCGGGCTGCTTGCTGCATGCGTGCATGCGTGCATATCTGTTCGACCCAAGATCAAGGGACAGAAGCTGTAGCCGGGCGTGGCCCCCAGGCTCAGAAGCCCTCGTGCGGAGCTGCCGCCGGCTCGAAACCGGCCTTGCAGCCGTGTGCATACAATATATCAATACATATGCTGTGCTATGTCGGTCTGTGACAGAACGCGGCTCGAGCACTCGAAGTATTCTCCCCGTCAACAGGACCTCACGAGTAGGGGGGCGGCTTTGAAAGATGCGACGTACTGTTAGTACACTGGTGCTGGTGCTGGTGCTGGTGCACTGGCCACGCCCATTTTCTGTCTCTTTCTCTTTCTTTATTTTCCTTTTCCTTTTTGGGGGGGGGGGGTGTCAATGTCAGGGACAGGACATGTGCAATGCAGACCGTTTTAGTCAGCAGCCGAGCGGAAGCAACGACTCACCAAACCGAATCCTGGCAAGATGACAGCATAGCTCATTCGGGAAGTCGATCCCATGTTTGTAGTCCTCGACTCCTGCGCAAAGCAACATCTGCATCAACACATGGCCTATTGATTCAGTAGCATCAAAGGCGTGTATCGGACTCATCCGTTGATCGGTGACAACATAGGCAGCCGCTCAGGCCCAAAAGTCTCGCAACACACAAAGACATGGTAGCGTGACTACGGAACCCAGTCCGTTCGATCCATCCCTCCTCCTCCTCGCCCTTCTCGGGCGCGTTCCCGGGAGAACCCAAGGCCCTATGAAGACGTTTAGCCATTCTGGTGTCTGCTGCAGGTGACGTCTGCTTGGCATGGCTTCTGCCCCGTCGCTCTCGGTGTCATGGCCAATGCCCTGCCTCTGCGTCGTGCTGTTGCTCGTCGCATGGCTCGACCAGACCTGGGCCATGCGGCCCGACCGCATCGCCACCCTCCGGCACGAGACCGTCGAGATGTTCTACCACGGTTATGACAATTACATGAGGGTGGCATTCCCCGATGACGAGGTATGCTCGCAACAGCGCGGCCGTGTCTGGACTATGGGCTCCGCGCTGACATCCTAGCCCACAGCTTCGACCTCTCACATGCGCCCCTCTGACCAGGGACAGCCTTAACCACAACAACTTCGGTCTGAACGATGTCCTCGGGAACTACTCCGTCACCCTCATTGACACCCTCTCGACCCTCGCCATACTAGCCTCTGCTCCCCCCGACGACGAGGGTACCGGAGCCAAGGCCCTGCACGACTTCCAGAGTGGCGTGGCGGACCTGGTAGGACTGTACGGAGATGGGAGGCCGGGACCATCAGGTCTGGGCACACGGGCGAGAGGGTTCGACCTCGACAGCAAAATACAGGTCTTTGAAACTGTCATCCGTGGGGTCGGAGGTCTGCTCAGCGCGCATCTGTTCGCTGTCGGGGAGTTGCCTATCAACGGCTACAACCCAAGACCCGCGGGTGAGACCGACCCCGACAACCCCCTGGAATTGCCCCCGATACCATGGCCCGATGGCTTCAAGTATGACGGGCAATTACTGCGCCTGGCCCTTGATCTTGCGCAGCGCCTGCTGCCAGCTTTCTACACCACCACAGGCATGCCGTATCCACGTGTCAACCTTCGCCATGGCATCCCGTTCTTCCCAAACTCGCCTCTTTTCTACGATGCCTCGGGCACCCAGAGCGCCAACACCCCAGGCCCTGCTGAGATTACGGAGACATGCAGTGCAGGAGCTGGCAGCCTGGTGTTGGAGTTCACCGTTTTGAGTAGGCTCACTGGCGACCCTCGGTTCGAGCAGATTGCCAAACGAGCTTTCTGGGCTGTTTGGAACCGGAGGAGCGATATTGGTCTCATAGGCGCCGGCGTTGATGCAGAGCACGGCAACTGGATTGGAGGCCATGCTGTCATCGGGGCCGGCGCTGACAGCTTTTTCGAATATGCGCTCAAGTCACATATCTTGCTCTCGGGTCATGAAATACCCAACGCTACCGCCCCACAACCGCGTGCTCCCGGCAGCACCTGGCTAGATCCCAATGAATTATGGACACCGCTGACCGAGGAACAAAACTCGCCGGCGGCTTTTCTGGATGCCTGGCATCATGCACACGCCGCGATCAAGCACCACCAGTACGACGAGACGGGCCATCCGCACTACGTTAATGTCAATCTCCTCACTGGCTCCCAAGCCTCCCAGTGGATCGATAGCCTGGGCGCATACTATCCCGGTCTTTTGATCTTGGCCGGAGAACTGGAGGAAGCTATCAAGACAAACCTGCTTCACGCCGCCTTGTGGACCAAGTATGCGGCATTGCCTGAGCGGTGGTCTTTCAAGGAAAAGCACGTCGAGGGCGGCCTGGGCTGGTGGCCTTTGCGGCCAGAGTTCATCGAATCGACCTATCATCTATACCGTGCTACCAAGGACTCTTGGTATTTATATGTTGGTGAAATGGTCATGCGCGACATCAATCGACGCTGTCGAACCGATTGTGGCTTTGCGGGGATTCAGAATGTTGTGACAGGAGAGCTGACCGACCGCATGGAGAGTTTCTTCCTTGGTGAGACGACCAAGTACATGTACCTGCTTTTCGACGATGGCCACCCCCTCAACTCGTTGGATGCTGCTTATGTCTTCACCACTGAAGGGCATCCTCTGATCATACCCAAGAAGTCAAAACGTCTTTCAAAGACGAGACCTGTTCCCCCCACAACGACTAAGGAGATTGCGTTGTTCTACTACAACGATGGCTTCACAAACATGTGCCCACAACCTCCTGAGGTCATGCCTTTAACCGGATCGAGTATCACTACGCGAACAGATATGTTCCACGCCGCCCACATGCTCGATCTACACACGATGCCAAACATACACGCCGGCATAGAAGCCGGTGACAAGCCTGGGACTTACAGGGCCAAGAATAACCACACATACTTTCCCTGGACCCTGCCGCCTGCAACTCTGCCCGGGAATGGCACATGCGCCAAGATATTAGAGCCGGCTGAATACCACCTGGAGTTTGGAATGGTCGGCCAGAACGGGGTCTTTGACTCGATAATTGGGGCCCAAAACTTGGACCGAATGGATACGTATCACATCAGGGTCAACAAGCTGGCAGGTCTCAAGCTCACCATGCGGCTGGAAAACGGCCCCGACGACGCTGAGGGGCTCAGAGTCACCAAGGTGAACGGTTTCGGACTTGGACGAGATGAAAACATTGTCTTCAATCGGGCCTTGCTTGCGGACATATCTGACACGAAGTTTAAGCTCATCAGAGATCTCAAGACTGTCAGGATACATCAACTCTACCACGTGGATGTGGCTGCGAACGTGGAGCCCGTAGACAATGTGACCATGAGTCAAGAGTCGGCCGATGAAGTTCTCGGCAATGAGACTTCTGCATTCGAAGAAGAGGATTACGCCACACCAGAAGAGCAATGTGCCCCTCCCGACGACGCAATGTTAGAGGAATACAACCCTTTTGACGCCGATCACCAAGTCCCAGACGATGTACCGCGAGCTCCCGAGACACTGGCGACCAACATCAACAGCCTTCTACGCAATCTTTGGAACCAAATGCGCGACTCGTCATCCTCAACCGCGAGCCAAGCCCCATCCTCCAATACGGTCCAGGTCCTCAACACGCATGGCCATCCTCTCAACATCGTCATCAACACCACAGCCATCACGCCCATCGGTGTCGGTGCCGCCCCCTTGCCGTCGACCGATCTCCCAGCTGGCGCGCATATCCCGGCGTTTGGACCCGTCCCGCACGCGGTGCTGCCGTGGAGTACAACCTACGGGGCCGGGCTGGCGTGTGATTCGGTCCTGCCGGAGGAGGCGCCGCGCGACCATCAGCTCATCGTGATCCGCAGGGGCGGCTGCACCTTCAGCGAGAAGCTCGCCAACATCCCGGCGTACAAGCCGTCGGGGACGTCGCTGCAGCTCGTCGTCATCGTTTCAGACGACGAGGACGACAGCGGCGAGGTGGGCATGACGCGGCCACTGCTGGCAGAGGAACAGCGCACGCCCAGCGGCGTCCTGCGCAGGCATCCCATCCCCATGGTCATGGTCGGTGGCGGCGAGGAGGCCTACCGCCGGTTGGCGACTGGCGGCATCGTCAGGGCCGGCATGAGCAGGAAATATGGCGTCGAGAGTGATGGCCGCAGGATAAACAACATCGTCATCGATGACGGGGATATCAAGCGGCCGGGCTAGGATTCGCCAGCTGATGTCGTCCACACTCGACGGTACCCCTTCAAGGCGCTCACGCGCTGGGTGGGTTCGGTGATGGGTTGTCGAACGAGATAAGGCGTGCAACAAACAGCGTGCAACAAACAGCGTGTGGTGTTGAAGTAGGAAGTGGGCGCGGACGTGTCTCGTCTGAAGCGGGGAGGGTATCCGTGCCACCTGTCTCCTGTCTGCTGTTTCTACACTCGTCGTTTGCTTCTCTCATGTTCGGTTTGTTTTTGGCATACCACAATACCACATAGACATGTATCGATAGTCCACCGCATACATTAGCATCTCAGCGTATGATACCTCTTTTTAATCTTGCATTGGACCGTCTTAGCACCCTACGGTGTACCGCGCTACCTGCAGTCCTGCATCACCCGCACATTTGGTCGCGCTGCGGAAACACGAATGGTGAGAAAGGGCTGAGGGGATAAGCTCCTGCTATACGGGCCGTTTATGGGGACGCAGCGCGTGTTCGGACGGACCTAGTGGCCCGTTCTCAACCGGTCACCGACCGCAAGCCGCAGTGGAGTGAGCCTTGACGTGTCGGGCGCTCGGGGACCGGTCAAGACGACTCAGGGTCTCACAGTGCAGGCTAGCATTTTCTGTAGGTATTTGTCACCTATGCGCTTTGAAGATCTGTTGTGTGGGTGCTGCCCCTACTGGAATCCTGCGGGCACTCGCAAGCAGCACTGTACCAACGCGGGTGACCAGGGTTGCAATTGCAATGGTTTGAAATGGTCTATTGCGAGCAGCAGAACGGTCTATGAATGTTTTGCCGAGGTGCAATCTCATTGGAGAGATGTTGCTCTTGGGCCATGGAAATGACACTGTCGACATAAAACCAAAACATGTTGGCAGGACTCGTCAAAAGATGAGCACTTTTCGAGACCTTAAACGCCGAAGTCTATCCAGCCAAATGTCCACCCAAACGTTCATGGAGCGATCTAAATTTCCGCAGTTGATCCTCACCAATCGTACCACAATATGCACATTGACAGCCGGTCGATCTTGGCGTCCCCCCCCCCATCACCCGCCCGGTCATCGCCGTCAGAACTCGTAGTTGTGAGCAAGACCAAGCAACGTGAAGAAAGCCACGACAAACGAGCACAATGGGGTATGATCCGTCCAGTCTTGATGTTAAAACAATAGCCTCTCGATTCAGAACGCACTTATGTGGAAAAGGTCCCGGACGGTCGGGGTGGGCGATAAGCCTAGCCATCTGGTGAGATTTTGATATGGGGCGTCGGACCGTTTAGCCGATGAAACCGGAGGTGAGGCGCAACCAAGGGTGGGCTAGACAGCTGTCCGCCTGACGTGGTCGAATCGGGCTTCGAATCATCTTGATTGGGCGGCTTATTCGTTCACATCGAGCAGAGTCACGACAGGGACATTGTCGAGCTTGTCGCGTCCCTTGAGGAAGGGAATCTCAATGATAAAAAGGAAACCGACCAAGCTGCCTCCCAGCTGCTTGATCAGGTCGCCAGCGGCCGCGGCAGAGCCACCTGTTTCGAGGACTGTTAGATACGGTGCTCTTCAAGGGCAAGTCTCCAGCAGAGCGATAATCAGCTGAGTAGTTCATACCAGTAGCAATAATGTCATCTACGACAAGGACCTTCTGGCCGGGCTTAATGACGCCTTCCTGCATCTGGAAGTAGTCGGCGCCGTACTCCTTCATGTACTCGGCGGTGACACAGGGCCCGGGCAGCTTGCCCTTCTTGCGGACAGGCACGAAGCTGGCGCCCAGGCGGAGAGCCAGGCTGGGGCCGAAGAGGAAGCCACGGGCATCCAGGCCGACGATGACATCGGGCTTGATGGCGTTATCGGTGCCGCCAAAGTGGAGGAGCTGCAGCTCGAGGGAGCGGAGGAGGGTTGCGTGGACGGCAGGGTCGAGGAACCATGGCATGATATCCAGGAAGTTGATGCCGGGGATAGGGAAGTCGGGGAAGCGCCGCAGGGACTTCTCGAGGCTTATCTTTGCACTGGCGAGTTCGGCGGAGGTGGAGGAGGCGGCGGCGGGCTGTCGTCCCGAGGCATCTTGGGCGGCGTTGGACGAGGAAGATGCAGAGGCGTCTGGGTTGGTGGCCAGGTTGCCTTGGGGCTCAGAGGCTGGCGGCATGGTGGAGAGGAGAAAAGGAGAAAAAGGAGGGGGGACGGGCGAGGGAGAGGTGGTGAGAGAGATCGGTCGTTATCTAGGAAGAAAATTGTTGGCGCAGTGCACACAAGGCTAGAGCTGACGAGGAGGGGGGGTGTGTCGCGAAGAGCTGGGTGTACGTGAGTAATTGCGCACAAGGTTGGCTTGTACGAAAGTACTCTCGTACCTGCCCGCCCCAGGTGGTAGGTAAACTTGTATGTGGCGGGCGGCAACCAAGTAAGACAGGGTGCGAACCAGGTAGCCTCTCAAGTTGACCAAGTACAAGCAGGGCCAGATGCAGCAGCAGTCGCAGCAGAGCTGCCAGCCGACCGTGGTTCGTGTATCGTGGCACAGGAAGGGGAGACAGTCTGTCTGTGTAACCTATAGGCAATCTATAGAGGGCGTTCAATGTTCCCAAACATACCTAGCGGCCTAGGCCAAGCAACCGTAGAAGTTACTGTGCTGTGCTGTGCTGTGCTGTACTTCCTGGGGTGGTTTCGTCTCGCGTTAACACACGGCAGGGACGGAACGGGAAGGAATCCGAATTGACAGGCTTGCTGTCGAAGGAAGCATGAGGCGTCACAAGAAAAAGTCGGGTTATAGTGGTTTGCTAAGGGCAATAAGGAAGGAAGTTGGAAACGGAAAGAGAGAAAATTCAGACGGGCCTAACCGGGATGAGCAGCATGGGAAATCCAGGCTACCCAAAGCAGTGTGGGTGGAGTGGTCTCAGACGACCATTAACAGACCAGTGCAATATGTACTGATATGTCGTGATACTGGGCCTGAAGAACCCACGGCCAGGTTGGGTGGAGGGGGCTTTGCATCTGTTGTTCCCGTCTCTTCCTGCCTATGTCTGATGTCTGTATCTGCTCACTGTGTCTCTTGTATCTCTGTGTGTTTCTGGGCTTGTGCTTGTGCTTGTGCTTGTGTACCTGTCTCTGGCCGGGACAGACAAGACAGGCCAGGCCGGTCCAGCAATAGTGCACACCCCCGAGCTCTCCAACTCGACTGGCTGAATAGCTGGTTGGCCTAGAACAGCAAGCAGATACATGGGCACCTAGGTAGGCACCTAGGTACCCAGGCAGTCCACAAATTGTGTATGACCGGAGAAATCTCCTTCCAGGATTGTGCTAACCGACAGCAAATGGCAGGCCCGTGTCAGAGCAGGTGGGATGTGTTGGGGTGGGATATTACCCCGCCAAAATTCCCAAAATTCTCCTGGACCCCTCCTTCCTCTCCCTGCCGCTGCAGGTCGCACACTGCTTCGCAGCTCTCCGATAAGCTGATGATGATGATGAAAGATGACGATCGTCGACATGAGACGCTTCCTGGCTGTAAAGTCCACATGTCCAGTGTTTGTCGTTCCCAGCACAGCACGAGCACAGCAGGAACGATGTGACTCGACATATGTCGGCATGGTCTCGGCAAGCTGCAGTCCCGGGCAGGACCTCCCTCGCTCCCCATCTACTGACTGTACTTATTAGTCAACCAGGCTGACCCGTCACGATCCGTCTTATGCCTTCGAGGCTTCCCTGGTTGCCGCTCGGCATCCATGATCGAAGCTCCTGGGAGTGGACCTGTGCCCCTGACCTGCCCGCCAGTTGAAACGCTCATCCATGCCCCATCAGGTGGATGTTCCTGGCGATGAGCAACATCCACGACAGCCCGGGACGTCGTCTACCACCGTCGAAGCCGCCCGACAAGTCAGCCCCGCAGGTTGCATTGTGGCTGTCAACCACTTCCGCTTCACACCACCAGCATTGTACGCTCTGAATGCGTGCAGCTCTGGGCGGATCGAAGGCCACCTCTCACGTCCAGGACACCTACACCCGCGTCCAAGTCCACCCCCAAACGAGACCGAGTCCAGACCAAGGTCCAGATCCCACAGCCTTTCGACGCCATCCCCACGCTTCCCCGACTCGCCTACGTGCTGCCTGCTCGGATACGAGGCCTTGCGCTACACCCATACCGGCCCCATCCCACTTGTAGTGGCCCAGCCTCTGCTGCAGCCGGCCTAGAAAGCCTCGGGGCCTGCCTGAGGAGTGCCCCCCATCACAGCCCTTTTAATTAACCCGTCAACCAGTCGCCGGCTCCAGCTGGCGATCCGGTCAACGCCGGCTGCCTGCGATGTTGGATCCGGAATCCGCAAATCTGACGTGTCTCTCTCGTCTGTCCGACCTGCCACTCATCCTCGGCACGCCGGCGACCACCTCAATTTCATTCACCCCATTGCCTTATCAGCATCATCTGCAGCGTGCTCCCCTGTACTGCCTTGCATCTCTCTGCGCGCACCCGTCGGGTATCGCCAACCGAGATCGATAGGTGCCACCACCGGCCCTTGAAGGCACTCACCACTGACAGGTACTCCGTATACTGTGTATGGCCAGACACGCAGGGAACCGTGTCATTGTGGCGTCCGACGCGCAGGGAACTTCCTGCTACGTGGGTTCCAACCTCTTAGATCAAAGTTGCGGTCCTTCAAAGGGGCCGTCAGTGACAATTCAGCGGCTCACAACTCGCATTATCACTCTGGGCGACGCGCCACGGTGGTTTTGAAAACAGAATGCTCGCATCCACCTTCAACATCAAGGGGCCGCTCCTCGATAATCAACACGGGCCACCGGTCGTCTGAGCCATTCAACATGATTTCTGAGTCCCTCTCAATAATTCTGCTGTGCGAGCCCCCCCCCCCCCAAGAGCGGAACAGGCTTATGCTCTTGATAACAAAGCCGCATCATCTCTACTTCGTCTGAGAATTTCACATCGAAGTAGTCCGGGACAGCATTGGCAGGAGAGTACGTGCTTCTTCCAAGGCATTCCTGCTGCAATGGTTGCAGTCAAGTCACTCCAGAATTCTAGCGTCGCCGGTGGTTTCATGGTCTTTCTGCATTAGTGTTCGTTCTAAGCGTGGCTAGCTGTCAACGGGCGCAGTCAGCAAGACAGCCGAAGCGTCACGACTGGTTGTACTTCCGTCAATGTTTGGTCCCCCCCTCTTCATTATGACTCGGTTCTATTTCTCCATTCGTTTTGGAGATTTAAGTGCCCTTGATATTGTCTCACCGCCATTCTGACGGAAACATCGAGTCCTTCAGCCAGCTACACCCGCATGAATTAGAAAAAGTAGCTACGACGGTCGTGCGGTCGGCAACGACCATTCACAAAGATGCCATACTGGCACCCGCTGAGAAGCCATTCTCGAACTCTCAGGCATGAACGACCCAGATGCCCGACCAGGCTGACCTCCCTCCATCGCCTGCCATGAGCGCGGAACTCTTGCTTGCCAAAGCCACTGAGCGACACAGTTCAGATTTGCGTCCCGGGTCCCCCCTGGCCGCCTCCCGCCAGCCCGCCTGACAAACGGCGCCGGTCCCGTCTGTGCGTTTCACTTGTGGATCTCCCGACGTTGGGCCGGGGCGGTTGCGCCTAGGTGGGGTTTTCGCCGTGTCCAAGCCGAAACTCACCGTAGTTCGCGGCACCCTCCGCTTGCCCTGCCGATAAGCTCTCCCGATCCTGGTGGAACGTAGGTATAACGGCAGGGCTCGGCGCACAACAAACCGGTGTTGGTTGGACGACACGCCAAACCAAGTGTTCCCCAGTCGGCGCACTGATATCAGAGCAGCAAATTGGATAGATGCCATGTCCACTTGCAGTGCGTGAGAAGACAGTGCACCGGTCGATATTCTCCAACACGACTAACCGCACACGGAGTAATCGCGCTCAGGCCAACCACACCAAATGCTGTACACGGTTGTTATGTCATATGTGCATATCCTAGCTACACAATGGGTACGCTTGCCGACAGGATTCACTGTCCCATGGGACTAATGTTGCAGCAATCAGCCAAGGCCCAGCCTGACGTTTCCAGGCGGCAGATTGCTTGATGTTGGACCATACACAGTAGCTGCAGGCCGCCCGGATCTGCCACACTTGGGCCAGACTCTGGCAAATCTCTGTCATTTGTGATGTGCGATGAGACATCGGCGTGCAACCAGTGCTCCTCCCTCACTTTTTCTTAATGACACTTCGGCCGGGGTGGGGTCTTTCGGTCTTAGCGGCCGAAGAGCCACAGCAACGGCCATGGCCCGGTATGCCTATCTCGGGACACCGACCCCGTCATCGGTCAGCAAGAGGTTGTCCCAGCCCAGAGCGGTCGATGCATACACGGCAACCTCGGAACCATGCTGTCAAATACACGTCTAGACACCAGGCCATGGTTCTCCGCTGCAGGAAACTAAATCGGGATCGATGCACAGTAGGCCCTAATCTCCTGCGTACTTGAGTACTCTTCCGTCGACATGCGCTCGCGTCTGGTTGCAGCAGTAAACAGCACACGTTACCGGACGGCACAAGCGCAGGGGTACGTACACACATCTATACTTCTATGGTTGGGAAAGACACAACTCCAAGTAAGCACAAACTATTTAACGTGGAAAAGCAGAGCCACTCCGGGGTATCATTATGCGAACCTGAATGCCTGCCGTCCTGTCTGCCTGCCCCTTCCACTGTGTCATCGTATGACAGCACAAGTTGGAGCCACAAGGAAATGAAGAACAACGTGTGACAAGAAAACATTTAGCTCCCGCTTCCGCGACCCTGGCCGTCAGCTCCATGTAATCGTGTGCAATGGAGCCCGTTCCGCGCTGCCGGCCTGCCCAGGCGCTCCCACCCGAAAAAGGGCCAGGACATTTCTGTCGCACAATTCTGGTTCAGATGTGCCAGGCAGTCCCCGCGTAATCAAACCTGCGTCAGCGGAACTGCAGCCTCACAATCGAGAACAGCATGTTCTGCAGCACATGCAGTACGACGACCACGCTGGTCGGCAGCAGCTCCGGCCAGACGGCGAGGTCCAAGCTCCCCTCGGTGACCACATTCACGCCGTAGATCCACTTGATCAGGCCGGCCACGATGCAGCTTGCGACGAGCTCGCAGGCCCACGTCACGGCCGAGGCGTAGAAGGTCAGCTCGAAGGTGTAGTCGTAGGGGTCCCCGCTGACGGTAGAGTCGCCCTCGTCGAAGCTGAAGTAGGGGTAGACGGCCTTGTTGGCGCCGAAATGCAGAGTCGCGACGCTGCCCAGGAAGCAGAGCATCGACGCGTTCTCGGCAACGAACCGGATGAACACGTTACGGACTCCGACTTTCTGGTAGGCGGCGTACGACTGACCGTTCATGCCGATGGCCGTCAGGAGCCAGTGGACCGGCGCGGAGAGAAGGATGGGCGTGAGGATGATGAGCCCGGACGAGGAGAGGATCTGCAGCAGAATGAACTGGCTCGGGGAGCGGAGTCGGGCATACAGCGCGCGGACGTAGGTTTGATATGTTAGCATGAAGTAGCTGTGTTGCGATTTAGCTGCCGAGGTCAAACGAGGTCCGGGGGAAGGCTCAGGGGAGACTCGGAGATGACTGACAGTTTGAAAACCCAACTCAAAGGGTAGCTCCCCACCCTTTCGCCCTGGTTCCCCCCTAATATCCACCCCGTCAAACCGTCCAGGAGATACACAGTCGAGATCCAACCGTACACGTACACTATCGTGTCCAAGCTGTTGTGCGGCAATGTCCTGAGGTACACCTCGGCGTACGCCTCCCCTATCACGAGCGCAAGCAGTCCGATAAACAATGCCGTACAGAACCAGACGAAGCGCACGAACGAGGCGGGGAAGAAGCGCGGCTTGAGCCGGACGGGGATCCGGCGGCTCGGGGCAGCCTGGAGGGCAGGAACGGCACCGATGTTGAGCCCGCCGTCGTTCTCGTCCCACAGGCGCTGGTCCGGGCGCCGCCGGCCGTTGGGCCTGAGCGCGGGCGAGTTCAGGTCGTCCTCGCTTGCCCACCACGAGGACGTGAATATCCTCTGCGTCTCGGACAGCGAGTTCCGCAGCCCCATGTGGCGGCGCTCCCTCGTGAGGAGGATGAAGCTCGCGATGACCACGGGCATGGCCATGATGCAGAAGGTCCAGGTGATCCAGACCGTGTTGTGGCCCATCAGGAACCCGGCCTCTGGGACGTAGTAGAGCGCGATGGGCCCGGCGGTGCCCAGGATGGCGATGATGCAGATGGTGATGGGGAACCCCAGCGTCGACGGCCACCAGTTCAGGCTGTACAGGTTGAACACCTTGGTGATCCACGCCAGGGCCGTCAGGTTGTAGAAGGCGTAGTACACGAAGAGGAAGAACCAGAAGTTGACCTCGGCCTTGGCCCTGCCGTGGCCCCGCGGCTTGCGGCCCCCAGGGCTGGAGCCCTCGTTACCGCCCCCGGCCCCGCCCCCGTCGTCTGGGCTGTCCCGGAGTGGATACTGCGGGAACGGGATCGCACACCACCCCACGGCCAGGGCGGCGGGGAGCACCACCAGCACGAACCAGCGCGAGTACCACACGCCAGCGACCCGCCTCACGGCGCCCTGCTTGGGGTTGATCCACAGGTCGTCCATCCTCTTCCACCTCCGCCTGCACCATGCGGCGAGCCTCTTCCTCCTCCGCCTCCCGGCCTCTGCGCCGCCGCACCCCTCGCCCGCGCCGTTGCCGTTGCCGTCGTCATAGTTGCCGTCGTCGTCGGACTCGCCGGACTCGTCGGATTCTTCATCGTCGTCCCCCAGGCCGGCCGTCAGCAGCGCAGTGGCGCCATAGCCGACGTGCACGCTGCCGCGCCACGAGGCGCGCGAGAGCAGGCCGAGGCTGCCGCGCCTGTTGCCGGGGCGCGTGTCGGTGCGCGGGACGGCGCGGAAGCGGCCCAGCAGGGGCGACGAGTCGGTCGGGTAGTGTGATCGCTGCTCGTTGCCCTGCTCGAAGGAGAAGATGGTGGGCATGTCTCTGGGGGTGGGCGTGGGCGTCGTCGTCGTGGGCTGGTGCTGGTGCTGGTGCTGGTGGGCGTGCTGGTGGGCGTGGTGGGTGTCCGGGCTGCTCGACCTGCGCAGGCTTGACTACAGCTTGGAGAGTCGCATTATTTCGAGGGCAGGTTTCCTTTCCGGGGGGGGGCCGAAAATTTCTTTGTTTCTTCTTCACAGTCTTCCTCCGAGAGGGGAGGGGAGGGCAGGACAGGCCGCGTCGGGAGCCGGGGTCGCACAAGGGAGCGAGGCGAGCGGGTCACAGTGTCGGTGAGGATCTGCAGAGAGGGCGGGAGTGGGCTGTGGGCACGCGGTGGCAGGGTAGGTGTGGATCTCTTGGTGTTGTGTCTGGTCCAAGTGCCGCGCCGGGGGTTTATTTGGTTCCTGTCTGTGCTGGGCAGCTGGGCCGCTACGGGTGGGCCCCTTCCCAGCCCATTGGCCTAGTAGGATTGGCCCTGAAGCTTGGGTTCTAAATCCAGGGGTGCTAGTGATAAGATACGCGGTCGAGGCCGCTTTTAGCGCCATTCTGGTTCTCGAGTTGGACCGTTTCCAGGGACCCGACGTCATTTTTAGAAGGTCGGGTTTGCATGTGACGGGGATGTTAATTACTAGGTACTCTACTCGAGAAGACGGAAAGCGGCAGAAGCAATGCATCGCATCCAAATTCGACCATAATTTACCATTGGGACAAAAGCAATGAACACCAATAATGTCACAATCCTACTCTCTCGAGAGACCCGTGAGGTCGAGAACATCGAGTTCAATATGGTGAATGCCTCGATGGGGCTCATCATGGAAATACAATACCACAGACTACTGAAGTGGCTAAAGACTCCTCTAATCTCAGCGGTCAGTCTAGGAAGCTAGGCATAGAGAACGTGAACCCAACATGACCGCTACTACTAGAAGACGGGGCGCGACTCACTCAGAATCGTCACGAATTTGTCGTGGGCTGAGAAACGTAGTCCTCACCAAAAGACCTACTATGCACAATATGCGTAATATTTTGGATGATTTACTAGTGGTGAGGCTGAATGATTGACTCAAGGATGAGCCGAGTGTCAGCATGCACTGCAGGGGGTTTGAACCTATCAAAGCCTTGGGTCAATAACCTAATACTACCTTTGCTCGAGGAGGTTCTGTACCGCGCCAACTCATTGGCTTACCGGCCGCCCTGCCGCCGCTGGATGTCAGGGTTGTGTTTTAAGTGCCGCGATAGCAGCCTGTATAATACGAAACCTCTCCCAGGTCAGAGCTGAACGAACACTCGGGCCCAGGCTGCTGACCTTTGCCCTCACCAGCATCAAGACGACGAGCTTTCATGCTCGGGTGGGAGCGGTCTTGTCTATGGCGCGGCCTAAGCACTTCAGAGAAGATCTAGATGTCATAACCTCTCCACAATCTTTCTCCCCTTCTGGTCTTGTACCTGAGAAAGAGCTTAGATATGGATCCAGACAAGAAACTGGTGAGAATGTGTTCTACAAGCTCGGGATGGCTCATAACTGACTGAACAACTTGAAAGTTCCCGCACCCGACGGTCACCGCCAGGCCGACTACCATACGGCAATAGAAGGTCGTAGGGGGTTTGGGGGCTTTGCGATCACCGGCCTCATCAAGTGGTTCATCACAGCCCTGCTTCTGGCCGGATTCGTGCTTGCCGTACATTTCTACCAGAGAAGGGTTCTCGATGACAACGAAAAGTCGATCTTCGAGTCTATTATCGTCACTTTGAGTCTAGTGGTTGGTCTCAATATTGCAAGTGCCCTCAAGGACATTGCAAAACATATGAGATGGTGGTTCCTCAGTCTGAAAAGACGGGATTTGTCAGAGGAATGTAACCCCTTTGTCTCTTCTGTCTGGGTCTCTGTTGCTAACATTGAGACAACATGCAGGTCGAGCTGATTCTGCAAAGCGACAGCTTGACTAGTGTCACCAAGTTGATATGGCGGTCATCTTCAAACGTCACAAAGATGGTGTGTTTGATGTGGCTTTTACTGAATATCGTACGTGTCAGATCCATTCAATGTTGCATTAAAAAGAGAGAGCACCCTCGAGACTAACATCAAGCACACTAATCCAGGGAATGCAAGCCGCCATAGCCGTTATCAGCCTGACATTCCAGGCCGAGCCTCATGTTGATGATGTATATCTATTAGACCACGGTCAAGTCTTCCTACCTAATATGAGCAACTTCGCGCGCGGCACTGGGCGCTTCTCAGGCCGTCAATCCGACCTCGATTCAACGCTACAAAACCTGGGAGCAAGCATACTTGGGGATGTCGGGGGCAGCTACAATTACTCCACCCTCCCCTCCGTGCCACTGGCGGGACAACCTCTGGCCAAGTTCCCCGCCACGTTTTGGAAAGCCGACGACCACTGGGAGTATCACTATCTCAGCTCGGCGCTGGATTTCGTATCCGCCGGGACGAATTACCTGGCCGTCTACTCAGACAGAAAAGTGTCATCATCGGCCGTGTGCACGACGCCAGAGTACAACTCGACCATCGACCGCGCCCGGGGGCTGATCCTCGTGAACCAGACAAGCGGCCGGGACTTCACCTTCGGCTCGGTCGCCCTGGGCCTCGAGTCCACCACCTACGCCTCGGTCCCGATCCTCAGGCAGCTGCGGACCGACCTCTGCGGGTCGAGGGTGGGGTGCAACAGCACGGGCGAGTGCGGGCCGGGGTGCAGCACCGTCCACGTCCTGGAGCCCAAGAGCGGCGAGGCCGCCCCGGGGAGCTTCGACAGCCCGACGAGCAGCTTCTTCTACTACGAGTGCAACGTCACCGTGTCGTCGGACCCGCCGCCGGCCTCGGACCTGGACAGCCTCACCCTCGCGCCCATGATGGCCGCGGCCGCGGCGCAGGCCATCGCGCTCAACGGGGACGCCACGCTGGGCGGGCCGGACGCCCCGCTCAGCCGCAGCTACAACTGGGAGCTGCCCTTTGGCACGCCCTTCAACAACAGCGCGCCGGGCATGGCGGACCAGGTCGCGCGGTATGCCGTCGGCGTCGTGGCCGCCGCCGCGTCGACGAACCCGCGCATGGCCGTCGAGGGCCGGCCGCCGGCCCAGGGGGTGCGCCTGGAGCTGCAGTCGCCGGTCGCGTTCGCGGTGATCATGGGGGCCGTGGCCGGCTTGCAGCTGCTGCTGACGGTTGTTGCTGCGGTGCTGGTTGGTGGGGTCCATGTCCCGCGTGATGGGGAGTGGATGACCAAGGAGGCATTGAAGCGGTTGTATTCATGATGGGATATGGAGGCCCATGTATCTCGTACCGGTCTATATGTGTGTATATGCTGCACATTGACCGGATCCGGATGGTTTATGTCTTCCTGTGCATATGCAGAGCTGCAAACCTGGTCCAAGTCCGCGATGGTGACTGATATATCCCAACTGGATGGGTGGGTCGCGGGTTGTTATTGATCCGACCTATATACTGTTGATGTAGATGTTCGGCCTTCGCCGCTGTTGATGCTCGGATTCACCATTTGGACTCATTGTATACTAGTAGCGGTATACTGGGGAAGGACTTGGTCCACCGTGGCTGCCGCATTCCCGACGTTGAACCTGAGCAGCTTCGCATGAGACGTGATGTCGAACATTTCATGACAACAGGTTGTGTACCAGCCCTTTGCTGATACACTTTCCTTCTTCTTTATCCCCAAGTCTAGAACCGTTTGGCCAATCCTATATGGATAGCATAACTCAGGCTCAGAAACCTTCCATATCATCGCCGAGTTCGGCTTCCTCCTCGTCGTACTCCTCCGAATCCCCATCTGCAGAACTGTCGTCGTCACTGCTCTCTGCCTTGACCGTGGAAGCCGATTCGGCCAGGTCATCAACCGCGTCGACAAATTCCGCCTGTGAGCTTTCTTCTGTCTGGGTATCCTTGACATCATCCGCGAACATGACTGCCTTGCTCGTCGGCGACTTGTTCGGGGGCTCCAAGACGTCACCACCCCATGGCTTGCACTCTTTGACCTGCTCGCCGCACCGCAGACATGTCCAGCCCTCGCCGTCTTCCCTCTCTATCCTCTGAGCGAGGCAGACAAAGCAGTATACGCAGGCACAAGGGATCGTCTCGTAGGGGTTCGTGATATCTGTCTGCGCAGATCCAACCACACCACTCGATGCGGCGGCGGCGAGGACCTCCTGTTCTGACGACGCCGAGTTCTGGTCCTGGTAGCATATGGCGCATGTCCGCTCGGGCAGGAACGAGTACTCGCCCTTCTTCTCCTCGGCGTCACCGTCGGCGCTACTTGATATTGCATTCCTGGTCCTCCTCCACGTCCGGCTCAGCCACCTCCGCCACTTATTTATGCCTATCAGAGGCAGGACGAAGAGCAGGAACTCTGTGAAGGCGTGCCAGACGAGCTGGCGGTTGAGGTATTCGAACGAGACCTCGCGGCTGACCTGGCTGGTGGGCGGGGCCAGCCTCATGCGCAGTATCCTATCCAGCAGCGTCCTATATCGGCCGTGCACGAGGAAGACCAGGAACGAGGCGAATGCCGCCACGGAATGGACAGACTCGGCGGTGGACGTCAGCCGCGACAAGGTCTGGGCCCGAGGGCTTGGCTCGTCGAAGCCATTGTCCTGGTTGAGCAGCCAGTTCTCCAGCCTTGTCCAGCCGTACTTGCCGCCGACGGTGATGAGGCCGTAGAGGGACTTCTGCAGCTTGGTAGGGGGCACCAGGACGGGCCCGTGGTGCCTGGCGTCGGTATATCTCAGGTTCTGCAGGGCGGCGCCGTAGGTGGCGTCGTGGTCCCAGACGGTCAGCTTGAACAGCAGGGCGCGCAGGACCAGCAGGATCTCGGCGGACCAGTCGTCCTTGAGGTTGCTGCCCAGGCCGCCGAGGTACCTGAGGGCGTCGCCGACCTGGCCGCGCAGGAGCTGGACGAGCTCCTCGTCCAGCAGCTCGGCGTCGACCTGGCCGACGCGGAAGGCGGGGCGGGTGCCGTCGGGGGAGGAGACGGTGTCCCAGAGCGACAGGGCGGAGCCGCCGAGGCGGCGGAGGAGCGGCGACGGGTGCGAGGAGATGCGGGAGCGCAGCTGCGAGGCCGAGTGCTCGGCGGCGAGGCGTGCCTGGGCGTGGGCCTCGCGGGCGGCACGGCGCTCGGCAAGGCGCTGCTGGGCCTGGGCAAAGGTCGGATTGCTGCTCATCTGGGCGTCATGAAGATGGCATTGGAGGTTGGAGGGGGTGAGGGAGCGAGGGGGCGAGGGAGCGGTCGGGGGCTGGCCCTCGTGCCCTCTTTGAAGGGTTGGATGATGGTGGTCGCGGGTGCGGGTGCGGGTGCAACTGCGGTTGCGGTTGCGGTTGCGTGGTTCTTGCAGGGTCGATAAGGCTTGGCCGAGTTGGAGCCGAGGTCCCCAGATCAGGAGATTCTGGGGTCGCACGGCTGGGGTTGACCCCTGCAACCCCTGCAACCCTTGCAACCCCATGCACACTGCCTTCTGACAGCTGCCATGACAGCAGCCCACGCGGTACTCGAGTGAGTCAGGTTTGTCAGGATACATGCTTGATTAAGTACTTAAGTATACATCAGCTGAAGAATGGAATGATTCTGATCCAGGCTGGTCGTACGACAACACCCTCAATACCTTGCCTTGAAGGGCAGCAGCCTCATCTGGGCCGCAACGTCGCCGTCCAGGCCCAGCAGGCCGTGGATCCAGCGCAGTATCAGGCCGAAGCTCTCGGGCTCTCCCATGTGCTTGCGCCCCTCGACCACCCTCGCCGACTTTGGCAGCCCGTGCCGCAGCGCCACGTCCAGATCCTCGATGGGGAAGATCTCGTCGCCCTGCCCGTTGACAAGCAGCACGTTGCCGCAGCAGGGCCTGTCCAGCGTGCCGTCGTTGACCAGCGAGTACTTGTGCGCCTCCTGCACGAACGACTCGAGGTCCGTGTGGCCAAACTTGAAGGCCAGCGTGTTGGACAGGTCGAACGGGTACTCGAGCATGTTGGCATGCTCGAGCCAGTCGCGGTCAAACATGTGGTGCGCCCCTCCCCCGAGGCTGATGCTGCCCAGCAGCCGTGACGCGTGCGTGTGCGCCACCCGCAGCGCGTAGTACCCGCCCGTCGAGAACCCCCACACGACCACCCTCCCGCCGTCAAGTTCCCCCTGCTCTCCGATCCAGTCCAGCACGCTCGACCACTGCCGGTCCGGGCTTGTCACGTCGCCCTTGGCCGCCGGCGAGTCGCCTGTCCCGGGGATCTCCACCACCACCGTCGCCACCCCCTTGTCCAGCCACCCCCGCTGCCACACTGCCAGCTCCGTGCGGTACCCGTCCAGGCCCGTGAATATCATCACCACCGCCGCCGGGCTCTGTGCTGAGGCCCCCGGTGGGACGAGCAGGTTCACCGGGATGTCGTGGCCTTCCCCTTCCGCCCGGTGCGTGTGAGGGATCTTCACCTCACGGATCGGGTATTCCATCAGTCTTGGTTACAGAAGGTCAGCCGGCCTGATAACCTGCAAGGGGAAACCTTCACGGATATACTCACGCTCCGCCTTTGTAGAACGCCTCCTTCCCCAGGGTCCACGCCAGACGCTGCTTTTCCGACCGAGGTGCTGGGAACCGGGCGATGCGATACAGTGCTGAGCTTCGTAGGTAGTACTCGGAAGCCTTCTCCTTCTCGCCCGCCTCTTCCGCCCTGCCTGCCATCTTGGATAGCTCCTGGGCCTTGGGGAAGAACATCTCGGCGTACTCGTCCCAGTCATACGGCTCCTTCAGCCCTTTCTGTTGGACAACGCCAATGGTGAATATCACGTCTCGAGTTTGAGACCGTCTAGTCTTACCTTGATGATCTCTTCCGCAACCGGTTCGAAGTCCTTTACAGACCCAAACATGAACGGGTAAACCCCCATTGTGCACTTCAAAGTCTTACTTAGCCTCGGACGTCGGCATGGCCAGCTACAGACAGGTACATGTGTAACTCACAGGCGCTTTCCATTTGGTTTCCCACAGCTTCTCAAACGATTCATGATGGATGGCAGGCTCCAGTATCGCGCGCCCGATCGCATACTTCTCGTGCGCTGCCTTCTTGGCGCCGTGTGACCCGCCGTTCGTCACCGTACCGTTCGTCCCCATTTTCTCAACAACTTGTAAACTTGTTAATGATACTCAAGTATGCGAATAATAAACCTTTTCGACTTTGCGTACGCCCTGTCAGAAAAGATCAAGTTGAAGCTTGTACCGGATTCGTCTTGTCGGATGAACAGTCTTATGCGCCACCATCTGCTCGTACCTTGTCCCGTCGGCGGACATCCCCAACGGCGAAACGCCAATGTCCGTACCACCTGAGAACGGGCACCCCGCGGCTACTGCGAGGGAATCGGCTCTCTTTACCTGTGCACTTCCAATCAGTATTTCTCGGGCTCTATTTGCTAGGCTTGTGTGTTCTTGTATGCTGTCTGGGCCCTTTGAGCGGTCCGGACAAATAATGCCAATCTGTTGCATCTCCGGGCGCTGGACCTCCGTGCGTGCGTAGACTCACGATGAAGAGAGCCATAAATACCCATCAGACCCACTACATATGCAGTCACCTGGTTGTGCCTCTATCACATTAAATCTTGCCATGTTGTGAGCGGCTGCAAGACTGCACTTGATCATTCCACAGCCAACCCCTACTGAAGGAATGTGTTCACGCCACCTCGGACTTGCGTGCGACACTAGTCAAACTAGCGCGCCAGCCCATCGGGACCGTGTGCAGTCTTGTCCAGAGTCTTGAAGATTATCACCGAGGACATCCGATTCGGCCCTGTGCCGTGCGCATGTCTAGGTGTGTTATCTGACCTGTGCCCGCAATTGAGCATGAGACCTGGTCGATATTGGGCCCCCTCGGAAACATACTAGTTGTCCTGCATTCTTGGGATATCACTACTAGGTAGTAGTAGATTCTAGAGGCATGAAGAGTAAGTTTTTGACCGAGGGGGTTGGTGTCTGGGGGACCTGTGATTCATGTGTCAAGAGGTATATAGCTACTACTTGAATGGAATTTGAAGTGGTTTTACTTCTTATTCCTCCACAATTAAAACACATGTGGCACCTTCATACAGTGGTAAATGCTCAAGGCTGGGTTTTTTTCTTTTCCCTTTTTTTTTTTTTTTTTAGAAAAACAAAGTTAAAAATACACTGTCACTAAGAGCAGCAATTTCTAAAGTTTAGATTAACTACCTACTTACTAACACTTCTTAAAGCTTTTTAAATAAATATTAAATTATATTTATACTATATATTTTTAAAATACTTAGTTTTTAATATTTATTACTATATATATAAAGTTATTAAAAACTTTATATATAAACTTTCAATTATTAAAGAAGAAATAAATAGTTATATAATATAAAAGAAAAATATAATATAATTAAAGTTATATTTAAATATTTAAATCTTCTTTAAAATCTTCTTTTATTATTAATATAGTTTTTATAATAAAATTTATTTATAATAATTAATTAATAATTTTATAAGCTTTTATATAAAGTTTTTCATTATTAATTTAAATATTATTATTATTATTATTATTATTATTAAAGTTAATAAAAGAGTAAGTTTAAATAAAAATATAAAAATATTTTATTTAAATAATATATATAATTAAAAAGTTAAATAAAACTCTTTAATTAATTATAATTTAAAAGAAAATATTATATTTATATATTATTTATTTTTCTTATATAAATATTTATTCTCTTTTATATATATTTAAAGATATATATAGTACTTTTATATAATAATAAGCACTTAAAACTAGATATTTAAGAAGGTATCAAAACTATATATCTTTAAAGAGGAAACATTATAGGAAATAGAATGAATTAAGTACCTACCCGCATATAATAGGTGGTTATTTTGCTTAATGGGGCATTCATTCCACGCGTGAGGGCCGGCCGGGTCGATAAGAACTATTTAACTTAGCCGGGGACTAAATGTAAATAGTAGATAGTTAGGCAACTCACTTATAAAGGTAACTGCAATGTAGACTATAGTTATAGCCTAATTGAATTTAGTTTTAATCCTAAGAGTGTATTGTTGTCTTTCCCTATTAGTTAATTCATTGACCGTGGCAAGAAGGCAGAGGCCTAGAAGAATATGTAAGTGAGCACTTATTAGCGAGGCGGATTATAAGTAGACTCATAGTCATTCACCGCAATCTTACGCATCACGATAAGCCGTGCATACAATCGCAAGGCCAAAGAATAATATTGGTGGCAATGTTACATGAGTAGAAATCCTAACAGTGTTGGCCTGTGATTCTCCGGGTTGATAAAATTTGGCTCTACACCTGGCGGAGGTGTTTCCGCTGGGTTATGGCCTGGGAGATCTCCGAGTCTTTCCACAAGCATGACGGCGTGTTTTGTGGCAGAATTATGCCTCACAGTGCGTAGGGGTGAATGTGATTAGAAATTTAGGAACCAAAGCACTTCAGGGGATTGGGGCGAGAGAGGAGAATACTGAAGACACTTGAGAGAAGGGAGCCGGTTGCTATACAACCCGTGAGCCCCCGCCCAGTTCAATTATATTCATCTGCGGAGGCTTCAACCACACTATATTTTTCCTTTACACTATATAAACCAGCTATCTTTTAGTTTAATTATTTATTTCTTCTCTTTAAAGCTTATATATAAAGTCTTTAATAACTTTATATATATTCTTATAATTCTCTTATAAAGAAACTTTAAATTTATTCCTTCCTTTATTTTTATTATATTTTTTTATATTATTAAAAAGTTAATAATTATTAATAATGAAAATATAAATTTAAAGAAAAATAAACTTATTATATTCTTTCTTTATTTTTTATAAATTATTTTAAAACCTTTTAAAAGTTTTAATATTTTATTATAATAGTTTTAAAATAATATATTATAAATTATTTCTTTATTTTAAATTCTTTTAAAGTTAATAATTATATATTTAAATAAAAGTTATAATATTAACTTTTAAACTTATTTAATAAGAATTTTATTAATATATATATTTAAAAATAATTTTTAATTAAATTTTTTTAATATAATTTATTTATATAATAATTATTTTTAAATTTAATTTTATTATATAACCTTTTATAATAATTAAACTATAAACTATTTTTATTTATAATTTTAATAAATATTATTATTAAAATAATACTTTTTAATTTTATTTATATATTATAAAGTTAAAATTATAAATATTTATTATATTATAATTATTATTAATAATATTATATTCTTTTTAAATTTTAAATTTTAAATATTTACTATTATATAAAGGTGCTATATATATCCTTAGATATATATGGAATAGAAGTGAAACTATATTTATCTGTGGAAGGTATTCCCGGTTTTTTCGAAGGATGCGGCACTATTTTCTGAAGCTTGTATCCTTTCCCTTGGCTCTAGGCCTTTCATTGACTGACTGGTTCCATTCATCTGCAGTATTTTGCAAGCGTCTGCAGGAACACTCTGTCAGCACAGCCTTATCTCTACCTTTACTCACACCACCGTATCCCATATTTAGCAGTGAAATACTACCCGATGCAGTCATGGCTTCGTGAAATTGTACAAACGGGAATGAGCACAGCACTGCATGCTTCCGTCCTCCCTTGTGGGGTGCATCCGTCTTAGGCCTCCATCGACCCGAAATGCAGCTGCAATTAAACCTCACCAATGCCACTGCCTGACCTTATAGACCTCAATACCAAGGTCTGAGCGGATTGGATAGAGTCGCTTACGGCCGGCGTGGACTGAAAGACAAGCCAGGCAGGTCAAGATGCAGAATGCCATCTGTATAGGTTCCGGGCGTCTGCACGCATAGCACATTGCACTCCCTTACAAATGGGGTACTCCATAGGCAGTATCCGAATTAACTAAATTTATGTTAGGCGACACAGTCAAGGAAATCTATATACTCGTTAAATCTATATGCTGTAAAGCTACTTCAAATTTTCAGCTTATTTTAAATTCGGCAATGTTAGTCTTTTACATCTACCTCGCAGCAGTTCCTCCGAATTTTCTACTACAATATCCTTCACCGAGATTTCTATCTTCCTAGTTATATCTAGAGAAGTCTATAACCTAGCTACAGCTATCATGTAGTAAAATATTAGCCTTTATATTAGTGGTGTTTTCATAATTTAGTCTCCACTTAAAAAGACCTAGATTTTCATGTACCGTAAATATCTGTGAATATTTTGAAAATCCGAAACAAAATTTAGAAGACCGTTCTTCAAACTGGTCAACGAGACTTCGCGCAGCCAATCATCATCCATTACTAGCATGTCTTATCCCCGAGCGAACACAAGTTTGAACGATGCACAAAGCACACTTTGAGGAATTCCGCATCATGCGTTGTCGGTGGCATTCATATTGTAGAATGTCATCTCTCAAATATGTCTGTTGTGGCACAAAAGCGCATATATTCCAATCCATCCGTACAAATAATAAGAGTTACTATCGTTCTCCGTAGGTTCATAATTTCATTAACGTCCACCACTGCCCATCCATCAGCTGAGGCGGCCGACACCCCTTCTCAATCCCCATCTCATTCTGACTTTGTCGGGTATCACTCTTCCTCCGAAAAAAGAGGGAGGAGAGACAAAAGACCAGCCCCCAGACTCTAGTGCATCCAGAAGCCCAGGACACCAGCGCCGACCACAGTCAGGAAAACCTTCATGCCGCCGCCGAGGGGCTCCAGGCCGGGCGCGCCAGCGACCGTGACGCCGGTCCCGGTGGCCGCGGCCCCGGTGCCCGTCGGCGTCCGGGTGCCGGTGGTGACGATGGTGCTCGAGCCGCTGGTGACGGTGCTGGTGAAGGTGCTGGGGCTGGTGAAGGTGCTGGGGCTGGTGGCCCCGGAGCCACCCGTGGGCGCGGCGGCAGCCCCGCCCGTGATGGTGGTGGTGAGCTGGTTGGCGTTGTCGGGGCGGGTGGCGGCGACGACGACGCCGTTGGCCGCGTTGGCGTCCGCGGCCGAGTAGGTTGCGCCGGAGAAGCCGCAGCGGCTCACGATCTCGTTGATGCTGTGGGGCCGGGGTTAGTGGTTTATTCATCATCGCATAGTATCACTTTGGACAGCGCCGGCACTTACTCCCTGTTGTTGTCGTCGGGCCTGTCGTCGGCGTCGTTGTCGTCGTCAGTGTCGACGACGGTGTTCTGCTGCATGCAGCTCTGGCACAGGCCGGCGAACCGCTGGACGTCGAAGCTGTTGTTGGTGCAGAGGCACTGCAGCTGCAGGCGGTCCTCGGTCAGGTCGTCGGGGACACGGTCATCGTCGACATCGCAGGTGCGGCTCAGCTCCAAGACGGGCCGGCAGATGGATGTGCACTGAGGCGAGATGTCCTCTGAGTCGAGCTGGAGGTCGGCCTTGACGGCGACGAGGAGGATGGCGGAGAGAAGAGCGGCGGAGTGCATTATGTCTTGATTTCGTTAGGACTAATAATTATTCGAGAATTGTCTGATTATTCTGATGTTGAGGATTTTGGTGCGAGTCTTTTGTCTGCACTGGAGCTTATGAGGCGCTTGATTGTTGTTGTTTATGTTGGTGATGTTGGATGGGATGTCAACCGCATGAAGTCCTGAGATTGCACCCTTTATTTATACCACTCCCCATCACCACGGTCCCCATCGAGATTGTGCTTGGTATGCCAAGTCGATGTTTATTCATAGCAACGACAATCTGCCAGCGCGGATCCCAACCAAGTTCTCTCGACAGCGACGGCCTGTACACGAGTCGTCTTAGCCCCATCCATATACCAATGCCACAACCAAGGAGCTGTATGGCCAAGTTGGGCAGGGGGAACTCAATTCTCGCTCGGCAGCAAGGCGCAGACGGCCGTGGTGCAAGAGGGCCCAGCCGACCCGCTGAGGCCAGGCCTGGCTGTGACCCCGTACCATCGTGGGGCCCCGCCAGCATGCTTTGCTTTCGTTACCTTGCTTGGTTGCTGGCTGGCTGGGTGGGATGGGGATCAACACCCTCACGTGTGTCGCCGCGACCCGCCTCCCTGCAGCCTTCAGAAACCTTGTCAAGCTGGAACAACGGCGCGATGTGGCACTCGTCATCGCGAGGCGAGTGGGCAAGACACCCGTACCGCCGAACCAGCTGCCGAGCCGTCACCCGGTAGTGGAAAGGGCTGGGGACGATCTGTGCAGCGCTGCCAAGCTGCAGAGCCACGATGGCCACACAATGCCCTGCTGGAGATGGTTCTTGGCCTTATGTAAGTGCGCCTGACTAGCAAGGAGGCATTCACCTGCCGTACCAGAGTTGCTTGACATGACGGAACGCCGTCACTGGTTCGTTGCGCGACATCAGCCCCTCTGTTGATGGCCGCCCCGTCGACTTGGCGGATTCGAAGCCTCTTGTTCCCATGCTTGCCATGGTTGCTCACATATCACCAGGGGGCCCATCCCGCAACACATCGGTCAAGGTTTTTGGCTTTAAGGTTAAAGCCATGCTTGGCATCTTTGCCCATCGCAACTTCAACTGCCGTCTGATGGGGTGCTCTTCGGGACGACCGCCTCGCCTTGACCCGAGATCAGCAGTCTGGTTGCGCGGCCATGCTGCGTGTCCAGCCATGTGTTGCGCAACATACGTCGCATTGGTGTGTTGTTGGCAGATGGCTGTGCTTCAGCCCCATGCCTTGTGTTTGTTTCCAGAACAAATCAAACACGCCGGCAGGCCTGACGGGCCAGAGCTAAAGTGTCCCGCCCCTCCACGTCCGACCCCAACCAGTGCCCCCCGACATTTCCATCGGCTGTAGCCGTCGATCCTGGTTGCATCATCTCAACGTCTTCTTCCTAAGCGCCCCCCGACTTCCGTCCAACTTGTCGGAAGCCGGTGTGCCTAAATATAGCCACCGACCTCCGGCCGTCCGCTCCTGGTCGCGTGACCCGGCACTGACCCTCTGGTGAGGTCTTGGGTAAGGCGAGGCCGATGAGGTATATCCACAGCATACACATATATATAATATAGCCTGCGAGTATTTGGTGGTACCAACGTCATCAGAACACTATGCGAAAGCGTTAGCGGAGACATGATTTATGAACTCCAACTCGGCGAGTCCCTGCACGTGGTTCAAAGTCAAGGAAGGCCTTCAAGCTCCCAACATGGCTGAGATGCGTCTTGCTTCGCCTGCCCAGTCCAGCCGTGGCTTGTGCTCTCCTTGGGATGGCGTGATAAGACAGCACGAGGCGCGCGGCAGCTGTGCTCGGACTTGCCTGGACTCTTGGCCTATGCTGCTCACTTGGGGTCAGATCTAGATCAAGCGCGACAAGAATACCAGTTTTCCGTTAACCTGCCATTGCAAATGACAATCAATGTATTGGTTGGTCCTCACATAATCCATGGGAAGTATGCTTCCAAATCAAGCTGAAGAGTTGCACGTGGCTAGCTTGCGACACGCTGGTTGGGGCTCTCCACGTTTCTGCTCTCCTAATATTTTCCCCCGTCATTTCCTAGGTCACCACATATCGTACATTTTGCGGCCCGTCACCAGCCTCTCGAAATCACATTCGCATAGCTTAGAGGCTGAGTGAGACAGTCCAACAAGGCCAAACCCTCCCTGATGTTGCCAGAAGTTGCACCATGCGCCCGTCGCTTGTGTATGATGAGTAAAAGTGAAAAGTGAAAACAAGAACAATGTCCAGAATATTCAAAGTTATGGTGAAATAGGATACGCCAAACACGACCTCGCTTTGTGCTGATCGCGGAAGAGCCGGCCAGAGAAAGGAATATGCAAAATGTGGGAGTAGGCCGCCTTCCTTCCGAAGTAAATAGTGGATACAAGTAAGAGTTTTTGTACAGAAGGTCCTTGTTGAGATGGCGCTTAGATGGTTTTGTAAATCGCGTGGGTATCTTGAAAGGACGAGACGATCGTATATCTATCGACGAGTGGTCGAGATGCTGAGATGCCGAGGGAGAATAGTGGTCTGCGGTGCGGCCGAGAAGGTCCTCGCGGTATCGTCCGCGAGGCCGAGTTCGCACGCAAGTACCTTGCCATTAATCAAATTAGAATTACGTGTAGGTTCGTCCTGTGGTCGGCCGTCCGGTCGGCGGTCGCGCCGTCGTTGGCCGACTGGATGCCGGCCGACTCGACGGTGGGCGGTCCATCCTCTTGCCATCGAGGAATTGTGGGCTCCGTTGGTCATAGTAGTGGTTGACGGGCTGCTGACGCCGTCTCTCCTCAAACGCCGCCCGCTCTTCCTCGTCAAGCGAGAACGCCTTCTTCAGCCAGCCAAAAGCGCTGCGCTTCTTCTTCACCGTTCGGTTGGTACCGGAGCTGTCCTGGCTCATCGTCGTCACGTTGCTGAGCATGCTCATGCCCATCTGCGACGGCGCGTTGCGTTGGTGATTCCCAGGCCTGTTGCCAACCGTTCCAGCTGTGTGAGGGCGTTGCTGCAATGGCGAGTGAGGGCTGGCCTGGACAGGGCGGAAATACTGGTGTTCAGAGGCCGGTGACGGTATTAGGTTCGGAAACGAGGGTGGTGTGTAATCGACGTTGATGTAGTGTTTTCCAGAGTCGTGGTTGTGAGGTCCATCGACCTCAGAGCCGCGTGCGGAATCCTGGGGTCGATTACTACGTGGCGAGCCTTGCACTGAGTCCCCTGGGGTGGGGAAACGTGGTAGCTGAAGATCTAGCGCGTTGGCTGCCGGTACGTGAATGTCCTTTGGGAGTTCGATCTTGAGTGACACTCGATCTCTCAAGGAAGTCCGGTGAGAAGACTTGGCCTCCAGTTCATGCGGCTCTGACCCCTGCCTTTGCCTGATCTGCAGGGGCTTTGGGTGAGGGTCCGGATGCGGTGCTGTCCTATGCGTGGAGCGCGGAGGAGGGAGCGGGACGATGATGGCGGACTCGCGCAACCAATCCTCCGAATCCGTGTCATCATCGTCCTCCTCGGCCTCGATGTGAATGCTTATTTCTTCTGGCGTCGGCCGTGGTGCGGCCGAGACTCGCGGAGATGGTATTGGTGCGGGGGGCACTGGCGTGTAGGTCCTTGGCTGCAGGATAAACAACCCGTTGTCGTTGTCGTTGCTGTCACCGGCTGAGCTTTCTGATCCTGATTCCTCATCGCTCGACTCGTCATGCAGGGCTACCCGCTCAACCACGAGCTCTGGTATTGTTGTTGAGGTTTCCGGAGGAGTGTACTCGAATGCGGGGAGGCTGTCCCTCACCGTCTCGGAGTCTTGTGTCATTCTCTTTGCCGATCTCGTAGGGAGCTCAAAGCAGACAGGGCTCTCGGGAGCCTCCAGAAGAGACGTCATCGGCGCCCCGAAGTACAGCGTTTTGATGCGCGGAGGAGCACCGATCTTGGACGTCGGGGGCGAGGGCGGCGGTGTGGCGTGCGCAGGGCCATCGGGGGCGCGGGACATGGGTCGCCCATCCGGGTCCGAGTATGGCTCCAGCGTGAACTTGCCATGTGTCAGTACGAAGACGCCGTTTTGAAGTCGGGGGGAGAGGGGCGGAACTCACTCTAGTCCGTCGACTGACCTCCCCAGCCCTCTTGTCAATCTCGACAATCATTGTGCTGAGACGGACACAGAGGCCGCTGAGGAGGGTGCTTTGTGACTCCAGGGCCGTGAAGGCATTGAACCAGCCTTCCGTGTTGCCCTTCATCGCATCGAAAACGTCTATCACGTCAGGCCGCTCCTGCCGCCACTGGCCCTTCTCATTCTCTGTCAAGTATTGGGAAAACTGTTTAGCCGCGCGGAGGCCTTCGGACGTATCGCGGATGGTCTGTGTATGCGCGGTCGAGGTCCGGGAGAGGATGTGCTCGATTTTGACGTTTCCTTCAACGATTTGAAGACGGAATTTCCGGTTTTCCAGCATCTGCTCAAAAATTTCCATGTTCTCCATTGGAAGTTTCAGAAAATCCAGCCTCTCGTTCAGGTCCTGGGTCGCCAGCCTCACGTCCTCCATTGCCGCCTCAAGGAATTCGTCGACCTCGTCGATGTGGCCCTGGAGTATGGAGAGGACCTGGGCGTTGCTGTTGGCCATGCCATTGATGAGCAGGTACACGCCGAAGGATATCTGAGCCATCAGTTTCCTGAGCTCATGGCACTTCTGGCCGGGTCGGAAGCGCCAAAGGCGGTTTGGGGGTCCTTCAGATTTGTCCTCATCAAGCAGTTTCTCCCGGCGTGCTTTTGCGTCGAGGGTTTTCAATTTTGGCTTCTGCTCGAGGCTTCCCGCGGTAGCCTCCTCCAGGGATTCTGCAAAGGCGTCCTGCATAGACGCAATGGGGTGCAGGGGGATGTTGGAACGGCCTGAGGGGGCCGGGCTGGGTGGGTCCTCCTCAGGGTCCAAGTAGGCGTCATCGTCGTCGGAGGAGTCGTCGAAGTGGCTTATTGTGGTTCGGCACGGGCTCCTCGTGTCACTCCGGTCAGGAATTGACTCGGGAGCGAGGTGCACCGGGAAGGGGTCGTTGTGGCCCATGGGGCGCGAGACGGTGGTGGTGGTCATGGTGCACAGCAGGGAATGATGGCTCGCTTCGATGCCAGCCTAGACCGGCGTGTCTGTGACCATCGGCAAACGGACGTGGGGGATTCGACGGGACGGACGGGCGTGGTTGTCGTCGGAGAGTAAGTCGGACAGTGTGACAAGAGGCGACAGCAGCCAACCGTGGGCCCACGCAGCCAGCCGCACTGCAGAGTCCCGGGAAACGAGCCTGTCGCTCACACAAGACAGGTGACAGAACGGCAGGTGTTGTACAAATCGAGGGGCAGGCTCCAAGCACCAAGGGGTGTCCTGACTCAAGCGGTGCTGGTCACCCGGGCGTAACCTCCCTCGCGGTGCATGTGAAGGCAGTGAGGGTCCAAAAAAGAAAAAGGATGGGCAAGTCAGCGGGAGGCGTTGATCCTCACAAGCATGATTCGGTCATGAGAGAGGCGCAGTGTGAGGGCGAACAAAGGCGGAGATGTCGGAGGCAGGCGGCGGGAGAGATGGAAGGAGGAGAGAAGCTTGGAAGGACGAGTGATCAAAGGGCCGGCCGCGGGCTGCTGCTAGTGATGGATGAAGTTAAGGGTGGGATGGATTAACGGGTGCGCGACGTTGGCGACAGAAGTTTGATGACAGCGGTGGGTTCCAAGCGATAGTCCGACCGAGCTTGGACTAACGAGAGGCTGAGGAGATTAAGGTTTGTATTAGCTGGGACCGGCTGGAGCCCTGGAGCACTGGAGCACTGGAGCGAAGCGGCGCCGGAAAACTAGGGGGGGCTCTAGGCGGGGGAGGAGAGCCGCAGGTTTGCACTATTGTGAAATGAAGGGCGAGAGGGTTGTATTAGGGCCTGTGGTAGTGGGCGTGGAGGTGGTAGTGGTGGTGGCGGGCGGTGGATGTCGAGAGGAGTGGAAACGAGTGTGAAGGGATGTGGACGTGGGCGTGGGCGTGGGAGTGGGTTTGGATCTTGTTTGTGTGGTTGGGGTTAAGTGGTGGTGGTCAGAATCGGCGAGGAAGGAAGAGAGGACTCGTGGCTTTCTTTCCCATGGGTGTGGGTTGGGACATAAGCTCGGAGCCCTGCAGTCAAGACAATAGCAAAATGCTAGATGCTGGATGCGGATAAGGAAGCACAGCACACAGGCCCACGCATCGCCGATTTGTTATGTGTGTGTCTCTTTCATGTCTGCAGATGCTGCCGCTGCCTCGGTGTCGGCCCAAAATGTTTGCACCCATACGCTCACCGAGGTCAGCCTCCCTCGTCTCTCTCTCCCTTTCCTCTCTCTCTCTTTCTCTCTCTCTATCTTGCTGTCTTCCTGTCCCGCCCTCTCAATACCTAGGTACGGACCGAGTACACTACAGCACACACCCATACCGAGACCTGCCATGCTGTGCCGTGCCGCGCCGTGGGAAGGGGGGCCTGACTGGCCCTGCAGTGTAGGGGTCAGCCTGGTCAGGTGAGGGCGGAGGGTGTCAAGGTTTGGCGGCTGCAGGTGGAGGACAAAAAAAAGGGGCCCCCATCCCTTCCACCCGCGAAGCGAGGAAAACAAGCGGAGTCTGTTCGCCAGGTCATCCGAAGTCTTGGTTCGAGGTCGGGGTCCAACCACAGCGATCACCGGCGTACCGCAGTAGCGAGACGACGGTTGGCAGGTTGGGCGGGCAGGACGGGCGAAGGATCCCACCCGAGCGCCCCAAGGGCCCCAAGGGCTCCCAGGGCAACAGGGCAACAGGGGTCCAAGCTCCTCGTGGCAGCGTGGCAGCGTGGGCAGCGTGGTATCCTGCGCCGTCCCATGACCCCAGGGCCAATTTCTCAAAAGGGCCATCGACCCGTCCGAACTGGCAGAGCTGCCCAGCACCCAGGTGGGCAAGACTGGACTCATCCGAGCAGGTCAGGCCTGGGCAGCGTGCCATCGACGACTGCACGGCAGCGGTGGCCATGGACAACCAAGCAGCCCAAGATAAGCCGTTGGGGACAAACCTTGTCGGAGGATTGCCTTGCACTGTTGTATTCTGCACCATTACGAGGAGTGGTGGCCGCCAACACCAGCCTAGCCTGGCCGGGGCTGCTGGGATGACCAGTCTACCAGCTCGTCTAGCCGTTGGTCTTTCCTGCATTGGGGTCCGGCATTCGTCATTCTGGGATATTGTACAACTGGATATGGACATGTCTTATTTAGCCCTGCCTGCCTGCCAGCTAGCCTGGGGGCCGAGGGCTCACCACGGATTGCACACTCACACTCACTTACACTCATTATTATTGCCCCCCCTCGCCAAATCTCCGCCGCCCATGGTCCTCCCAGGGAGGGGCCGATGATGCATCATGGGACGATTGATTGAATTGGAGGGAACCAGTGGGGAAGCCGCTGTACAGTACTTTGGTATTTCGCCTGTCGATGGTGTGGATATGGGCGACTGATCGTCAAATCTTGGTACTGAACCCATCTGGCACACTATTTCCGTCTCGCAGATGGGGCTCCCAGGAACCACAGGTACTGCAGGAACTGCATACACAGTACAGGTACACCTGAGTACTAACCATCTAGGTAGGTAAAAGTGTGCAGCAAATGCTCATCGCAACCACTTCTGCCACCGATCAGTCATCACCGCACAACTGCACAATATATCTAGCTCAGTCCTGTCCCGTATCCCCCCTGAGCGGTTTGTGGTACAGGCTGGGGTAATCCTGGCCCCCACCCTCTCCCCTGCCACAACCATCCTTGGCCATCGGACTGATAGCCGCGCCCCTGGACCGCGACCGACTGCACATCTCTTGCGCTAGCCTCGACGAGAGCTCGGGGCCCTGAGCTCTAGACCATCACGGCACCATGGGCAAGTGTGCTAGGCCCTGCAAGGGTATCGTTGCAGGCACCCAGGTACCCGGGTACCTGGAACGGTGGGTGCTATGGCGCAGAGGTGATCTTGGTCCAACCACAGCCTCCCGAGGCGTTTGGCCCATTGGCACTGACTCCGTGGGGCACTCCAATGGTCTGGATATTAGGCATTCTTTACTCGAGTCTCCAGGGCCTCTCCCTGGAACTGGTCCATCGTCTCCTTTCGCCCCCTCTCATCTTTATTTCAGGCAACAATCGAGGAGGTGGGATCAGAGGAGAAAAATTCAAATACCGTGTAAGGGGGGAAAACCACTCACTCGCTTGCGCACTCGACTCGGTGTTGCCGCAGACTTTCGCCCCCAGCGGAGTTGTGAACAATCTCTCTGCCAGGAAGGCATGTCCTCCGGGGGCACAATTCTAGGGGCTCTCAATCTATCCGCGTGCGGGATCCCTGAGCTTCCATGGTTCTTTGACCGGAGAAAATCTCAGCGCTAGGAGCCGCAGTCCCCTCCACGAGCCCCCCTTGCAGCCGGGCAACCTGGCTGGAGATGCCCGATGCCCGTCGAGATTCGCCTGGTTCCCGGGTCGTCTGTCCCTCGGCTCCGGAGTCCAATGGCTTGCTCTGCCCCAGGGCGCCGGTCAACCAGCAATGCAGGACTCGCCCGAGGCCTGCAGCGACACCGGCCCATGCAGTCATCAAATATCTGCCCTGCAGAAGTGCGCGAGACACCCAACCCGGCCGCCTGTCAATTGCAAGCCACAACCATGGCCCCGACTGTGCACCGCATCTGCTGAGCCACCTCACACAAGGGCGCTGGCTGCGGGCGCGCAGGGCCGGGGTAGGCCATGTGCCAACGCTCACTGGCGAAACCAAGACGACCATCACCTGCATGGCCGCCGACTTTACGAGGCTTTGTGTCTAGAGTGTCTGCTCCGCAGCGGACTTCTTTCCGTTGGGTGCCAGGGTGCTTATGGCGCCTCTGAGACAACAGGCTTGCGCGAGGGCCCGAGGAGGAGTTGAGACAACCAGAGCCGTGTCTCGTGCGACGGCGCAACAACAAGCCTGGCATGTCGAATTCCTTCTGTTCCAGTAGGCGAACTGAAGTACTGTGGTGGTGGCCCAGAGAGTCACGGCTGGCCTGGCTTCAATTGCCGGGTGCCCCCTAGAACAATGGTCACACTCACGACCAGATTGATACTGGGGTCCGGGCGTAGCGAGGCGACACTCGGACGGGATGGTGATATATCAACTCCGGGTGGCATGGTGCCAGTTGACGGCACAATGGGTTGACAGCTTGGCGACCCAGGAGCCCGTAGGGCACGAAGCATCAATTGGGATTGAGGCTCACTTCAGATCTGGACTCGGCTCCGGGCGGACATTGCCCTCAAAGGCAAGCCCTCATTTCGGCTGACGAAAAGGTCACGATTCAGGCACTCCAGTCACTCCAATCACAAGGCCAACCGAGATAGTCTGAGCTCAACCTTCAGGGAAGGATGGGTATGCTGCCCTGGGCCGACTGCCCTTCAAACCGATCCGAAGCCTCTTCGCAGCCGGGTCGAGTTTCCAACGGCGGTTGCCATCCTGCCATCGTAATAGATGCAGAGGCATCTCGCATGGTGTCGTGGCTAATGCACCTCTAGCGGGGTGATCTGCCCAGTCGGTGCGGTATCAGCGATAAGCTAGCCTTAGCTAGTAGTAGGGAAGAAAAAGAAGCAATTCGTGTTCGAGTCGTCGTCCCCTCTCGGCCCATCCAGTTCGGTTCTGGAAAAGACTCCGCGGGGTTTAAGCCTCGGCTTCTTTGCGTGCTTGCGTGTCGTTTCCCTGTGCCAGACACGGATAGTCTAGGTAGTCCAGTCTGCCGTCCTGGCCTAGTCTCAGCCTGTGTCTCTGCACTACCCACGCGCATAGGCTTTTTTTTCCTGTTACCTTTATTTTTCGCTTCTGATCGACAAACGTTGACGACTTCCTCTTGGCGTACCAAACGGGTGGATCGAATCGGTCACAACCACCTTGTGCATTCGATCACTGCCGCCCACGCCGCCGCCCAAAAACCTCTTGTTCTCGTCGCCGGGATGGTGCGACTTCAGAATCCTTTCAAGCTCGGTGACGACCTCTGGGACCCGTCCCACAGGTACGAGACGTCCTGGTTGCTCCCGCCGTATGCCTTGGCCGCTTGTCGTGCCGTCTTTGTACGTTCCTGGGCGAAACCTTAAACTGCATGCATCAGCCTCTTTTCGGGAACCTCGATAGGCCCGTTGGTGCTCGTTACCATGCACCTGTTGGCCCGATCCTTGGTCGGCTCCCATCGGTGACCCACCAGACCAGACCACGAGACTGAGCCTCACTACCAGGAGTCAACCAGCTAACCAACCAACCCCGTCTACAGGGCCTCTATGGCATCTTCGTCGAGCTCTTCTCGTCGGGCTGGTACTGCACGCATCCGTCCCTTGGCGGGTGCGAGCAGGCTGGCGACAGCTTCTCCTACTTCACCGTGCTGACATACTGGGGGCTGGCCTTTTACAACCTGACGGCAGCGGTGCACACCTTTACCTACGCGCGGACGGGCACGCCCCTGCTGGACCGCTTCCCCCGCTCCCTGCAGGCGCTCCACGCCTTCTACTATACCACCGTGACGACGTATCCGTTCATCGTGACCGCCGTCTACTGGGGCGTCATCTTCCCGGGCGTGTGGTTCACAGAGGAGTTTAGCGGCTGGAGTAGTCAGTATCCCTTTTCTCCTCTTGCCTCTTTGCCGGATTCTCGCCCATTTCATATTTTGAAAATTGGTCTAGCATGCAACACTTTTTCCGGATCCGTACCAGGGCTAACCTCCTCCACCAGACGTCTCGCAGCACGCCCTCAACAGCTTCTTCGCCCTCTTCGAGATCGTGGTGCCCCGCACGCCGCTGCCGCCCTGGGTCCACATGGTGTGGCTTATCTTCGTGCTGGCCCTGTACCTCTCTCTGGCGTACGTCACGCACGCCACCAAGGGCTTCTACACGTACACCTTCCTCGACATCGAGAAGCAGGGGTCCGCCATCACCGCGGCGTGGATCATCGCCATCGCCGTCGCCGCCGTCGTCGTCTACCTGCTCGTCCGCGGCGCCCTTTGGCTGCGCCTGTGGCTGACGGAGAAGAAGGCCGGCATGGACGGCCGCTTTGCGGGCCAGCCCGCCGCGCTGAGCAGCACCGCCGATGTCGAGCTTGGGAACTACAGGAGCCAGGAGCCCAAGCCGATCGACCCCCATCATTATTAAGGTGGCCGGCGGGCCGGGCGCCTGTCCGGGGTAGTTAGATGTCTCTCCTTTGTCGGTGCATCTGCATAGCCGTGCTTCATTTTTCGGATAGAATTGTCTGGTGGATATACCCCTCTAATAGTTATTGGGCTCGGACATGGCCACAGGGCGAGTTGATATAGAATAATACAATATTGGATTGGCAGGATTCGACCAACTCATTGGCCCTGTATCACAAGTGAAACAATACTCTCGGAGCTCATCGTCGATGTAGAATTGCTCTGGATACTCATGAATCATAGCGTCAATCGAGGCCTCAGGGACGAGTGCTTAGTCTGTTGAGGTTCTGAAGATGCTTCGAACTTGAGCTGGATGCCATCGTGACAAGACCCTGCGGAAGTGCGCTCCAGGATCTGAGGAAATCGGAAGGACGTAGCGAGTCCAGCATCAGCTTTAAAGAATGGTTTGCTCTCTTAATCAGTGGTAAAACACCACTACAACATGCGTCGGTGTCACACACTCAACAGCCATGATATGGTAGAATGAAGTCCCGGTGTGCCGAGACGAGCTTATTCTGTTCACTAGATTTTTCTAACACTTCAAAGAGATGCCCCTCCGAGCCTCGCTCTCTCTGATTTCAAACATAACCTGGATACCCATGAAGATTGCTGTACATGCCGTGATGAGGAAGAGTATGCCTATGAGATTAACAGTCAGCCGCTGTTCCTGGAGAGGGGAGCCGCCGAGGGAGGAAGGCAGGAATCTTACCAGAGAAAGATTGGAATATGCCGCTGAGTATACTCTGCAATCCATCCAGCCCGAATGCGAACCCGACGAGGTTGGCCGCCATCATCATCAGCGTGTTCGCCACCGCACCCAGGCAGCAAACCATCCTATAACGGGTCTCATTCCCGCCGAACATCTTCTTGGTAACGACGACCCTGCCCAGGGCCTCAGGGACGATGAACAGCACGATGAGCCAGGCCCAGATGAGCAGGCGCAGCTTGATGTCATGCCACAGCGCAACGAAGGTGAAGATTATCAGGTAGCCAGCAATGGACCGCAGGGACGAGTACAGCGTCGCGAACGACGCGCCGCCCAGGGGGATCCAGATGTAGCGGATGAGCCACTTGTTGTACGAGCGGTGCCACCCGCGCCAGAAGGACAACGTGGAGAAGTTGTTACTGACGCAGCGCACCATGTTCTCGGGCGGGTCGATCCCGTCCGCCAGGCTCCAGAGCCGGAAGAACCGCCAGGGCAGCAGCAGCTTCAGCCAGATTATGATGAGGTTCTGGAAGCTCAGCAGCGAGAGCTGCGCGGGCGTGTACGAGTCCCACACCGGCAGGGAGCTCGAGATGGCGCCGACGTAGATGAAATGCAGGAGGAGCTCCATGCACAGCAGGCAGAGCAGGAACCGCACGCCGTATCGCACGGTGCGGCTGGTCTCGATGCTGTGTGGACGGTAACGGAGCTGGGAAATGTAGTCATTGAAGGTGAGAATAGGCCCCGTGAGGTACAACGGGGCGTAGAGCGCGTAGGCGAGGTAGTTACGGAAGCTGTAGTCTCGCTTGGGCGCTGGTATTGTCACGCGGTCTCGCTCCGAGAGAGCGGCTGGGTCGAGTTGTTTCTTCTTAGATCTGTCAGTGGCTCGTCCCTATGACCAGATGGCGATGCGAGTGGCCTACCTCGATAGAGCTTGTCCCACGGTGGTCCAGACTCCAGTAATAGTCCAGATTGAAGCTGATCAACCTCAGGACGGTGATATTGAACAGGACCTCCCAGCGTCCCATGATACCGCCCCAGCTGTCCATCCACAAACCCCAATCCACAAGCGCGTTATGCACGTGCACCGTCCGGAGCAGGAAAGGGGAAGTGCCCGAAAGCACGGCCGTTATGTCCCTATAGTGATATCCCTGGCAGAGCTCGTTCGCAAACAGCGTCGCAATGTTGAACACCCAGGTGGTGACCGGGACGAGCCTCCTCGGCAGTCTCTTTGCGACGTTGTAGTTGATCCACAGGATTGCGATCACCTTGAACATGGAGAAACCGTGCAACGCGGCCAGGAATATTATAGCAAAGGTGTAGTCGAAGGAGGCGCGCTGCTCGAGTCGGGCTTCGGCCTGGTCGGCGAGGGGGACCTTGCCCTGAGGCGGGAGGGGCTTGAACCTGTTCCATAGCTTCCTCAACAATGGGTGGAATACAAGCAGAACGGCTAGATATGGAACATTTTGTCGGAAGCTGCGGTACTGAGAGTCGGTATTATCCTACGCATGGCATTTTAGCGTGATGCCTGGGGCAGCGTATGGATACTTGTTTGCTCACGATCTTGCGCCCCGGAACCCAGCCGTCTGTCAGCCTGTGTTCATATTTATGATACCGAGGATCGGAAGCTTCCATCTATCAGCATCGCACGGTGTCGCGTGACAGGTACTACAGGGCCATACGTCTTGACACAGTATATGGAATCCAGAGCATCCAGGGGATGCAAACGAACACGACGGTGAGGTACAGGTAGAACTCGGGCGTGTTCCATTTTGAAGGCGGTGCCCTGCTGGCAATCTTTTCCTTTTGTGCGTCTCTTACGTCCTTCTCGCCGCGCGAGTCAATGACTGTTTTGTACGAGGTTGCAGAGGAAGTCGTGAAGCGGGTGTCGAGCGTGTCAAGCGCGTAGACACTCCGGAGGAAGGAGAGCGGGCTCATCGCGGACGGATGCTCGGGGTCAATCCAGGCGGCTTGCTCAGATCATTGTCGAGAGCGACTGTGGTTTGGGCGATGGGTGATAGTCGAGGTGGTTGAGGTGGTCGAGCAGGCCTCGCCCGTGGGTGTCATGAAAGTATGTCTGGCACGAGACGATGAATACGACACGCCAGTCAGACACGAATCTTGTAAGGCTGATGGAATGCCCCTTTCTCTGTCCCGCCAATCGGGAGGTCCCAGCTGGCAGTTGAGCCTAATCCTGGGGGATCGGCAGGGACCGCAGGGACCGCAGCTACGCAGCTGCAGCTCCAGATGTCACGTCTGATGCCTCGGCTCGGGCTCCACGACTTAGCAAGGGTGGCTTCGAGAACATTTCCAGAAACGGTCCCCTTTCTCAATTCGGTCGTATTCACCCGCGGATATTTTTTCAGATAGCTTCCTTTGTGAACATTCGAGGACTGTGAATGGAAGAAGCTAGCGAGGGGCGCTTCAAAGTAGGGACTCTGATAGGCCGGTCTGCTTTATCCTATGTCCTCAGGACCACTTACAGCCTGGGACGGCCGGATTCAAACCCTTTGTCTATTTGTTGTATGCATAACATTGCGTGGAGATCTTGGCCTTCCATTTGATTGCAGCTGACCGGATGATCATTGAGCTCAAGATCTCATTACATTTTCAACATCATGTCTCACCGACACAGAACGGGCTGCGATAGTTTGGCCAAACAGAGGAGAGCACAATGCCCGAGGGGAAACGTGATCATTGGAAGCTCCCGATAATTGTCAACAAGTGCTTGCCTCTTAATAACGCCCATGTACGTGCCCGGGGAAGAGGATTACTTGCAGGGTAGATAAAATTTCGAAAGAACATCCCGGTCCATATTTTAGCATGCCATACCATGGTTCACCCAGAGATCAATGTCAGGTTCACTCTGACCAAGCCATGTTTGTTCAATCAGACAACGACACACTAGACATGAATGAGTCAACCTCCCATGGTTGTGGGTTACTGTGGTACGGGCATCAGCAGAAAAGAGAAATAAAATTGATACATGGGGTGATTCGAACAATATAAAGTTTGCTACATATACAGAGGGAAGAAGATGGTGGCCAGAGACTACCCCCCCTCCTCGCAAAGGCAAAAAGGCTGTGGAAAACAGGCCACTTCCACCTTCCATTGTGCGTGCTGAGAAGCTAGCTGGATGAAGCAGCTATTCTCTGCCCCACTGTAGCAATCCTGGGGCTTGCATGCAGACGGCCAGACGCGCAGTACCTGGGTACCTAGGCCAGTACTCTTCAGGCTCTCCACTTGCATCTACAGGGGTCACAGACCAATCACAATCGCTGGCTGCTTGGATGCTTGCACGACGCGGAGCCGCGTTCGACCTCCACCACTTTTCCCACCACCGCTTTCAGTCATAGACATCCCTCCATCTCCCAACCTGGCCGTCAGCTAGCACTTCTCTATTCGCATAGCCAGCTAGCAGAGGGCAGCGCTTCTTGTCGCTACTCCGTCTTCACGCCCCCTCTTGCGTCAGGCTTAGCCGTCCAGGCTGCGACCCGACCTGCGCCGTCGCATTCCCAGCCTTGCCCTCGACTGACCGTGGCCCGGGCCCGACGCCACCGAGACCCCGCATCTCTTGTCGTATGCACTCAACCTGACAGAAACATCGACTTCAAAATGAGCGAGAGCCAGCTTGACGATAGGGAGCTCGATGGCAAGGACATTGGGCAGAGGGAGCTGGCCGAGAGGGAGCTGGCCGACAAGCTCGTCTCCTTTGCGAAGGCCGTGACCGGCGGAGAGCCAGACTCTACCATCCTTCGCATGCTTAAGGAGTTTGAGTCGGGGGATCCACCGAGTGAGGACAATCTTCGCGTATGTATGGTCCATACTGGCGTTTCCACGCTCTCCGGCGCATAGAGTGGCCTTTGAACCTACAACACAAGCTCCGATGATTGTTGCTGCAGGCGGTCTCTTTCCACCCACACCTAGGCCCTGCAGTAGCAACAGTTACTAATTCAAACCTTTTTACAACAGAAAACTGGCGCTGGAAAGGTTGCAGGGAAGCTCCGCAGCAACAGCAACAAGGAGATCTCCACGGTTGCCGTGAAGGTTGTCGAGAAGTGGAGGAAAAGCGTGGGCAACAAGAGCAATGCCAAGGGCGATGCGCGCCTCAAGGCCAAGATTTCCTCGTCGCGCACCAGTACCCCGTCCAACAACGCCTCCCCCGGTCCTCCCCCGACCCCGTCCGCCAACCAGCCCTACCAGGGAGACACCGAGAAGCGCCACTTCAAGCTGGACAAGGTCGATCTCAAGCGCACCACTTCTGAGACCCGCAACAACTGCGTCGGCATGTTGTACAACGGACTCGCCTACCGGTCCACCGACTCTGTCGAGGTGGTGGTCGCAAAGGCTGTGGAGGTAGAGGCTGCTGCCTACAAGCACCTCAAGGGCGAAGGTGCCGAGTACAAGTCAAAGATAAAGTCCTTGTTCTCGAATCTCAAGGTCAAGAGCAACCGCGAGCTCGGTCGCAGGGTCATGTCCGGCGAGATCTCCGCCGCCGAGTTTGTCAAGATGAGCCAGGACGAGCTCAAGTCGCAGGAGCTCAGGGAACGCGACAGCAAGCTTGAGAAGGAGAACATGAACAAGGCCCAGGTTGCTCAGCCCGAGAAGTCCATCAGCACCGCCCTGACCTGTGGCAAGTGTGGCCAAAAGAAGGTCAGCTACTCTCAGGCTCAGACTCGCAGTGCCGACGAGCCCATGACCACTTTCTGCGAGTGTCTCGTGTGTGGAAATCGCTGGAAGGTATGTAATCCGCAAAAGACCCGCCTGGCTTGCCATACTAGCAGACAAGCTAACTCGACCACAGTTCTCGTAAGCACGGAGCGGCAAATGGTGTCATTATTGATCCATGTACAGTCTTGGGACGTTTTGTTTTGAGCCTGGTTTTGGTCATAATGAGCAGCTTGCCCTGCATGCTTTTTGAGCTGCTGCCACAGCATTTGCTCTCAGCGTCATCCATGGAAGGTGTTTGCGGCGTATCAGGAAGGAGCCTAGGATAAGCTGATATCAAGAGGGATTTTTGATTTATGGCCCTGAAGCTGAGCCCCCGGTGTTTCTCGTTGCTTTTGAAAAAGGGACCTAATTCTGTCGTCTTCTATTGCACAAACTTGTGTCGCGGTCTTGCCCAAGTGGCCAAAGCATCGCGCGACCCACGCAGGAGGTCTACTTTTTTTTACATTTCATTTCTTTCAGACACGTCCTGATGGGTGGACGATTTGATGATATAGAGGCTAGCTGAAGGATGCCCGTCGACGGGGCCATGCCCTCACCAACCGCGACGCTCCAATCCCAGATGTGCAAGCAAATCCGAAGAACTGTGCTCCTCGTCCAGTCCCAGCTCTGCGACCTTCTTGTAGAACTTGCTCAGGTGCCTCTGTCCCGAATCACACAGGATGGTGACGACCGTGCTCCCCTCAGGCAGGGTCAGGGCCGTTGTCACCGCGCCGACGAGGTTGACAGCGCTGCTGCTGCCCGCGAAGATGCCCTCGTTCTCGACCATCCAGCGCGCCATCCTGCAGGCCTGCTCGTCGGTGACCTTGACGGCGTCGTCGATGAGCTCCCTCCCCGCCTCGAAGTTCTCGGTGATGCGGTTGACGCCGACACCCTCGACGATGGTGTCGACCTGCTGCCGGCGGCGGGTGCCCTCGCGCTCCGTCGGCGAGTACATGACGCCGTACTTGACCTTGTTGTACAGCCCGCTGCCCTGGGGGTCAGCAAGCACGACCTTGACGGCGTCGCCGAGCCCCGCCTCGTCCTTGAGGTACCTCGCGACGCCGCTGATGGTGCCGCCGGTGCCGGCGCCGGCGACGAAGGCGGCGAGGGCGCCGCCCGTCTGGGCAAAGATCTCGGGCCCCGTGCTGCGCAGGTGGGCGGTCCAGTTGGCCTCGGACTCGAACTGGTCGGCGAAGAAGCCGACGCTGCCGTCGCGCGATTTGGCCTCGTGCTCGGCGGCGCGGCGGCGGGCCAGGTTGACAAAGTGGTCGGGGCTGGTGATGGGGGCGACGGTGACGCGCTCGACGGTGGCGCCCAGCTGGCGCAGGAGGTCGCTCTTCTCGTGCGACTGGTCGTCGGGCATGCAGATGTGGCAGCGGTAGCCGCGGGCGCGGGCCAGGGTGGCGAGCGAGATGCCGGTCGAGCCCACGGTGCCCTCGTAGATGGTGTCGCCCCTGTGCGGGACCAGGAGGCCAGCCTGCTCGGCGGACAGGATCATGGAGAGGGCGACGCGGTCCTTTGGCGAGCCGCCGCAGCCGTTCAGGAACTCGGCCTTTGCCAGGACGGTCCTCCCCAGCAGCGCCGACAGGGCCTTGAGGCGGATCAGCGGCGTGTGGCCGATGGTGGACTCGATGCCGTCCGAGATGACGGGCAGCCCGGCGCCCATGGAGTCTGTGAAGTTGTTGTTGCCATCGTCGTGGTCCTCGAGCTGGACGGGGTCGCCGTAGAAGATGCTGCCGCGGCGGGGGTCATATGTGAGGATGGATGCGTTTGAGTTGCGCCGCGCGCGAGGCTGGTTCGACTTCTTCTTGGACGCCTTGTACCTCCTCTCCAGGTCTGGGTAGACGTCCTTGAACCCGAGCGTGACCAGGATGCCCGCGAAGAAGGCGACCGCAAGGGCTGCGGAGCCGTAGAAGCGGGCGTGGCCCCTTATGTTCAGAGGCATGGGTGTGTGTGTGTAAGTGCGAATAAATGTTGTGGCGTCGCTTTGTGGTGAGCCTACAGCCCCGTCTTGCTCCTTCTCTTCTCTCTAACGAGACTCGTGCATCACACGTAGGCTCTGGACATACTTGTGAGTTATACACCAGGAATTGTGAAGTAAGAGTCATATGAGCCAGACATGTTTTGTTATTCCCAAAAATCCAACCCACACTGGGCCCGATTGCGGCATTGATGTAATGCGTTGTGAGGATTTATTGGACTTGAGTGCCCCATAGCACGTCCACCCATGTCCATATCCCAGGTACCCAGGTACCCAGGTGGCCCTGGAGCTGGGTTGTACCCAGGGGTCGTCGTGGTGAGCTTCAGCCAATCACACCCGCTCCCCTCCCACAGTTGAGTTGAGTTGGAGTTGAATCTTCTGCCAGACGCTGGCAGCTGCACGCTATGAGCTTCCCACCTCGCGGGAACCCGAGCACACGACCTCGTCCTCGTCCTCTTGTCGCCTGCAGCCACAACTCCCCCCTCCGGTCATGGACTCCCCCATAGTGACCCAGCTATTCAGACAGCTCTTCCGGCATGGCCATCCGGCCTGCCAGTCCCGGCGGAACCTCACAAACCTCGCCAGCGCCATCCACCACGGCCGCCAGCTCCGCCAGGTCAGGGCCCTCTCGTCCGAGCACAGGAGGAGGGGCGCCCTCTCCACGTCCGAGAAGGAGCGCCAGTGGCAGCAGCGCAGCAATGTCGCGCCTGTCGACCGGACTGAGGATCTCAGGCGGTACCCGACCCTCACGGCAAAGGACCTGAGGAGCTACAAGGAGCGGCCGAGGAGGGTCAAGATGCTCATGCGGGACTTCATCGAGGGTGGGTTGGGCCCCGTTCTGCCGCCCACGAGGCCATGGCCGCTTGATAGAGACTGTCGGCTGACCCCAAACAGACAGTCTCTACAACCCTCACTATGGCTACTTCTCCAAGCAGGTCGTCATCTTCACCCCCGGCGAGCCCTTCGACTTTGGCTCGATCCGCGACGAGCTCGAGTTCCACTCCCTCCTGAGCCGGCGCTACACCGAGTTCGAGGACGCCCTGGACAGCAAGGAGCATTCCGACACGCGGCAGCTGTGGTACACGCCCACGGAGCTGTTCCGCCCCTACTACGGCGAGGCCGTCGCGCGGTACCTGTGCGAGAACTACCGCCAGACCTCGTTCCCCTACCACGACCTGATCATCTACGAGATGGGCGCCGGCCGGGGCACCCTGATGCTCAACATCCTCGACTACATCCGCGACGTCGAGCCCGAGGTGTACGAGCGCACGCGCTACAAGGTCATCGAGATCAGCTCCAACCTCGCCAGCGTGCAGCAGAGCAGCCTGATGGCCACCGCCGAGTCCAAGGGCCACCGCGACAAGGTCGACATCATCAACAAGTCCGTCTTCGACTGGAAGGACCCCGTGCGCAGCCCCTGCTTCTTCCTCGCCTTCGAGGTCTTTGACAACTTTGCCCACGACGTCCTGCGCTACGACCTGCGCACCGAGGAGCCGCTCCAGGGCACCGTCATGATCGACGAGGACGGCGACTTCCACGAGTTCTTCAGCCCCGTCACCGACCCGGACATCCAGCGCTTCCTGAGGCTGCGCCACATCGCCACCGAGGGCGTGTACCCCCTCCCCTACTACTCCAAGTCCGGGCTCGGCGTCCCCAGGGGCGAGCCGTGGTGGGCCACCGCGCGCAGGCGCCTGCGGGATGGGTGGCCCCTCGGCGGTAGCCGCGGGGACGGCAGCGGCCTCAGCGAGCCCGAGTACATCCCGACGAGGCTGATGAGCTTCTTCGAGGTGCTGGAGCGCTTCTTCCCCAACCACCAGCTCGTCACCAGCGACTTCCACTCCCTGCCCGACGCCATCCGCGGCCTCAATGCCCCCATCGTCCAGACCAGGTACCAGAGGCGGCCGGTACCTGTCTCGACCCCCTTGGTGAGTCTACGGCCCCTGGATTCGTCTCCTCGGTTCGCGCGCTTGTAATTTGTGTGACTGGTTTACTAACCACCGCTGAAATTGGCTCGCCCAGGTCCATCAGGGGTACTTCGACATCATGTTCCCCACAGACTTCAACACCACAGAGGCCATCTACCGCAGCATCACCGGCAAACTCAGCCGCGTGCGCTCGCACGAGGAGTTTATGAAGAGCTGGGCCTTCGTCGAGGACTGCGAGACCCGCAACGGCGAGAACCCCCTTCTGAGCTGGTACCGCAACGCCAGCGTCATGATGACCTGGAATTACCGGAGGATGTAGGCCACCCCGAAGCACGTCGCTGCTCTGAGACTGTGGCCATACGTAGTCGGCCACGGATGTATGTGTCGGCCATGAAGTTGGATATACTGTATCTACCTCGCAGCAAAGCCTTGATTGGGAGGGCAGCAAGTCTTGAGCGCAGAATATAATGGTACAATGCATAGACCCCAACCCCACTATGAGGAGTACATCTTCATCAGTGGAAACGGCGCAGCAGCGCCGACGGTGGCAGTTCCTGTGCCACCTCTGTTTTATTGCTCCCTCAGACCTTGAGCTTTTCCATCTCTGCAACCAGCCACTCCTCGGCCTTCTTGACCGCATCCTCGATCTTCTCAGGCTGCGTTCCCGCACCCTGGCGTGTGGGCTCCTTTCCTCCCGCCTTTCCGCCAATGATCTCCGTGACCGTAGTGGACCACTTCTCTGCGGTGATGCCCTTGGAAGCCAGGTCCTAAGTAGCGAATAGTGTCAGGCTGGTGGCCATTCTCTTTGGAAAGGGGAGGGATTGTGAACTTACGGTTCCAACATAGACACCATGTACCACGCCTGACTCCTTGGACCCCCCAAAGACGTAGACGCTCTTGGTCTTGTCCTTGCTCTTGAAATGTGTCATCACATCGCTGACGGCCTTCATGTTGGCGCTGATGGGCAACTGTCCGACAAACCACGTCGCTTCCTTGTTCTCGGGCTTGGCGAAGTGACCCGTTACAGTGTCAAGGGCGGTCTTGCTCTCGGCCTTCTGGCGCTTCTTCTGCTCCTCCGCGACACCCTTCTGGATCTTGGCGTACGTGGCCCTGAGGTCCTCCTTGTCGAGCACGGAAACGGTGAGCTGGTTGAGATCCACGCCTGTCTTCTTGACCTGGTCTTCCTTCTCCGGCCCAAAGGGCAGCTTGTCGAGCTGCTCGAGCCTGGCGGCGAACTCGCGCGCGATCCGCTGCACAGCATGTGCCGCATCGCCGGTGTAGGCGACGATTCTTCGGATTCCTTTTGCGATGCCGCTCTCTTCAACAATGACCAGATCTTTGATGATTCCGGTCTGGTCCACATGGGTACCGCCGCAGAATTCGACGCTGACCTTCCTCCACTCGGGATTCTTGGGATTCTCTAGTAGAGTGTCCACGTCGATGCCCACGCTCACTACGCGGACAGGGTCGGGATATGTCTCTCCGAACACAGCACGAACACCCTCGATCTGCTTCGCAGCGTTGAGGTCCACATCCTTGTAGTAGATCTTGCAGTTCTGACGGATGTACGCATTGGAGCCATCCTCGATCTTCTTGAGCTCCGCGTTCGTGACACCCTGCTTGTGGCTGAAGTCAAACCTCAGCTTGTCATCGTCCACGAGCGAGCCCTTCTGGTTGACATCGTCACCCAGAACTTCCCTGAGGGAGTGGTTGAGAATGTGCGTGCCTGTGTGGTTGTTGCGGATGGGCTGACGACGGAGCTCGTCATACTCGCAGGTGACCTTGTCACCCGCGGACAGCGAGCCGTGGTCAAAGTAGCCAATGTGCACAACGTAGCCGCCGTACTCTTGTACGTCCTGGACCTTGAACTCGGCGACATCATCGTCCACAAGGATCCGGCCGGTATCGGCAACCTGACCACCAGACTCAGCGTAGAAGTTTGTCCTGTCGAGGATCAGACCGAGCGGTGTCTCTGTCGGTATATCCTTGGTGGATTTGACGAATTTCTCGCCAGTGAATATTAACTGTACGGTCGCAGTGATGTCTCCCTTGCCGTATTTGGGTTCGGAATCCGGCCTGGGCAGGTTGTGCTGGCTCTCGAGCTCCGCGATCTGGTGCACATTGAGCTTGGGGAATGTCTGCGCCTTGTCCTTAACCTGCTTGCTGGCCTCGCGCGCCTCATCCCTGGCCTTAGCAAGGTCAGCCTCGTCAGTCGGCTCCAGGCCTCGCTCCTCGCTCATCAATTTTGTGAGATCCTCAGGGAAACCGTAAGTATCATACAGCCTCCAGACCTGGAGACCAGAGAGCTTCTTCTCGCCCTTCTTTTCAAGGTCCGTGACGAACTTCTCAAACTGTTTCTCGCCGCGATCCAGCGTCTTGGCAAAGGCGACTTCCTCCTCGTCGAGAATCTCGGCAATGTCCTTCTCCTTCTTGACAATTTCGGGGAATTGTTCGCCCATCTGCGCGACGAGAGCCGGCAGAATCTTGGAGAAGAAAGACCCGATCTCAACATTGAAGTACTTGCGGGCATACCGTGAGCCTCTCCGCAGTACTCTTCGGACGACATATCCTCTTCCTTCGTTGTTTGGGACCGCGCCGTCGGCGATGGCGAAGGTGAGCAATCTGATATGGTCGGCGACGACACGGTAGGCAGTGTCGATGCCATCAACATCGTCTTTGCCGTACTTGTCCTCGTATGGTCTTGCCCCCGTGACCTCTTGTATCTTGGCGAAGAGCGGTGTGAACACATCGGTGGCGTAGTTGGAGATCTTGTCCTGCAGCGCGGAGACAAGACGCTCGTATCCCATGCCAGTATCGATGTGCTTTGCAGGGAGCGACTTCAAGCTCTTATCCTTTTGCCTGTCGTACTGCATGAACACATTGTTCCAGATCTCAACCACGAGGGGGTCATCCTGGTTGACGAGGTGGGCAGCATTTCGGCCTCCCACCTTGTCGTAGTGAACCTCGGAGCAAGGACCGCAGGGGCCTTGGTCGCCCATCTCCCAGAAGTTGTCCTTCATGTTTCCTGGCAAGATGTGGTCCTCGGGCACGCCGACGGACTTCCAAAGCTCCTTGGCCTCCAAGTCGGGCTCAAGGTTCATGTCCGCGTTGCCCTCAAAGTAGGTAACATACAGCCTCGAGGGGTCAAGGCCGTATACTTTGGTCAGCAGCTCCCATGACATCTGGACAGCCTCCTTCTTGAAGTAGTCGCCGAAGGACCAGTTGCCCAGCATCTCAAAGAAGGTGTGGTGATAGCTGTCCTTGCCGACATCGTCAAGGTCGTTGTGCTTGCCACCGGCGCGAATGCACTTCTGGGAGTCGGCCGCGCGTTTCCAGGAAGCCATTGGGTCGCTCTTGTTGACGGTGCCAAGGAAGATGGGCTTGAACTGGTTCATACCAGCGTTGGTGAACAGCAGCGTCGGGTCATTGTGAGGGACGACGGAGGAGGAAGGCACTGCAGCACACGAGTTGATTGTCAGTCAGTCAGTCAGCCAGGTCCAATTGGTGATGGGGATGATATGACTGTTCGGTCGCACCCACCTATGGTGTGCCCTCTCTGCTCGAAGTATTCGAAGAAGGTCTTGCGGACCGTGAGGGCGGTCCACTTGCCCTCGTACATGATGGGCAAGGGCGTGTTTGTGCTTGTTTTTGCTGGTGGGGGTTTTTGTTGTTTGGAAAATCTCCGGATCTGTGCAGTCGAGGACAAAGACGAGATCGTTCTCGTCGGCGACCTGAGGAATGCAGCGGCAGCGGTGGTGGGGCAGTCCTGTGCGGGAGCTTTCTTGGTGAGGAAGCTGGGGGTCGACCCTGCGGCTGGCAGTGGCGATCGCGGGGTCCGGGTGTGGGCGCTGCTGACGCTGTTCCTGGCGCTGAGCAATGAGGGGGCGGTCGCTCTAGAAGTGTCGTAGAGCTTTCTGGAATGAGTCAAAGCCGATACAAGAAGGGGCGAGCTCCTCCCTGGGCCACCCGCCCGGCTCTGCAATCTTCGCACCCCAGTAATAGTCCTCAAGCTGCTGCTGCTGCCCCAGCCAAGCCTGCCGCGGCCACTGCCACTGCCACTGCCACTGACGCTGCCACTGCGCAATCGCGACGACTGCATCGACAGCCCAGCAATCTAAAACCAAATCTCCAAGCAGATAAGTCGTTTGCCGGTTGCGAGGATCGGACGCCTGTGACTCAATTCTCGGGCTGCACCGGCTCTTCACACAGTCATATATCCCTTGCACTGCATCAACCGTGGGGAACCCGACTGGGATTGTTCTGATTGGGGGGAGTGGCCGGCCAGGAAAGTGAGGGAGGAGAAAATGATGGTCTCCAGCTTCCACGACGGCCCATCGCAGGCCAGCACCATGCACATGCCGGCACCCGTGGAGGGGTTCCATAACGCCGAACCCGCCCCCAACGCCGCCCACAGCTACCAGTACAGCCAGCATCACCAACAACAGCGCCGAAAGAGGAAAGCAGAGACCCAGGATGCCCACAACGAGAGGCTGTCAAAAAGGCTGAGCCTCTTGAATTTAGGTATGACTTGCACATTTACCACACACACATTTGCGTCAATCACAAACCGCTAACCTCTGCATCGCAGAACAAAACGGCTCCAAGCTCTACGTCCCAGTCGAGCAGCCATCCCCGTCGCAGCCCGCCAACAATGCCTCCTCCTCTTCGTCGTCCTCATCCTCAGCGGCGGCAGCAGCCGTCCCCGGCGCAGCCATGACCGCAGGCGGCGACGAGATGATGCTGCTCGACGACACCAAGCACAAGGTGTACATCTACAACCTGGACGACGAGCTCTCCTCCGACGCCGACAGCGACCCGGACGACGCCAGGCTCGTCTTCCTGCCCGACGTCGAGAGGCACCTGCGCGCCAACCGCATCGTTCCGGGCATCCCCGGCACAAGCGTGCCGCGGCCCATCCTCCCCAACAAAGACGGCGAGCTGGCCGGCATGCAGCTGGTCCTGTACGACGACGGCGTCCGCAGCGTCAGCGTGCCCGAGGAGCAGGACAGCGTGCGCAAGGCCATCATTGAGGCTCGCGAGAGGCACCGCCGCCGCCAGCAGGACGAGCGCGACGCCAGGGCTGTCGCGAATAACCCCCTGCTGCGTCCCGGGTCCCGTGCCACCTTTGCCACGCCCGTCAAGGTCGCCCCAGGGCAGATGCAGCCGTTCGCTGGCGGCGGTGCCGCGAGTATTGTGGATGTAGACGTTGATGCTCCAACTGATGGTGACGCTGATGCAATGGAGATCGACTAAAACAGAGTGAGAGTGGGAGACACACACGATGTTGGCGCTGATGTTATTTTACTTGGTATGTCCTATGATACCCGCATACGATCATGTTAGCACGGAGTTTTAGGGTGCGGAAGCAGCCTTTGGGCGTTTTAGCAATGTATATCATCATTCATCGGAATCTCGAATATTATCAGAGAAGCTATGACGGTTCCGCCAGGGAAGAATGCCTAAGTGAGCAATGCATCATGACAGCCAGCACATCCTGTTCCAAGAAACAGCCTCACGGCGCTCTGCCACGAGATTATTGACTTAGCAGCCCAACCGTTGGGCTGCACTTGGCCATTCAGCTCTCTCTCATTCTAGGATCTCGAGACCTCCGGTCCCCCATCTCCAACTGTCCCTTCCGACTCAACACCCTCTAGCCCCTGAACGGGTTCGACGACCCCGTGTCATTCCTCTGCGCGGGGGGAGGAGGACCTGGTGGTGGCGCCTCATAGTCCTGGGTCGGGGCCAGCTTGCTGCCTCCCTGGGGCCCGTCGTACATCGGTGGTCGAGGCGCGCTGGGGTCGTACATCGGGGGCGGCGGGGGCATGTTCTGCATGTTGTATCCAGGGGGGTACTGCTGGTAGTAGCCAGGGCGGTAGTTGGTGTAGGTCGCCTGCGGGTAGGCGTAGCGCGGGTCGACACGTGCGAGCTCAGCGCGGGAGACGAGCCACTGTAGAAGGGAGAGGGCGTGTCAGTATACGACATGCCACCTTGTGGGTTGTGGGTTGGGGAAATTGAAAGTGGGCACATGGGTTGGGGCAGGCTTACTCTGTGGTATGCCAGAGGCACGAGGCCCTTGCGTATCCTCTTCTTCGCGTGGATGTAGCCGATGGTTATGTACAGCGTGATGAAGACCATGAGACCCAAGAAGACGGACCACTTGACGATGAGGCCCTCCTGTCGCGGGCGGTCAGCTCGAGTTCGTCCCCCGATGGAGGTTAAGGGCGCAAGAGGCACGGGGATCGATGACATACCCTTGTGTACCAGTATGGTACTATGCGGCCATTCTCGACGACGAAGCCGTCGGGCGTTCTCGTCGGCTCACTACCACTTTCCGACGTGGTCGTCGCTTGCCGTTGTACAAGGTACGAGTCCATCATGTGTTGTGTGTGTGGGTTCCCGAATACCGTAACGGGCGTGTCTTCTTTGTTCGCGTGTATGCAGTGGGGTGAATGGGTGGGTGTTGTGGCTCAACCACAAGTGCGTATGTAAGTGAGAGAAATGAAATTAAACTGAGGTTGATGGACTGGGGAAACCAAACGAGCGTCGGTCACTCGCACTCGACAGTCAGACAGGGCATTGAGAAAGGCCAAGGGAGAGACATGAAGGGAGATTGCGTGCCAAGAGTCGACGGTTTTATTGAGGATAAACTATGTACACGAGCCCACCCAGCCTTGTTGCCATGCCGTGCCCGCACATCGCCCTTTCCTTTTGCCCCATTCGGCTGGCCCGTCAGGGAAATGCAAGGGAAGGGATGGGACGGGACGAAAGCAGAGAGGTTTTGGTGGTGACGTTGGCGAGATGGGCTGTGCAACGACGCAATGCGCTGGCGACGGAGGGCCTCGTTGGCTGGCAGGCCCCAGCTCCTTGCCCACTTTGGCAATGTGCAGACGTACGGGGGTTGTCGCGAGATGGACTTTGAAACTATGCTGCGACGCCGCCTGATCAGACTCCGGTAGCAGGGGAGGGAGGCCTGGGAGGGTGGCGGTGGTGGCCGATGAGCTGCAGCTGTGCGGCACAGATCGATTCGGATCGCCCGTTCCCTTTCAGCCGCACAGGGATCTATCAAAGTTTCATTGACAATTGGTTCTGAATTTGTCACTGCGTACGTACATACATATAACTGCAATTCTGTTGCGTGACTGCCAGACTATCAGTGCTATATGCAATCATTTCGACTTTCCCGAGGCCGTGGGTAGGAAGGAGATGAGACAGCGGGCCCAGGACCCGAACCCTGCCTTGCCTGCTTCTGCTAGCCCGCCTCTCCGCCACATCTTCGGTGCGCCGACGGCCACAAAACACGACCACAAATAAGCCGATAATCTTCATGTTGTGGCGTGGGATCACATAAAGGAAAACATATCTTTGATTGAAAAAGGAAAAAAGTAAGTCTTGATGAGACTGGGACTTGAACCCAGGAGGATTGCTCCACCAGGAATAGATGTTAAGATTACCTTAACCTGGCGCCATAACCTTGATTCGGAGTCAGCGGGTGAAGATTTTGGTGATGTGATCGGATAGCAGCTTACCAACTCGGCCATCTCACCGGATGTTGAATGCCCCGCCAAGTGCAGAGATTATACCCATGGTTGTGGGGCCACGATGTTGCGCTACTCATCCACCAGGACGTCCAGCTTGTCATTCAGATTTGTGCTTGATTCGTTCCTCGAAAATCGCCCGGCTTGCCCGAATCGAACACGAGCCGGGCAGTCTCGATACGTGACTCCGGCCCATACGATTTCTCCCTCTCATGGCCATATTCAGGTCGGTTCTCCACCTCGGCATTGACTGCGCTTTATACGGCATCCAAGAGGTGCACGCTTCCAGCCGCCCGGGTGAACGATTCACTGGGCAATGTGGCAATCGGAAATATATTTCTCTTGGCTCAGATTGTCGAATTCTTGGCCTTGCTAAAGACTCGTAGGAGGCTACAGCCTGCGCAGCCTGCAGCTCAGCTAGATCACAGCCATCGAACACGCAGTAATTCCGTTCTCGAGTGATGGATTGCTGCTGTAAACTGACTCTAGCTCTGGGCCATTTTAGTCTAACCTGTGAAGGCCTTTTGAGTACCATGAGGCAAGTGGAAGAGAATGCACAGGCAATTGAACCGTGGGCATTGACACAGCAGACCTGCAATTAAACCAATCAGGAAACTCAATATTAATAAGGCCTGATGCGCATTTGCTATTTGCTTAGCATAGGATCCGAGAGAGAGAGAGGTGTGGATCAAGGTGTGGCGACGGGAGAGCCGCCAGCCTGACCTCTCCCATCCCATCAACCCATCCCATGATTTGTGGCAACTGACATCTGATCATGAACTCGGGATTTTCCACCTCCTCCTCACATACTACACGATCAACAACAAGTTGTTACGCTTCTCTACACGTTTCCTGTGCAAGCTTCCACCTGACGACTGTCCAATATCGTGGCGAAACTGTGACTGTACCTGCCGTTCTCCAACTGGTAAGATCGATCACAAGGTCGTCATAAATTGGTTCTCTACAACAAAAGCAAAAATATTGGTCCGGTGAAGGACATGAACTCAACCTCCCCTCTGCTACTGCCACCCACCAAGACAACATACATATGTACCATTGGACTACCTGGACCAGTTGCTAGTGCCCAGACTTTGTCTATAAGGGCGCCATGGCAACAATCCAGACACTAATTTGTGCTCACTTGCTATTAAAGGCTTGGTCTACTGTAATTAAAGCCGTGTGAAGTGAATCATGCTAAATACTCAAGCCATCTGCCTTGTCTGCAACAATGCTAACATGGTGTCATCGTTCACTATGCGTGGGTGACGGCCCTCCCGTCACATAATCTCAGTGCGAATGGCTTCACCACGTCACTGTCTACATATGTAGGTAGTAAATGCGACATCTATAACATCGTCGTCATTCTAAGTGTATGAGTTGGTCTCATGGAAGTCAATATAGCGAAATTGTGTTGAAGATAACAAGTATGCTTCTTCGAGAGGCATGATCTGCTATCGAAGCCCTGTCTGAGATTGTCCGCGCGGTATCTGGGTGATTCCCTGCGCTCCCATCGATGATGTATTTAATCAATTTGTGTACAAGCCACCGCTTGAACTCATTTTCGCAGATAGAGCGGCGAAGGCAACTTGGAGGAAGCTCTGTGGTGAGTTCCCTTCTCTGCTATTGGCAGCACAAATCTCACCATGTCCTTAGAACATTTGTTGTATCTAGCTACAAGGCCCATGACAACATTGAAGGGCTGTCTGTGTCAAGACAGCTTCCACGTAGAATTGCTTACAATTTGTGCTCATGACTCCCGAGGTCATTACATGATGTCTTAGGGACTTTAATTAGACGGGGCCCCGGGGGTTGTAAAGAGATCTACTTGTGATTATATACATATGTATCACACCCATGTGCATAGGCCCCCCGACCTCGTCATCATACATATGTAAGCTAGGGTACCCAGGTATGTGCTGTACAGGTTCAATCAGGAAAAATGCAAAACGTTGTTCGCAGTCTACGGGGAGCAGTACGTCTGTAGCAGAAGTGCGCGTAAGTTTCTGCTCAAATAGTACTTAGATAATATGATGTCCAGCTCTCACACTGCCGAGAGCTGAGGTCCCAGAGCATCAAGATCTCAGCGTCCAGATGTCAAGACACTACATATGTAGCCACCAGATCAACGCACCGAATCTGGTAAAGGGGTTTCTAATTCCAACGGAATCTGTTCTTCCCGTGGGTGGTCACTCGTTGTAATTCTGTTAAGTTGTCGCTGTGGGAGAGGATACAATTTTGCCAAGCCAAGAGGAAACATCATGGGGTGGACCTCAAGAAGTATGTCGAGCAGGGGACACGGCGCATAGGTCAACTGTATGAAAAGGATGTATGCTGTGGCAGTCCAAAACATGTCACCTTAAACAGAAAGCGGGTCTACGGAAATCCCTGGGCGTGGGCCGCGGCGGGATGCCCCCAGCTTGCAGATCCCCGAGGGGAAAGATTGTGGTCGATCCCCATGGCACTTGCGAAGAGCCGGGGGATACTTCAGTTTGGCACATTTATACGACCGGTGGGAACACAGTGGGCTTTCCTGAGCAAAGACGAGGGCAGGCTGGGGCTGATAGACCATGGTCGCTTTGTTCAAGGAGTTCTCAGGAGTGTACTGGGAACATCGAAGGCGCCAAGATACCCTCGCAGGCTGAAGAGCTGCCGGGGTAATAGCACGGCGAGTTCACGGCGAGTTTAGCGTTACACCCGTCCGGGGCTGTGCACCATGAGCACGTCTACGGTAGGAAAGAGAGACAACTGACAGAGCAATTCCTCCTCACGGTTGCTCTCCCGCTACAAGGGGCTGATAGCATTAAAACCGGGGCAACTGATCTCGCCGGGTAGGTTGCCGGAGCCCTCGGTGGAGGCAGTTGAGGATCCTTGCCCACTTACCGAAACGCGGGGCAACGATTGCCCTCCTTCTAGGAGCCGGTCTGAGGATCCTGGATGGTGTCGATTTTATCCGTCCCACATTGGCGCAATCCCATCCAACAGACCCGCGCCATGGGCCGGTGACTAGGATCATAGCTCCAGGCGTTGGTAAACAGGCGATGAGACGTTGGTCGCGCAGGAATATTTATGCCCTGGGGGACCCCTAATGCGAGTGGTTAAAAGGGGGGCAGCTGCGACTGCCCTCGCCAGACCATCTCGACCTTCTTAAACGAGCGTGGGAGACTTCGCCGCTGACATTAGGATCCACATTGCCCAAGTGAACAACCTTTTCTGGCTCTAGAGCGGAGTGCAGATCCCCCCAAGAGCTGAGGTATAAAACCGTAGACAGCGGGCGGAAGACGGAACACATTTCTACATATCACAACAACAAAAGTCCTCCAACATGGCCTCGCAAGACATAGCAGTCCACCCCAAGGGGTCTACGGTCCCCTTCTTCATCAACGGCAAGGAGGTCGTGGCTGACAAGACCTTCGACGTCGTCAACCCGGCGACGGGCAAGATCGTCCACAAGTGCAGCAGCGCCAGCCAGGCCGACGCCCAGGCCGCCGTTGACGCCGCGGCCAAGGCGCTTCCCGCATGGAAGGCAATGGTGCCGACCAAGCGGCGTGAGGTCTTCCTGAAGGCCGCTGAGATCCTGGAGAAGAGGCGTGACGAGCTGGCCACAAACATGGTCGAGGAGGTCGGCGTGCCCAGGCAGTGGGCCGACTTCAACCTCTCCGTCGCCAAGGACCTCATCCTCGACGTCGCCGGCAGGCTCGTCACCATCGAGGGCTCCATCCCCACGCCCCAGGACCCCAACACCGGCGCCCTTGTCGTGAAGGAGCCCTATGGAGTCGTGCTGGCCATCGCGCCCTGGTGAGTGACTCTGACAGCCAACCAGCCGAGGCCGGACACACACTGACAAGACTCCCAGGAACGCCCCCTACATCCTCGGGGCCCGCTCTGTCATCTTCCCCATGGCCGCCGGTAACACGGCAGTCTTCAAGGCCAGCGAGCTAAGCCCCAAGACCCACTGGGGGATCGCCTCTGTCTTCGCCGAGGCCGGGCTTCCGGCTGGTGTGCTCAACGTGATCGTTCACGAGCCCGCCAACGCGGCCGCCATCACGAGCCAGCTCATAGCGAACGAGCACATCAAGAAGATCAACTTCACCGGGTCCACCATGGTGGGCCGCATCATCGGCAAGCTGGCCGGCGAGCAGCTCAAGCCCGTGCTGCTCGAGCTCGGCGGCAAGGCGCCCGCCATCGTGTGGGAGGACGCGGATCTGGGCCTGGCCGCCGACCAGTGCGCGCTGGGCGCGTTCCTGAACTCGGGCCAGATCTGCATGTCTACCGAGCGCATAATCGTGCACAAGGCCGTCACCGCCGAGTTCGAGAAGAAGCTGCTCGCCAGCATCGACAAGTTCTTCCCCTCCAGCGGCGACGCCCCCGTGCTCATCCGCGAGGTCGCTGTCGAGAAGAACAAGAAGCTGCTCAAGGACGCAAAGGACAAGGGCGCCACGCTCCTGAACGGCGACTATGAGGCCCAGGAGTCCTCGTCGACACGCCTGCGGCCCATCGTGGTCAAGGGCATCAAGGAGGACATGGACCTGTACAAGACCGAGTCCTTCGGCCCTACCGTGGCCCTGTACGAGGTTGACACCGAGGAGGAGGCACTTCGGATCGCCAACGACACAGAGTATGGCCTGTCGTCTGCTGTCTTCACCGAGGACCTCAGGAGGGGGCTGAGACTTGCCAAGGGGATCGAGACCGGCGCCGTCCACATCAACTCGATGAGCGTACATGATGAGTCCGCCCTTCCGCATGGTGGCGCAAAGAGTTCCGGCTACGGGAGGTTCAACTCGATTGGTCTGGACGAGTGGGTGAGGACCAAGACGATCACCTACAGGCACTAGGAATCTCGCGCGGCAAGCAGCCGGGAGGTCGGGGACCACTCGGACCGCTCAGCTGCAACAAATGGAAAATTAAAGGCTGCATTGATTCGCGTATCCTGTGCCACCTCAGACCTGCATGCTGAAGAAGTCTCGGGCAGCCAACATGTAGCGTGCCCCCGGGGCTTGCTGTGGACACACAACTTCTACTGGCCAGAATCACTTGCCATCCCATCTGCGCGATCTCGCATCTGCATTGGATCGGCCTGAGAAATCTCGCAGATCGAGGCCGCGTCTTGGCCGCATATTCTTGATCGATGTTGCTTTTTTCTGTTTCCGTCCAGTCCGATCTCGCGCAAGCGTTGCTATGCTGCCATATCGGGGAACCGTTCCCCGGGACACAGCAGGCGCAGTAGGATATCTGATTTCTGACCAATTCGAAATCGACAACGTGCATGCGTGTCTCACATGTCCACCTAGGGTCTCATTGTGATATCCCATCATCATCATCAGGGTCCGGAGTGCGGCGGAAGGCAGCCGCACATCCTTCAATTTACGCTTCCTATTGGTAGAGACCACCATGCGGCGTTCCTTTTCCGCCTATGGACAAGGCTAGGGGCCGTGTTTCTTAAAGATCCGGGAAGCCGGGTCACGCTGGATCTGACTACATCCCCCTGCCTGCATCGGGCGGCGCCGCCACAACTCCCCATATATCCATTACGCCGAGCACTTACCTGCCTCTTGCATTCCCCTCAAACCCTCACCGAGGACTTGCCAAACAAGCAACTTTGGCCAGGCACGCATTTCGGGGGTGATGCCACAAAAGTCCCCACTAATGGCAGGCTATCTGACCGCTGTGTCCCCGCCCTTCCGAGGGGGCCTTTTTATTTATAACAGCCACGCCATGCGTGTCGTGGACCAGACAACAAGCCGGTGGAACACCATCCTGCGAGCCCGCCTCGTCACGTGTGATACGACCATGCGAGACACTCGGAACTTGTAACAAGTGGCTTTGGCCCCCGTACACGTTGGCGACCCGAGTTGCCGGATCTGGTCAGCAAGTCGCCGTCCAGCACGTGAAGTGAATCGTCATTTTTGATTACCCGGAGGTAAGAGGTCGCCTCGAGTCAGGCTGATCACCACGATCCTTCTCCAGGGTCCATTCCACCCAAAGCAGACTTATGACCTCGCCTATCTCCAGCGTGCGTGTGCATGCTGCAAGGACTCTCCCCCCGCCTTGGTTCTGTGCTGTACTTTTGTGAAATTCTCGACCTCGGGAGGCAGGGCTGACGTGAGGGGCTTTGGTGTTGGTGCCTAGCGTGGATCAGCCGGTGACTGGAATAAGAGGAGCCTCGAGTTCACCCTATGAACATTTGACTGCAAGTATACGCGCTGTGGCTGTGAGTTTCCACTTTTGACGTGAGACGTGCTCTTATCACGCCCCTAGGCCTGGGAGGAGCTAGGCAGTGTTATCAGTCAGCCTCAGCCGCAGCCCTGTGATGCTACACGATGTAATTTATGTCCAAAAAGGTACATTCTCATGTAAACACAGATATAGGTCATGGGTCCAAAGGGAGAACCATCGTAATGTGCCGATATATGCCCAAGGACTCGTGTGGCTTTTTGATGACAACTAAAAATGCATTTCTCAACAACCTTGGAAGTTCTGTCTTTTCATCACGCATATCACAGATGGGATCACCAACCGGAAGTCGAGGATTCCATTGTGGGTGGGTAAACTGTGGGTTTCCACCGCTTGTGGCATTGGCAGCCTGCAGAGGCGGCCGAACAGAACATCGTTGGTGGCATCTGACCATTGAGGTCAAGCACGTCTGACACCGGTCTGCTGCTTCCAGATGGGCGTCCGTCTCCATCATCAGGATGCTTGCTTCTGGACCACCCCTGATCTGACAAAAGGAATAGCGTTTTTCTGCGCCCGGTGGGAACGACGCCATCCTCGTCGTGCCGGACTGAGCGGTTACTTCTGCTAACAATGAGCAAAATGATGCGTATCTCGGCCCCACACCTTGTTGTGTCAACGAATTTTGGATCGAGGAGGGGTTCACACCCATCCACTATGACGACCGCTCACTATAAATGGGACAAAATCTCACGAGTGCCTAGTTGCCATTCTACTTTGTGTGTTCTGTATCACAAGGTGCTGTCTTCCTTCCTTCTGCCATATTCACGTTGATATACCAAGCGCGCTTTATATACCATGGCACCAATTCTGCAGACTTACTATGGGTACCTCACCGCATCTCACATCGTAATCGCAGTAGTATCACTTGTACGTCACTGTCTGGGTTACTCAAGTAGAACCTCACTTCCCGGACTGATGCTAACTCTGGTGGACACTCTTCTAGGCTATCGTCTTACCCCTAGCCCAGTTCATTTACAACATCTTCTTCCACCCTCTGGCTGACTTCCCAGGCCCTCTGCTATGGCGTGGCTCCAACATACCCAAGATGATAGCCCAGATACGGGGCACCATCCACTGGCGAATGTTAGAGCTCCACCAGCAGTACGGGCCCGTCGTGCGGCTCGCCCCGGGGGAGCTGACCTACACCACCGCCACCGCGGCGAAGGAGATATACGGAAACCGTAGTGGCAAGAAGCTCTTCCCCCCTCAGTCCTCTCTAGGCAGCAACGAGAAGACCATGTTCGGAGCGACTAGCTTTCTCTGGCTGGAGGACCACAAGGAGCACGCCCGCCACCGCAAGATTGTTGGCCAGATGTTCTCAGACGCGAGCCTCAAGTCGCAGGAGCCTCTGGTGCTTGGCTATGCCTCTCTGATGATGCAGCGCTTCCGTGAGAGAGCTTCGAGGGGAGAGGTCATCGACATGTGGTCTTGGTTCAACTTCTATACCTTTGCAAGTATACGTTTTCCTCTGTTCTGAACTTGTATGAATTCCCTGGCCATGACTGCTCGGGTATAAGTTGGGTACTAGCCACACCAATCAGTAATTGGAAACTTCGGGGCGAGGAAGTCTGCTTGCACAGATTCTAACAGTGACACCACAGGACATCATCGGTGACCTGGTATTCGGCGAATCTTTTGACTGTGTGGACCAGGGCCGCTTCCACCCCTGGATCAGCTTCATCTTCTCCAACCTGACCAACATGATGTACGCGCAGATGACCACAACTATGGGATACCTAGGCACCTTCATCCAGGCGCTGGTACCCGCGCGAATCATGGCCCAGGCTTTCGCCCACGCCCAGTCCACCCGTGACAAGGTCGACCGGCGGCTGGCGCGCAAGGAGGTCCGGCCGGACCTGATCAGCGGCATCTGGCACAAGATCGGGGCCCCCGGTGGGGTCTCGCACGAGGAGCTGTACGCGGACGCCCAGATCATGATCATGGCGGGCAGCGAGACGAGCGCCACCCTGCTCGCCGTCGCCGTGTACCACCTCCTGCGCAGCCCGGACAAGCTCGCGGCACTGCGGGATGAGGTCCGTGGTGCCTTTGCCACCGACCAGGAGCTCACGTTCTCGGATGTTGCTGTGCTGCCGTACCTCCGTGCTGTCATAGATGAATCCTTGCGTATCCACGCGCCGCTCCCTGCTGGGATCAACCGTGTCGCGCCTGAGGGAGGGGCTTTCCTTCATGATCAGTTTGTGCCTGAGGGGACGGTGCTGCAGGTCCCCAGTTGGGCTGCTTTCCACCTTGAGGAGAACTTCACAGACCCCTGGGAGTTCGTGCCGGAGAGGTGGCTGGGTGACGAATGCCCCGCTCGGTATGCCGGTGACAACCGCGACGTGTTCAGTGAGTGCCCCCCGGCTTGGTAACGATTTAGAAGACTTACTGATCTGGATTTATTCAAGATCCCTTCAGCCAGGGACCGAGATCATGCCTTGGGCGTTCTCTGGCGTACATGGAGTCAAAGGTCTGTCTCGCGAGGCTGGTCCTCGGTTTTGATATGGAGTTGATGCCAGAGAGTAAGGATTGGAACAAGCAGAAGGTGTATCTGCTATACGAGAAAAGGCCTCTGAACGTCAAACTCACCGAAGTGACCAAACAAGAGAAGACTGTGACTGTGGAGTGATCCTGCACTTGAGGATGGGAACTTTCCGCTACTCTGCTTGTGGAGGCGGGTTGGCTTCGTTTTGGTGAGCCTGCTGAGCTGGTGGGATCCGGAACAAAATTGTAACAAAAGTCGCGCTTTCTCGGAACAAAAATCGCTCGGCAGATTGCATTGGTTCAAAATCAAATTAGCGTGGAGAGTTCCAAGGTTGAGGATGAAAGCTCGCAGATATACTGGCCGTCGATCGCTGCTCAATGAGTGCCGCCCTTAAGGAATCAATTTGAGAACCATAACACCACCTTATCCCCCAATGCAGGATTCTTCAATGATGCAAATTCAACATGCCATAACTCGCAGCCCCACGCTAATCACACTATGGCAGCGAGCCCTAGTATCCCAGCAAGGGCCGTGACGATGCCTCTGGGGAGGTTCAACATGCCCCAGTGATCCACCAGCCACTTCGCGCTCTCCTCGCCTTGCTCCTCAACCTCAACTCCCTCGACGCCTTTCAAGTCCCTCATCTCCTCAACCTTGCGCAAGATCTTCCAGTTGGTCGGGAGAACGAAAGCCGCCGTATACGGCATGATGCTGAGGCAGAGCAGGCCGGCGCCAAGGTAGGCCTTGGCCTTGGTGAGGGCGGCGGACCGGTGGTGGTGATAGGACAGGAAGATATATGACAGGCCGGTGACGCTGGCCAGAGAAGGGTAGATCACCCTCGTCAGTCTGTAGCTGTTTTTCCACTGGCGCAGCATCAGGGGTGTGGGGGACTCGAGGAGGCGCGGCACGACGAGGATGGAGAGTGCCAGGTTGCTGCCCGCCCCGAGGGTTGACAGGAAGATGGTTGCCGCTTCCGTGACGCGGATAGCTGGTGATGAAGATGGTGGTTGAGACATGGTGCTGGGAGTGTTTTCCCCTTTGCTGGGTAGATTGAGAAACGATGAGAAAGGCAGTGATTTGGGTTGTGACGCAGTCATACAAATGGGTGGGCGTGGAGAGGTGGAGAGTTCATACCGGCCGGGCTATTCTCGGACGTTCTGAGGGGAAGTTGCGTTGCGATACCGAATGGGGGTCGTCAGCAACTTATCGTGCGAGCGTCAGCCCGAGCCCATTTCGGGAGCTCCAGTCCCCAGTTGCTCCTTCTTTAACATCTCCGCAAGTGCGTATAGTACCTGTGAAGATATTCTCATTGGCCAATCCCCATGCGAGAAACATTTTGTCGGATCGCGCAGTAATAGAGAAAGCTCCGCTCCGGGACAACTCCTCGCGATGCTTAACGAGCACGCGGGTATGCAGCAGTATAAGAACCCCAACAAATGATTTACAAGCCCATGCGTGGATATGCAGTCTGCTTCCATCCTCCAAATTCATACATAGTATATTACACATTGTACAGATATGTACCACGTGTGTCAATCGCAGTGAGCGGAGACCGCGCATGGCACGGCCACCATGCCTTGTTCACTCAGTCTATCTTCTCAAACTTGAGATGATAAGTTTTCCATTCTTCCTCAGTGACCTTACCCGGCGCCCTCGCAACGGGCTCATCCCCCTTTTTGTTCTTGGGGAAGGCGATCACATCCCTCACGCTCCCTGTGAAGCTCAGCGTAGCGATGAGCCTGTCCCAGCCGAACGCGAAGCCGGCATGCGGCGGGCAACCTGCCCTCAGCGCCTCCAAAAGGTGGCTGAAGTGGCTGATACCCTCGTCGCTCATCTTGAGTACATCCCTGAAGATGTACTCTTGCAGTGGGGCGATGTGGATACGACGCGAGCCGCCGCCAAGTTCCACCCCATTGAGGACAAGGTCATAGTGGTCCGCCTTCACCTTCAAGGGGTCTGTGGCCAGGAGGTCGAAGTCCTCGGGACTTAGAGGCGCTGTGAATGGGTGATGCGTGGAGGAGAAGCCGCTCGCGCCGTGCTGGCCTTCTGCTGGGTCCGACGACTCGGTGTTTGGCGTGAACAGCGGGAAGCCCGTCACCCAGAGAAACTTGAAGGAGTTGTCTGGCGGGAGGAGCCCTTGCGCGACTGCCTCAGCGTAGATGTGCCTTCGCAGGTCCCCGAGTGCGGTGGAGCCGCCTTCGAAGGGCTTGTTGGGCCGTGCTTGGATGACAAGCACATCTCCTTGCTCAAGACCGGCAATGTGTGGAAGATCCGAGCTGCTGGCATCCAGAACGGCCGAAGCTGCCTCGTGACCTAGTGGTGAGAGACCAGAGAGAGGCTTGCTGGAATCGATGGTAAGAGGGACAGGTTGGCCGTCTGGGTTGTGTCGAAGGGGCTTAGGGAGGTTATCCCAAAGGGATTTGATGAAGTCCTTCGAGGGCTCGTCGAAGCGGAACACACAAGCCTCGACGATAGGATCCTCCAGGTCCGATATCATGGATGTGAAATTATGTGGTAGGAGGTGGTCGATACGTTGGATCTTTGGCCACCTTTAGTGTTACTGTATGCAAAGTGTTTGGCAGAAGCACGCACCTTGTTTGGTATCCTTAAATCTGGTTTATCCGATCCGTGGAGAGACATAGCGTCATGATATGTCATGCGTGGAAACTCTGCTTCTATAGCAGGGTACTCCTCGGCATCCGTAGTGCCATCTGACTTTTTGGTCGGGCACAAGGCTCCATTGACCTGGCGTGTTTGCCACCGTCCGCGCATACGATCGTACACTTCGTGGATGAGTTTTTCGACGAGTCTCATCACGTCCTCGCCTTTCGCGAATGCCATTTCCATATCAAGCTGTTAACAAAAGCCCAGTTAGCCCACATACCACAAGCACAAGGTGAACAGGATAGTTTATATGATTAGGACAGAAGAAACAGTATCTTCCCCACCTGTGTGAACTCGGGCTGTCTGTCAGCGCGAAGGTCTTCGTCACGGAAGCATCTCGCAAGCTGGTAGTAACCTCTCACACCGGCTGCCATGAGGATCTGCTTGTACTGCTGTGGGCTTTGGGGTAGTGCATATGCATAGCCAGGCCGCCTAGTCGGGACCAGAAATTCTCTTGCGCCCTCTGGCGTAGACTTGAAGAGTATCGGTGTCTCGACCTGAAGGAATCCCCATCGCGTGAGAACATCGGTGGCATCTTTCGCGAGGGACCGACGGAATTCAAGCCTATGCTGGAGAGCCTTGTCGAATCTTAACTGCAGGTGCCGAGCGTGTGGCGGAAATTGAGCGCCTTCTGATATGATGATATCCCGAGGGAAAGGGTTAAGTACGTGAACATGTCGCAAGGTCAGGTCGTAGTGGACAGTATTCTTGGGATAGTTCGGGCCATACAGCACTAGAGCATCAGATCTCTTACAATCGTCAATGACTCCGGTGAGGCTGACGGAGCTCCATGCGGGAACTTGTTTGAGAGCCTTGTGCAGCCTATGCTCCGGGGAGTCCTTCTCCTCCCACGACGATTTGAACTGGAATGATGGCCCGCGGTCCACGATTAGGTCGACAAAGCTTAACTTGGACGAGACATCTCTCCGCTTGGATATGAAACCATGGACAGTTACAGTTCTCGTCAGGTCAAAGTCCCCAGCAGCGCTCTGGGCAGGGGAGTCGACTGTTCCGACATGGTGAGCAACCAATCCCGTGGTGGTTCGATCCTGGAGATTACATACAATAATCTTTGAAGGCTTGAATATTTCCTGCAAGAGTCTTGATACCAGCAGCCGGCGTGATCGACTCTTCCGTGTCGTCATGCAGGGTGCGGCGGTGGCACCATGTGAGGCTTTGCCCTTGTCGAGCCCAGTTTCTGGGGATGAGCCCAGCGGCAGCGACACCTGACTTGAGCCTGTGTTGAAGCGGACTTGGGCTGCATCTTGTTTTACATGGCAGCCTCAGTCTGGCGAGACCCCTCACCGAAGTCAACCGCATGGCAAGCTTCAATGAACGCTGTGCATTGGTGGGCTGTAGAAAGCACCTCTATATTGAGGTCACGAGAGAGAGGCACCTTACCTGCAGGCTGATACTGATATTGCTGGCTGCCCCAGGGTGAGCTTGGAAGAGCTGGTGGTACATCGCGCTCGTACCTTGCGCGACGGGTGACGGCCGGGCCCACTATTTTGGGGGATATGATTGGCCAGTAGTGGATCCAGGTGGGTCCTAGCCGGCTGGATCGTCCATATCTTGCAGCTCGCGTCGAGCACAGCTTTCTGAATTTTCTCTCCTTCTTCTGCAAGAAGTTGATCCTTCCAATTCATAACAATGTGAGTTGCAACGCCACAAACCCAAGCTGCACGACTCCCGGATACCATTTACTGACAGGTGACGCAGATGATGAAAGCCAGAGTGTTCCAGATGATCGAACCCGCCTCGGTGTTGCAGCTAAGGCTCTCCCCTCGTGGGCTTCAGGGCCTGGTTGTGACCCGAGGATTGGGTTCATGAAATAAGCGTTCGACACACGTTGACCTTGTTTATTCGGACGCCGCACGGCATCTCTGACCAAGTTTGAATTGGAAGGACTTTTATCTCGTTGTCGCGACTGTCCGCCGCTGTCCCGTGGTGGCACCGGTGTGCATATCAAGTGACCACTTTCCTGCGGCGTATCAGCCCATGATTCTGGTTGCGAGCGATGCCGCTGTACTCCGTGCACCTTGGCGTGACAAGTGTCGCGTGTACTTGGAGCGCGATCCAGCGTATTTCAGCATTGACACCAGGCCGACGGGCTTCTACCTCCCGACTTGGTGCCCAGTATCGTTGGTGCTCGGTAGTTCTGAGACTTCAAACCCAACTTTCCCGATCCCCTCATCGTCAAAGAGACGCTTTTGCAATGTTTCAATCCTGAGCCTGTGCCCGAACGACTGGGCGAAGCTCACCCGATGTTGAATTTTGTTGACTTGATAACCTCTTTGACTTCATGTACTGCATGTCCTGTTCACCATGATACAAATCAAACAGATCTTGGCACATTTAATTCACTCAAATATAGAAGACCGTTGACTGCCGCGCTTGATAATGCTTCACTTTGATGCTGACAAGTCACCAAATGCTGAGGGGGTGCCCCTGCTTCTCATGGCGATGTTTCATGAAACAGACGGGCATTGCCTTTTGGGCTGATGTTTGAGTGTGCCACGAAGCCGCGAAGCCGTCCTAGCTGCCCAAGTACCTTGAAGTAGATACCAAGGTACCTAGGTAGGTACACAGTAAGTACCTAGGCAGTAGCATATCGGGAAACGGTGGGGAACCCAGATACCCAGGTACGCAGCACAAGGAGGCAATGACGGTCGTCTCTCCTAGTAAGCGCCCTTCCATGGACGATGCTATGTTGTGGGATATCGCACAATCGGCCATTCAATCTGCATGTGGTGACTTGAAGACAGCATCAGTTGAAATCTCCGTGCAGACCGCTTAATAAGTAGGCATCGTGCTGGCTTGATCATTGATGGGCGTCATGTCTCCAGTTTCCGACCCACCCGTTCCTGACCCTGCGTTAGCGATTGCCCTCCTGCCCACCTGCCCACCTGCCTGGGCGTCGGGGGCCGTTCAGCCATCCGAGCCCAACCAGAAACGGCACCATGCCGCCCAGGGGGTCACCAAGCCAAACGTCGGTGCTGCCGTTAGCCCGGGTACTCCAACCCCCCGTCCCACGCAAGCCCAAGATGGAAGAGCGTACTCTCCCGGGAGAGCCAAGAGACAGACCACCAGTCGGCCGACGCTACCTAGGAACTCGTCAACCTCAACCTGTGTCCTTCCATCCATTCTGCCTTCGACAGTACCACCAACTGTCGCACCTCCGGGGTAGTCGACCAAACATCTCGGACCGTGCTCCCGACCGTCTCACAGGCTGCCCGTCTTTGTTGTCCCGTCGGCCATCAGGCGACTCGTACATAATTATCCCTTTAGATTATACTCAGATTCGCTTACACCCGCAGCTTGGGGTACCTTGCTTTTGATCGCGCACAGCAACCCCCGTTCATGCCATGGCCGCCCTCTGAACTGCCCCAACGACCATCTTGTCACTCCGCCCCTTTTGTGGTGCTTGGCTTTCCGTGAAATACCGGCCGGCCGACCCATCGTCATTGTCATTGTCATTTTCGCAGGGCCCCAGCCGCTGCCGTATCACTGAGAACGCCGCAGCTCCCTTCCCTCGGTTGCGGCCCATCCCAGCCCAGCCTGCTCCACTGCCCGCCAATCTCGCAGCCGACTAATCTCCGTGCCTTTTTGACGACCTGCCGCTACACCACGTCCTCTCGAGAAGCGCCCTGTGTGCCTGACAGCGTATAACGCCTAACCCGCGTCAACATGGCAAGCTCCTTTGAGAAATCCGTCAAGGGCGCTACCAAGATCAAGGTCCGTTACCCCCGTGTCGCCGTGCCGGGCCACCAGGTCACCAGGTCACCAGCACGATACGATACGATACGATGCGACACGCCCCCGGCTCCACGGAGGGGGCGAGGGACTCGCTGTGGATGGCACCATCGCTGACACTCTATTCTTCTCTAGGCTGCGCCCCCGAAGACGAAATACATCGAGCACATCCTGATAGCCACCCATTCCGGAGAGGCTGGAGTTGGTGAGGTCTTTCGAGCGCTGCAACACCGGCTGAGGGATTCAACATGGACCGTTGTCTTCAAGAGCTTGATCACGGTGCACCTGATGGTCAGGGAGGGTTCGCCAGATGTAACGCTGGCTTACCTGTCGAAACATCGGAATATGCTGGCAGTGAGCATGTTCTCAGATGGTCAGTCTAAGCTCGTCTTGCGAGTATCTGGACGCGCGGTTGCGACCCATCTCTGACGACGATATGCTGACCCATGGACAACAGCCCAGACACAGGGACGAAACATACGACATTACGCCAACTACCTATCTGAACGAGCGCGTGCGTATCGTGACACGAAGATCGACTGGGTTAGGGGAAGGGAAAGCCGTATGGATACACTGTCCGTGGAGAAGGGCCTGTTGAGGGAAACGGAGGCGATTCAGAACCAGCTCACGGCCCTCCTCAAATGCGATGTCCGTGGGCCCCTGCGACATCCTCGCGAGTCTTTTACTTGTTTGGCTGACTTCAAGCTAGGTTATGGACAACGAGCCGGAAAACGAAATAACAATTACCGTCTTCAGGCTGCTGGTGCTGGATCTTCTAGCCCTGTTCCAGGTGCTCAACCAAGCGCTCATCAACATCCTAGGTAGGACATGTGAAAGCCCAGGTTGTACCACCCACTGACCTTGGTGTCTAGGTCACTTCTTTGAGATGTCCAAGGTCGACGCGGAAAGAGCTATGGATATTTACCGCAATTTCACGAAACAGACGGACGTGGTTGTTCAGTACCTCGGCGTGGCCCGTCAATATGAACACCACACGAGGGTGGAGGTACCTAAGCTGAAGCATGCTCCCGTAAACCTTGGACGACAACTGGAGGATTATCTCAACGACCCCGACTTCGAGATCCACCGGAGGCAATACCTGGCCGAATTGGAGGCCAAGAAGGGCAAGGGGGGCTCAGGGGCATCCAAATCCTTCTTCACCTCGAAGAGTGAACCTGCCTCCAAACCAGCATCCAACTCACCGTTCCCTAGTGTGAACGGATCTTCATCAACAGAAAGTAAACCAGCGCCGCCCAAGAACCCGAATACAGATTTGATCGACTTCTTCGACTCGATAGAGCAGAATCAGACGGCATTGGGCGCCCAGCCAACCGCCCAGCTCGGTCAGATGGGCAACTCACCTTGGGGGCCAGATAATGGCTTTCAGCAGCAACAAGCCACAGGCTTCCAGAATGGTTTTGCACCACAGCAGACGGGATTCCAGTCGACGAATCCGTTCCAGCAACAAATGGGCAATTTTCAACCCCAGCAACAGGCCCCTATGCCACAGCTGCAGCCTTCTTTTACCGGTGCTGGCTTCGGTGGTTTCACCCCTCAGCCTGGTTACCAGAACTCCTTGGCTCCTATACCCCAGGAGTCTGCGGTTGCTTCGTTCCAAACGGGCGCATCAATGCCAAATCTGCTAGCACCCCAGCAAACCACCAATCCCTTCCGCCAGTCCATGCTGACAGGCCAGCCGACTGGCATGAGCGCCCAATCGGCACCCACAAGTCCGCCGACCCTCCAGCCACAACACACGTCTACTAACCCATTTGCCCGTTCAGCTTCAGCAGCTGGCAACCCGTCTCCGTTCCAATCTCCTCCGCCAGCGGCGCCGTTGCAGCCCATGGCAACCGGCACTAACCCATTTGCAAAGAACTTCGGTGCTGGGCAGCAACCACAGAGGCCAGCAACCAGTGCCGGTCTGGCGCCTCAGCCGACAGGGACCACAAATCCATTCCGGCAGTCGCAGTTTGTCAACCACAACACAGGCATGGGCTGGCAGCATAATCAGCAGGCGATGGGCGGTGGCCCGGACAGTCTGCAGACGATGCCTGTGTTCCCCCGGCCAGCTCAACAGAGCCCCTGGCAGCAGTGATTATCAGTTGCAAAGGTCTGGATTTTGGCCAGGAAGCAACGCAACGATATTCGAACGGAACATATTTTCGCTCATTGTCTGTTTTCTGGTCTGTCTTGCAGTTCTGTGTTTGCAGAGCGTGGCGTTCAGGGCGGCTTAATCGTGGACAGGACGGCGGGTCCTTTGAAGGGTTTGGAACAGGAAGTCGACGGTTGGAAGCTGCGGATGTCAATGCCTACTTAGGTCGAGGGTCTGGCTAATGTAAAGATATTGAAGTCCTGGACCGGCGCGTTCACGCGAAGCCGGCATACAGCACTTTCAAGATTGCAATTCTAGAGCTTAATGGACATGATGTCCGTATGATCTATTATTGGAAACTGGTGCTCTTGCCATGTGGCCCAATCGTCAGGTTCCGCCCCTTGCTCCGCCAAATTCCAGTCCACCCCAACAGCCGTATCGTGCATTTTTCTCAACCCGAGAAGCGACCATGACCACCATGGTCCCGAGCCTTGACAAACGCCATCGCTATGCAAACAGTTCAAACCTTCAATCAATCTCGACTAGATCGGCTCAAGCAATCCAGAAAACTGCCGCAAGGCCACTTAGACAGGCGAGGCATGCCTGCCGCTCGTGATATGAGCCTCCCCTGGTTGTCTCAGTCGTCTAATTCCATCTTGATCGGTTGCTCGACCTTGACTACTTGCTCTCCCCTAGCATCCTGCTCGACCTCGCGATCCATTTCGAGCTTCACCTCGGCCCTCTCCCTCTTGACGGCAGTCCTTGCGGCGGCGTCCCCGACCCCGTCCGTCTGTGCAGCCAGGCCTGCGCCACCCGTGGCGACGTCCCCAAAGTCCATGCCCAGTCTGCCAGTCTCCTTTTCGTCGTTGACGAAAACAGACATGCCGGCAAAAGCCTCAAACATGGCCCGCGCGTAGTACTCCTGTACGCTGTACCCGCCAGACGTGTACTTCTGGTCGTGCTTGGCGCTGTCCAGGAATGGGTTCCTGTAGTCCCTCTCGAGCTTGTACCGCGTGCTGCTGAGGTCCAGCCTGCCAAAGGGATCGTAAGGACCCGCGTCGGCGTCCCTCGCCGCGTCGCCCTTCTTCTTCAGGCCGCGGATCGACAAGCCGCCGGCAGCTGCCGCGGCAGCCCGGCGCAGTGCCGCGGCCTCCGAGGCGGCGAGCTCCTCCTTGCGGTGCTGCCCGCGGCGCTTGAGCATGACCTTTGTGGCCTGGCCCTGCGGGGCGCGCGCCAGGGTGTCGAGGTCCTCCTCGCGCTGCTTGATCTTGGCCAGGCGCTCCTCCTCTTCGGCCTGGGCGGCCTCGGCGCGGCGCTGGCGGGCGGCCTCCTTCTCGGCGGCGATCTGCTTGCGCGTGGACTCCTTCTGCCGCTCGCCCATGCGCTTGTTGCGCTCGATCTCGGCCTTGTGCTCGTCCTCCCACTGTAGCAGCTTCTCGTTGGCGGCGGCCTGGTCGGCGGGCCCGCCGTACACGAGGTCCATGGTCAGGGCCTCCACCATCTCCAGGTACTCGTTGAAGGAGGACAGGTCCTCGAACTCGTCTTCGGTGCGGTTGAAGACGGCGGCGACGCGGCGCCGGATGTCGACCTCGCGCTCGACGGACAGGTCGGAGAAGACGGGCTCGCGGAAGTTCTTCTTGCGCAGGGTCCTGTGGCAGCCCACGTAGGGGCACTGGTTGGGTCCGTTCTCGAACAGCCGGTCGACGCAGTTATTACAGAGAGGGTGGTAGCACTCTGGGTTGATAAGGAATCGCATGGACTTGTTCATGTAGCGGAGGGTCTTGCAGATGGGGCACTGCTCCTCGCCGTCGGTGTTGGTCAGGGCGATTGCCTGGATTGGGGCTGCCACAGGCCCGGCGCGGGGGGTGGGCGCCCCTGGTTTGCGCGACATGGCGAGGGAGGAGGAGGATCAGGAGCTTTGTGGGGGGCCGCCCATGGGGTTCGGAGTGTCGCAGTCTAGGATCGAATCCAAGGGGCGGGAGTCGCGACGCTGAGGTATGTTGGTTAGAGGTGGGTGGAAGACGGCGGCAAGGTTGACCAAGCGCACGTCAAACAAATGCAGTGGATGATGACCCGAGGATCAACCAACCCGCCCAGTGCGTGCCCGTGCTTTAGACCTGGAGGTACCCAGGTACCTAGCAGCAGGGATAAGCTTCCACATATGGAGACAGCCTACTTGAGTACTCAACGGCCTGACCCAAAAAACTATTATCAAGCAGTTGGGAGGAGGCCACTCTGGAATAGCTCTTCTCCATCCGACACAGGTCTATCCTGCAGTAGTTTATCGTACATTTACTTACCAACAGTGCATAGGTAATCAGTGGTTCTACCGCAGGGTATCTTGTGGTTTAAGCTGAGAGAGGCTCAGAAAAGATGGGTGGGTGCCTGCAGGTCTGGGATGCGTAATGGTGCTCCGCACCCTGGAGCTACCCCAAAAAGTTGCCCCGCCATCCCAGATCCCGGCGGGCCAGCCTTCCAGCCTTCTAGAGCTTCGATCAGCTTCCACTGTCTTGAAAAGTTCCAACACCAGACAGCTCACCGCAACCCGCACAAGATGGCAGACAACGGTACGAGCTGACTATTCAGCCAATTCTTACACTAGTTCCTCACGGTTGAGCTAATATCTTAACAGAACCTACCGCCGCCGAACAAGCAGCCGCCCGCGCCAAGGAGCAGGCCGAGCAGGATGCCCTTCCCTACAAGTGGCAGCAGACGATTGGCGATTTAGATGTCACCTTTGGCGGGATCCCAGGCAACTTCAAGAGCAAGGATCTGGTCGTAGAGATCAAGAAGCAGAGCTTAAAGGCCGGCATCAAGGGACAGGAGCCTGTGATAAGTGTGCGTACACACCCCGCCACTGCCCTCGAGACCAAAGCAGCGGAGAGGACATAATCCAAGACCAAGAGGCACTAACACGAGCTTCTCGCGGCACAGGGTGACCTACACCAGGCGATCCATGTCGACGAGAGCACCTGGACGCTCACGTCCGCGCCCGACGGCACCAAGACGGTCGAGGTCCACCTGGACAAGGTCAACAAGATGGAGTGGTGGCCGCACGTGGTGACCGGCGCGCCCAAGATCGACGTCACCAAGATCACACCCGAGTCGTCCAAGCTGTCGGACCTGGATGGCGAGACCCGCGGCATGGTCGAGAAGATGATGTACGACCAGCGCCAGAAGGAAGCCGGCAAGCCCACGAGCGACGAGCAGAAGAAGGCCGACATCCTCAAGAAGTTCCAAGCCGAGCACCCGGAGATGGACTTTAGCAACGCCAAGATCAACTGAGTTGATTTCCTCGTGTGTGCTGGTGCGTGAAGATAGGAGGGCAGATCATAGCAGCGTGATGAACGGAAGTTGGTGGCGTTGAGCGATACCAATGTTTACGAGATACGACGGGACATACTCGAATTACTAAAAAATAAGACCGAGGCGCACACAAGCCATGCTTCTCTCTTTTCAGTATGTAAGGTGGTGAAACGAAACGCCTAGACCACAAGGCAAAGCCACTGGAGGCTTCACAGGTCAGGGGTCAGATAAGCCCCTCGGGATTCAATATTGGAATAATGCCCGTACCGAGCAAGCAGATTGAGAGCTGCAAGCTCAACTGGTCGTCGTGAGATGACCTGGGTTCCGTTCTTTTTGGCTTCTTACCAAAAAAGACAAGCGGGAAAGCCTCATGCATGTTCCTATACTAAACAATGGGACGTACTCAAAGAAGTCATCCGCTCCCACATGGGCGATCGCGCACGTGGTCTGGTAGAACCTGGAGGCTGCATCCCGGGATCCACGGGAAGTCCTTCAAACTTACTGGCCTTCCACATAGCTTTCCTATTGGATGCCATAATCTAGGTTGTTATTTCATAGCGGACGTACCGATCGGTTGGTATGCTGGCTGGGGTGGATCTCCTGTGAGACAATCTTGGGTGACCGCATTATTGACCGAAAGACGAAGTCGAGGTTGGGCGATGATGATAGTCACAAGGAGCAACAACAAGCATATTGGGTTGCCTTTACAGCCCCTACCTACCCGTGTCTAGTCTCACTGCTTCCCTAACCTAGCAGCCTTGAATCGACTAACACGCTTTCCTCCTGCTCCTTCGTCCTCGGGATACTCGATGGCCTCCTCCTTCTCGGTAACGAAGCCGCCCTGCTTCTGTATCATCCGGTTACGCAACCGGTGGTATTCGACGGCAGCCTCCTGGTGTAGTAGCGTGGCGTCGAACTCATCCGGCTCCAAGGCGTCCGGGGGCATGTCTCGTTCGACGACGGTCCCAGCGAGCGTCGTGCCGTCCGGTCCTGTCGGGGCTGTCCGCACTTCCTGGTCCAGGAAGCGTGCCGGGGCCTCGGCCGGGCCTTTGGGCCTCACTGGCAGCTGGGTTTCGGATGGTCCGGCGGTGGGCTCTGTCGCGCGTGCCTTTTTGAACCGCGATGTCTTCTTCGGCGTGCTCGCTGTTGGTGCTGCTGGCTGTGCGGCAGGACTCCGCTCCACGATGGTGCTTCTCATAGGGTCGACGTAGGGCTCCTTGGGTTCTTGAAGCTCAACACTGGTAGGGGCTGGTGCTGTATCGATTTCGGGGGCTATGTCCAGCGCGCTGGCAAACTTAACGCCCTTCCTCGCGGGCTTCGACCCTTGCGCAGCTTCATCGCCACCCTTCATAGAGGACTTGGCGGGCTGGGTCGCAGGCGCTGGCTTGCTTGAAGCAGCCGGTTGGACTGCGATGCGTGCGATGCCTTCTTCCGGTATGCTCCCGGCGGCCCTGGCCTCTTCTTCCTCCTCGATCTGGCGGCTCGACTTTATACCCAACCTCGCCTCGAGCTCCTGCATGCGCTTCCTATACTTATCATCGACAACACGCGACCTGGTTCGGCCATGCTCGTCCTCGTCCTCGTCATCCTCGTCATCCTCGTCTTCGAAGTCGTCATCCTCGTCAAGGCTGCACTCGTCCTCGTCGAACTCGGAACCCGTGCCCTCGTCGATTTCCAGCTCAGCAACAATTGGCGCAATGTCGGTCATGCCGTACCTGAGCATCTCCCGTCGAAGCTCAGCGTCCTCGTCGGACTCGCCTTGTGGTATCACTGGGTTCGATATGGGTGCCTCCTGTTCTTTGGCTTCCTTCATTATTTGCTCAAGATACTCCCGCGTCCGGAGTCTTGGGTCTTGACCGTTGAGGTCGTGGCCTGGTTTTGTGTCTTCGGCGAAAGACACGCCCTTTTTTGTCGGGGGACCTGTAGGCTCCACGTCCATGGCATCTGGGTCCGTCTCTGCTTCTGGGATGCCCTCACTTTCGACATCCTGAACGCGCTCCTTGAGCTCGTGCATCGGTGTGTCCTCATCGTCTGGAAGTTCCTCGACATAACCTGGCAACTCCCTCTCCGTCTCAGGCAAGTCCTTGACACCAGCCTTCTCCAGTGCTTCACGGATGGCGGAAGTTGAGTCGCCTGGCCGCTGCAGTCGGGAGGACGTGACGTTGTCGTCATCATCAAGCTCTTCAATAATGTCCGTGATGGGCAGCCCTGAATCCTCGTCCATGGCATCTGGGTTGGCCACGACGTTGACCTTTTCGTACTTCTCCTCGGCAGCCTGGAGCTGCTTCTCCAGGGTTTGCACGTTCTTGGAGACATAGTCAATCCGCCGGGAGAGAAGACTGATGATCTGGGCCTTGGGCTTCACCTCTGGCTGGCCAAATATCTCCTTGACTTCCTTGGTGGTGATGACATGGCCCTCAAACTCGTTGCATATCCTGTCCAGGTCCGCGCGGCCAGCGGGCCCGGATATGGCATCGACCTCTTCCTTGAGTTCCTCGTAGTCGGCGTCACACATGCGCCAGTGTGTGATGGCCTTGCGGAGCTTCTCGACATTTTCCTCAAGCTGGCGGCGGTGCCGTTCCAGGTCAATGAAGTGATCTTTTACCGAAGCCATCTTGAGAATTCACAAGCAAGGGATGTTGTCGGTGGAGGAAGAAGACCGGCACGCAGTCCAGTCGTTCAGAGAAAAAGAATGCTTCAGCCTTCTGCAAGGTTCGCCGAAAAAAAGATGCTTAGGTAATGCCGTGCATCTCTGGGGCAACCCCTGTCGCCGCGTATTGGGTGCGGTACCATAACCCTAGGACCTCTATGCCACCTTAAGCTTGAGTCCTTGACTCGACGTCGGAGGTTTGGACGGCGGTTTGTTGGTTTGTTTTCCAGGCCCATTGCAACTAGACAATGTTCACGCTTGCTTTATCATTCCATGACCTACTGTATCAAGTTTCTCGGTGTAAATTATGCGGTGGCTGTCAAGTGACGAGCCACTGTGCCTGTCGTTGGTCTGGTCACGGTTTGCCCGATGTGACGAAAGTCTGCCACCGAACACAATAGGACCTCTAGATCTTGGGCTGGCTGGAGCCGACGATGTGGCACGGAGATCACTCAATGTCCACTGTCCAAGACAGCGAGATGCTGGGTCGGCAGCTGAAATAACTGCGAATCGTTCAGGTGGTCGGCATTGGTTCCACATCCAACCCAGAAGAAGGACACATTGGAACGCTCGAGGCCATCAAATGTGACGTGACGGTCATGATATCGGAGCTACACTCCAAGTGCATGACAGCTTTTCACAACTACTCCATCACATCCTGAAGTCTGTAAATTAAGGGACCCATGGGTAGAGCAGGGGTACCCAGGGTCCTCATGATCGCCATGAGATAGCTGCAGGTCTCGACTATCTGGGTAGCGATGGTTGCATCTAGATCTCGAGGAGAGCACCCGCCCCAATGACAGAAAACGGCAGGCCAAGAGATGAATCAAGCTTCGCCGAGACTTCTGGCATTTCTTCACAATACCACGGTGGGTGGGTGGGTAGGCGGATGGATCGTGCAGTCAGGCAGTCCTGGCGGGCCATTCACGTCCCCTGCGCTTACAACTTTGATACATGCCTGCACCTATACTCCGTGGACTGCCCTGAGCCGGTAACGATCAGCACACCCATATCGGCCTCTAAATTATCCATGCCAGATTGCCTATCACCGATGCACCGGTCCTCCCCTCCCATGCCTCCTCAGTCCAAATCCACGCTGGCAATCACTCCAATCTTTTGGGGCTTGTTGCAATCCCCATAGAGACCTTCCAAAAACAGTCGAGGTCCCGTCTCAATACTACCACAAACCACCATCTGCCGACATGGGCCTGGTCGACTGTGCTCCTCCCTGCCGGCTCCGAGATCCCGCCGTCCTGTCGTGAATAGAATGAGCGTCCATGGTCACCGAGACCAGCGTGAACGACAAGGCCCTTGAACTGATATAAAGTTATATCGTGCCTCCCGTCATCTCATGTTTGTCAAACCGATGCCTTCATTAGCATCACTGATCAGATTCCCCTTCCCGAGTCTGGCTCCTCGATTGTCTGCCGTCTAATACCCCTGTCTGTCATTTGATACGGCAAGTCAACAAGATGTTGTCCTCAATCAAGACCCTCTCCTTTCTCGCTCTGCTGTCCTTCCTGGCCAGCCCGGCTTCCGCGGTCACATGGTACTTTTTGACCTACTATCCGGCCAGCGGGGCCCAGTTCACCGAGTTCTCCGGCTCCATGGTGGTGCCCACGCTCCCCAAGGCGGCCACCTACTACCTCTGGCCGGGGCTGCAGCCCACCGACAACTCTGGAGTCTACCAGAATGTCCTCGACGGCAGGTCGGGGACATGGTACTTCGGCTCGGGCTGGTGCTGCAGCAACCCGTCGCTGGCCTGGGGCTCCGGCTTCAACACGTACGCCGGCGAGACCAACACGTTCAAAAACGTGAGGGTCGACGGCACCAACTGGCAGTCGACCACCGTGCACGGCAGCACGGGCACGACCAAGACGGACTCGTTCGCGCTGAGCTCCAAGAGCTTCAACCAGGCCATCTTCGCCATTGAGCTGTGAGTGCTGAGACCATGGCCCTTTGTGAACTCGTCGACATAGAATGAGTATGAGACTGATGATTGCGGTAAAAAAGGTACGATGTTCCATGGGATTTCGGAGCCCTTACCTTCAAGAACGTCAAGATTGTGGCGACAGGCAGCTCGAGCTCGTCGTGGTGCACCTCCAGTCCCAGTAACTACAACGGTGCGACCAAGTACACCATCAGCGGTGCGAAGGCTTCCGTCTCGGGCACGACTGTGACCTGCACGATCGACTCGGTCGTTCTGCAGGGCCCTGCTTAATTCAAACGGGCAAAGCATTTTCTTCACTCTTCTGATTGGGCAAATCCGTCACTTGGACTTTTGCCCTATCGATGTTGGTATTGTTTCTTGGATTGCTACCAAGTATATGTATTTCGTCACGACATGGCATGTACATAACTTGAACCGCCGCTCTTGCTGTACATATTCAAGACCAATTGCTGCTGCCAATGCTCGATGCTCCCGATCGTTTCGAAATCAGCCGCTCGACTCCGAGAAATGCAAGAAATGTGTTTTCCGCGTGTGAGGCTGGTGTTGAAGAAGCTATGATCGTTCTGGGCTGGAGGCCCTTGCAGTTTCTTCCACGCCCTCAGTCTGAGGCCCAAGCAGTGCCGTCTCTTCGTCTGCAACCTTCTTCGTATCCGCCTTCTTAGGAGGCGGCGTCTTTTGCAAGGCCGACCACAGAGTACTCGCGATAATGATTGCACCTCCAACCAGGCTCCAACCACCTGGCAGGACGCCCCAGATGGCCCAGTCGAACATCAGGGCGAAAATCACCTGGGTGTACAGCATGGAGGTAGCCTTGGGGCTCTTGTCCAGCTGCAAGCCGGACGTGAGAAGGAACTGCAGAACGAAGCCCAAGAAGCCAAGGAGGACTAACAACGCCCACTCGCGCGGTGAAGAGGGCATTATGAATTCGATGCCTGGCGTGGCCAACATTGCGACTACCGAGCCGACGGTGGCAACCAGTGCAAAATAGTTCACGGAGATGAGGGCATGTGCCCTGTCGCCCATGATGCGTATAGTTGTGTAAGCACCAGCCGCACCAACGACTCCCAGGACAGCCAGCACGATGGCTAACATGCGTTGCGCTGGAGCAACATCGTCCAGGTCCTCCGGGGCAGCATAGGCATGAATATGGTCGTCTACCTTGCCGAAGATCGATTCCGGGTGAGCGATGAGGACCACCCCGACCAGTGCGACCAGACCGGCGATGAGCTCCTTGCGGGTGAAGGGCTGTCCAAGCACGATATAGCAAGCCCATGCCGTAGTGATGGGGATGAGGAAGCGGAAGACGGTCGCCTCGGCGAGCGGCAGGTAGTGAACCGAGTAGTATAACGTGAAGAGCCCCATGAATCCGAAGAGGGCCCTCAGCACCAGCCAGCCTCTGATTTCAGGATGTCCCAGTGGAAAGTACGGTACAGAAGTCCACCACATGTACAGAGTGCTGAGGATGAGTGTTATCCCCATACGAGCTGTGATGATCTGGTGGGCGTATTAGCATCACCCAGGTTTTCTGGAACTCTGAACATGTGTGAGATGTACCGACCTGAAGCGTATGGAAACCGCCACCTCCCTGCTGTAAGAACCGGGCTATGGCGTCCATGGAAGCTCCACAGACGACTGATGAGAGGATCAGAAGTGCACCCTTGTTGTTCTGCCATATTGAACGCCAGGTGCTCTGGGAAGGCTCTGCGGCCGACGCATTCTGTTCACCCACTCGGGAGGGGTTCTCATTGGCAGTGTTTGAAGCCATTATGACCGCGTTAGGTCACCGGAAACGACTGGAAGTAGAGTTGGGAGTAAAATCCCAGGGTCTCGTGCGGAGCACCACAGAACAACTCGACGTCAAGACGAAGAATCTTGACGAAGCAAAATAAAGCAAATACTCTGACATGTATTTTCTTGTGTTAAAAAAAACAGAAGCATATGCAAGAGAGTTCGTAATGAACCTAGTACAAGCACGCCGCAATCAATGCAACGGAGTCATCAGACCGTGCGAACCCCGGGGGGGATCCGCCCTCGTGACAAAAATCTGATGGATTGCCATCCCCACTCGTCTTATGCCGAACGGCAGGCGTGATCGAGCGGGATCTTGGCCGATTCTCGGATCCCTAGCGTCGGAGGGGTGTTCTACCTGTCTCTGCGCTCTGCACGGCATCTAGGACGAGCTTTCGTTGGCTATGCGAGGCTGGCTGTCTGGAGAATGGTTCAGCTGAAATGGCGGCGACTGACGAGAACGGGGCTATGCATGCAAGCTAGTGGCCGTTGGTAGCCGGCTGGATCATGATGAGAGTTGCTTTTGACATGTTGGTGTTATTATTTCCATACGGGTCGTCAAACACAGCGTTCAATGCGGGGTCTGTGTACATCTTTCCCATGTCCCATAGGTGCACCTGTTGGTGGCTCTGAGGCCAAAACATAAGCATCATGTTGCTTCTTCAGTGTAGCTCGGTGGGACCTGACAAAAGATGTGGAAAACTCGAACCCAGTTGGTTGATTGGTAAACGCCCACGGTACCTACCTTCTGCTGCATCGGGCAGTCAGCTATAACAGCTTTGCTCGAGTATCACATGTGCGATACTCGCTGTGACCTGCTATAGGACATACTTACCGTGGGCTTGCTTCCTATGTGATCTTTACACAGATGGGTATGGGAATAGATGCAACGGAATTTGGGCAAGGGTAGCCAATTGCTTGTAATTGCCCAGGTACTTAGGTACCTACTGTGTAGGGGAGGTAGCTAACACCTGCCCGTATCCGGTCCCGCCTGGTCATCGGATCCCTGCTTATGCCGAATTGACGTCAAGCCAAATGCTCGACGCGCACAGCTTTCGACAACATCACAACAGAGTTAGTAAACCACAACATGCTGCCTGACCCGGCTCTTTCTATCACTATACCTAGCGTGCACGACGACGCCACACTTGAATGCCGCATCTACCATCCTCAATCTCTAACTGCAAACCCTCGAGCCCCACCCTGGCGCAAGCATGCCGCTGTGCTGGCTCACCCCTACGCGCCCTTGGGAGGCTGCTTTGATGACCCGGTCGTTGAGACCTTAGCAGCAACTCTCCTGAGGCAGGGCTTTCTTGTCGGCACCTTCAACTTCCGCGGCGCAGGCAACTCGAGCGGGAGGACCAGTTGGACATCCAAGGCCGAGAGGAGTGATTACATGTCTTTTCTGGGATTTGTCTACTACTACGTGCACTATCTGGACCCTTTCCCACGAGGGCAGCCTTCCGTGAGCTCTTCTGACCTGCCGCTGTCCCCCACGACCAATGAGGCTGCCACACACGACGTTTCAGAACCAGAGCGTGCCGTCGACTGTCACGTTCTCCTCCAGTGTGGCTACTCCTACGGAGCAATGATAACGAAGCTCTTACCGCCACTGGAGTCCGTGTTGGAGCTGTTTGTTGCTCCCAAGAATGCTTCAGCAGCAGCAGACATACGCCTGCGGGCCCAACACCTCGCCGAACAGCAGAATGTCATCCTCGGCAGTGCACGTGCGGCTCTGATGGAACCAGCCAGTCCAATGTCGCCCCGGAGGGCAACCCCCGGTCTGCGGATAGGGGGCGATGAGGACAAGAGGCGGAGCCAAGACCACGGGGGAAGAAGGAGCTTCGCCATGGACGCGGAGGAGAAGGTGCGGGCCGGCGTGGCAGAGCTCATGAAGAAAACAAAGACGCATCAACGTCACAGCCACCGCAGGAAGGGTAGCCACCCGAAGGAGGCGGAAGTACCAGCCACCAGCAGCGGAAAAGAAGCAGACAAGGGGAAGGAAGAGGACCACCTGCCAGCTGTCGCCGGACTGCCGTCCCCGATGGTTGCCTACCTACTGGTATCTCCTCCGGTGGGGTGGGCCACCAGCCTGATGACCCTGAACCTGGGCAACCCCGTGTCGGGCCTCTTTGGGAAGCACGCCCGGCCCAAGAGCAAGGACAGAGAGGGGGACGCCGCTTCACCGAGCCCGGCCGAGTCCAAGCAGGAGAGGCAGAAACTGGTCGACCACCCGACTCTGGCCATCTACGGAGACTCGGATGTGTTTGTGGCCGTAAAAAGATTCCGGGACTGGGCGGCTAGGCTTCAGTCAACCCCCGGGTCTCGGTTCAGGGCCCATGAGATCTCGACAGCCGGGCACTTCTACATCGAGGAGGGAACCATGCAGCGGCTCGCCGATGCTGTGAGGGCGTTCTCTGGTGAGCTGCTGGTGCAGGCGCAGGAGCCGGCGTGACTGCAACTACTCCTTTTACGCGTTATCATTGTGTCGCTGTCGATGTTGTCGTCACCGTCGCTGTCTGGGTTGCAACAATGGATGTTATTGGTTGTGGGTTTTTGCTGTTGATGCGTTAGAGTTACGATACCCTAGGATAAAAGCGTACTGTCACTTGAGCATATTGATTATCCGAGAACATGGCCCCGTGAATATCACTCTGTTATGGTGTGTGCGCTTATCTGGCCATTCTGTAGCAACCTGCCCGAATCGCCCACTTCGACGTAGTGTTGTCCGCACAAAGGTTGCGGTGTGGGCCACTTGCAGCCCACATGTTCTATTAAGTAAGACTGCATTGCGAGCAGACACATCTTCTATGCAGAAGCATATGATGCACAAGGTTAAACGAAGCAAGTCAGACAAGTTGATGACATGTGGTTGTGAAAACATGCGACTGCACAAACTCTGTATTACCCAGCCCGCATGCAGGCCTTGTAGTATCCATCTTCACATGCTTGCCCGGCCTACCTGCTCGAGTTCCCCACCAGCCCACCCCTCCATTACCCCGTGGGGTGCGCCGTGGCGCTGTGATGGCGGGGGGTCGCGCGGGGTCCTTTTGTGTGACTCGCGCCTTGTCCAGGTCACTTGGGTCCCATAGCATTGAGTTCACGCGGAGATGCAGCTGGTGTGGTGGGCAGCCAATGCAGGTGTCTCAGTCCAAGGAGTAATTTCCTGTGGTATTACCGCATTTCCTGCAGCGAGAGATGCAGCCCTGCCGACCTCGACTTGCTAAACATGTTTCGAGGGCAGCGCAGGCGTCATTCACGTGCCAGTGCGTAGAAATAACCCTCTCTCTCTCTCTCTCTGTCCTTATCACCGCCATCCGAGGACGTGCGTCCTTGTCTGAGTATCTTGTGCTTCTATCCCCTTCTAGCCCGCGGGCTAGAAAGCTCGATACGCTCCGTCCCACGTCCCAGCGGCCTGGGCGGCTAAATTTATCATTATCTTGGGGGGTGAGGAGGGGCACGGTAATCGCAGAAGAGTGGAGTCCTTTCTATCGGAAATGCCTCTCCCCTTTGCCCAAGCGTGAAACCAGCGGAGGCCCTTGCCCGCTCTGGGCCAACCGGCGGGAGAACGGCGGCGTTTTTGTTCTGGGTGTAAGTGTGCAAGGTCGATTACTGTGTAGGACTAATAAACAGCCTGACTCGGGAGATTGGACTGTTGGGGGCGATGACGGCTGGTGAGGCCAGGGAATGGGCCCAGGGAATGTGCAAGTTGGCATGAATAAACCTTGTGGGTTGGGCTGTTGTTCACTCGTGTGGTTGTGTGGTTGGGTGTGGGTGTGGATGTGGATGTGGGACCGTTGTTCTGTAGTCTGTGTGGCTTTGGGCGTGCATGTGAAAGCTGCCCAGCCGGTGAGAGTACTCCAGTACATAGTGAGCAGATACTTAACTACTTAGTAGTCTATGAATCAGGAGCTGGGAGGGAGGTCATACAAAGCCCGGAGTGGTCAGGTCAGGTCAGCGAGCTTTTTTCAGCTTGGTTGGTCTCACATCAGACGGAACTGGCTGCTGCTGTCGTTGGTGACACCAGTAGCAAGTCGCACATATCCTCGACATTGGATGCCCGTTCCTGGTTGCCGTTGTCTCGAGGGACGGGGAAGGGGTGCCAGTAATAAAAAGGGAGGAAACGAAAAGGTCACGAGGCAAGGCTGATGCAGGCTGAAGCACCGAGATCCTCGACGGTCCCGTCTTGTGCTTCGCTCTCCGCCTGTTGAACAATAAACCACCTCCCTCTCCGTTCTTCTCGGGAGGTGCATCCGAGCCCTCAGGCTTTATTCAACGGAATGGTTGGTTGCACATTGTAGGACACACGAGCGGCTGCATCGGGCTTGATCTGCCCTCCAGCCCCAGCTGACCGTCCAGCAGGTAAGGACCTGGGTAGCACCGCTTAATTGCTCCCAGGTAGGTAAACCTGGAGAAGGTGGTGTGGATCAAGCGCAGAGTACGGGGTAGACTAGGCGCAACGGAGCGCTGCTGCGACAGTAGGCCGCGCTGCCGCAGATCAGAACCCCAGATCCGCCGTCACAAGTGACCAAGTGACCTGGAAGTGACCAAGTGACCTCTTGCTTCCGCGCATCAGTGGCATAATGCACCCAATCATCGGCCTGGCCTTGTCATCTCCCAAGTCTCCGTCCTTGTGGGATCCCCCCAAAAGCTGCCAGGCTGCGTCTTGCCAAACATGTCATTCCCGCGCCGGCGAAGCAGGCCATGTGCAGACTAGCATCGTTGTTGCATTACCCGCCTCGTCCCGCCGTCTTGCTTGTCCTCGTGCATCCACCTCGGTTTTCCCTGTCGCACCTATTAGGCCTATCCAGGTGATACTTAGACCGCATTACTCTTGCCATCTCCTTTCTCGTTGGACTGAGACTCTATCTGACCCGCCTCGACTCCCCACCGCCTTTCCCGGGCCTCAATGCCCAGCCAGCCCATCTGTCCTCGATCTGCGGTTATTCTTGTCCATGTCGTAGCGTAATTGGACCGCCTCCCATTCCAAGGACGCACCTTCCAACCTCGTGCTTCCAAGTTCCAACTGGCATCGTCTTTTACGCTCCTGGCCCCTGGCTCCGTCTCTCCCTTCTTCTTCCCCTTCCAATCCATCCTTGCGACCTGCACCTACAAACGACTGCGACATAATATCCACCTTTACCTACGTTGTCAGCACCAACCCAACCCAACCCCGACGGGAACAAGAAACGGCACACATCCAAGTACACATGCCCTGATGCCGACCTGAACTGAAGGGACCTCACCAACAGACATAACACGCATTTCCCAATGTGCCGACAAAGGCGACCGTCCCATTGCTCCTACTCGTTGCGATGAACCAATACCTCCACGTTCTACCGTCTCCTGCCCACACACATCGCGATGGCCAACAACAACCCGTGAACCAGACCCGCCCCTCCGGCGCATTGCCCGCCCACCGCCTCTCCAAGCTCATAAAGGGGGCCAACGAGTACCTCTATCCGGCCCAGGATGCAAAGAATAGCTCCAAGGCGGATGATGCTCGCAAACTCGAGGAGCGCAAACACATCCTTGCTTTGCGCATGAAAAATGTGAGTCTCTCTGCCCCGTCCGTCCTGCCTGTGGTACTCGGCGACCAGCGACCCTAACCCATGTGCAACCGACACAGGCAACTTCCGCGTCGCAATGGACTTCGGCAGCGCAGGAACTCGACCTCCTTGAGGGGAACCACAACTGGAAAGCAGAGGAGAATGGCGTCGACGGCGTCTACCGACCCGATGTCGTGCGCGAACGCATCCGCGAGCTCGATGACGCCCGCACCGCCTGCGATATCCGCCGAATGCTCCATCTCGTGAGGACGGCCCTGTCGCGTGAGCTCGGCGGTCTAGGCAACATCGACCTGTACAAGCATTCATATATTGGAACGAAAGACCTCATCGAGAAGTACGTACAGTCGGCGGTAAAGACCATCGAGGATCTTGTCGAGAAGAGCGGCTACCCCGGCGCATTACCCGACGACTTGGACCACAACGACATTCTCGAAACCCTGGTTCAGACGCGGCAAAGCTATGGCAGGTCAGCCCTGCTTCTGAGCGGAGGAGGTACATTTGGAATGATGCACGCTGGGGTTCTGAAGGCCATATTCGAGGCCGACCTCCTCCCCCGCATCATCTCTGGCGCCTCTGCCGGCTCTATCGTTTGCGCCGTCTTCTGCACCAGGACGTCGGACGAGGTACCCGAGGTCATCAGGAATTTCCCCTACGGTGACCTCGCAGTCTTCGAAGAAGAGGGAAAGGAAGAGACGGTACTTGACCACGTCAAGAGGCTTCTTACCGAGGGCTCCTGGTCGGACATCAAGCACCTGAAGCGGGTCATGAGAGGCCTGCTTGGTGACATGACCTTCCAGGAAGCATACAATCGAACCAGAAAGATCTGCAACATCTCAGTCTCCACCGAATCGATTTACGAACTCCCACGGCTCTTGAATTACATCACTGCGCCCAACGTTATGATCTGGTCAGCGGTGGCTGCTTCATGTTCTGTGCCCTTCATCTTCAGTGGTGCCACGCTCCTTGTCAAGGACCCGCAGACTGGTGAGCACATGCCATGGAACCCGAGCCCTCAGCGATGGGTCGACGGCTCTGTGGACAACGACCTGCCAATGACAAGGCTAGCCGAGATGTTCAACGTCAACCATTTTATCGTCTCACAGGTCAACCCCCATGTGGTCCCGTTCCTGGCCAAGGACGATAGGCTATATTCAGAGCATGACGATTCACGGCCGGAACTATTTGGGACGTCCCATAACTCGAACCTTGCGACCACTCTCACAACACTGGCCAAAGACGAGGTTTTACACCGGCTACAATTCCTGGCCGAGCTAGGAATTTTCCCCACCGCTGTCACCAAGCTCCGAAGTGTCCTGAGCCAGAAGTATTCGGGCGACATCACAATCTTGCCCGAATTCAGTGTACAGGACCTCCCGCGCATTCTCAAGAATCCCTCGGTCGAGTTCATGGAACGAGCTACCCTGGCGGGTGAGCGGGCTACATGGCCGAAGCTCAGTCGCATCAGAGATCGATGCACGGTGGAATTGGCCATCGACCGGTCGATCCAGGTTGTCAGGACAAGGTGCATCTTCAGCCAGAGCCAGGTGAACCTGCGCAGACTTGTCACGGGCGTGGAAAGGCTGGGACTTCAGACGTCCTTTGCTCATGGCCTGCACACTGCTGGCTCAAACGGGGCGGCCACTGCTGGTGCTAACACACAACCATCGCCCTTGTCAGACAAGGCCAAGCTCCGACACCAGCGTCGAGGCTCCGGAAGTAGCATCCCCATGCTTGCGAGGCACCGCAGACATCTGACCGAGATCGAGAACGCAATCACGGATGACGACACTGCAGACGAGGAGCGCTTAGAGCTCGGATTGAGGAGGACCGGGACTGCGTCATCCTTATCCGGGAGGAGGGACAAGCCAAGGCTGAAGAAGTCACTGAAAGGACTGGCAGTCTCGCTGTCTAACCTTGGACCGATGACCAGCCCATTCCCTGTCTATGCCAGCGGGACGGAGAACGAGAGAAGCGAATTCGACTTTTCGAAGCCGCTATCGCCGCCGAAGACGTCCTCTCCTCCGATGGACTCACTGACCCCTCCTCCTCAGCCTCCTTCGCGTCTACTCAGGTCTCCGATCACGTTCTCCCGGTCTTCGCCGCATCTACTGTCGTGGCCCTCGCCTCGTCTAGACATTGGCTCACCCACAACTGGCGATCTCGACACCTCAGACCTGCACACCAGCGATGGGGATGTCGAGTCCACCGCAGCGGATAGCACATCAGACCCCGACCCTTATACTCAATCCTGGCTCCCAGACGAGGATGAGACGCCGCGAAAGGAAGACCGCTCGGCGGATATCGAGATAACTGTGGAGCAGGCCGACACCACTGACGACGGAGTAGGGGGGTTGCCGTTGGCTGCGGCTCTTGCTGACGATGAGAAAGACACGACGGACGACGGAGATGGACTATGGGATTGACTCGTCGAAGGAAGGGTGAGCTTCGAAGGCAGCGATGCCGAGACGACGGGTCGTGGAGCTGTAGATGCCGACAAAACCGGATCACATGTTGCGGATGGTTGGCTGGACCCCGATTTTCGGGAGCCCCGGCAGATGGAAGACGACATTGTGCATATACTGGACGAAGAGATGGGGTGGATGGCATAGTCATTTCACGGCGCAAGTACCCAATATAGGGACACGAGAGGGGCGCAGCATCATGGTTTCGGGAAGCATTGTTGCAGAGGTTTACACAGTCATTGCCCCTTTTCTGAGGGGCATCATGATGGGTTCAAGCACACCCAAGGGCATTATACATTATATATGGCGTTCGACTGCGTAGTCTGGGGCGAGGTTGGCAGAGATTACTGGTATAGAAATGCAAGAAGCGTTATCAGGTCTGCAGGGTGATGCACCTGCAGCGAGCACCAGCCAGCCCACGCATAAGCAGCCCGTCTTATTCCATTGTGATGTAAGGCCTGGCGTTGCACACCCATCTGGCACGCGTCAAAAGCCCACAGCTGACTTTGTCATGTGAGGTCTCCGCGGGCAAGCATGTCTGTCTGGTGGACAAAGGACGTCGGGAAACGCCCCGTTCACGCCCTGTCACGCCCATAGCCGAGCACAGCTGCCTTGCCTCTCCCGGTTCTGCCTAGGGTCGAGCGATCGCGTGCCGTGTCTGAAGCCTGGAGATGAAGCGCGCCAGACACGGTCTAGTGCCCGGCCGACTCCAAAAGGAAGGGCAATGGGCCAAGTACTTTAGTACCTAATTAAAGGCCCGTCGCGGGGCATTCGAACAACGACACCCCCTCGACGCGTGCCGCCATCGCGAACAATCCCAAGGATGCAACCTGGTCGTTGTGTCACCCACGCATTAATTTCCAGCCCGCATCCCCAAGGAAAATAGGTAGGTAGCAACCGCATCCCACGATAATTTATCTGCACACAACAACATCTCGCTAACTCTGTATCTTTCTTGTCCCCCCGTGTCTTGCTCGCAGACAGAATCCGAAACAGAAACGAGGCAAACCATTGTCCCAATCGCTGCAAGTTGGACATTGGACCTGCCGGCAATGCGTATTCAACGCCCTGCACGCGCCACTCCACTTACATGCCGTTCGATTTCGACCGCATAATCGACCACCAGCTCTACCTCGCAACGCAGCAGTGCATCCAACCGCACGTACTACAGCAGAGGCGGGTCAGCAGTGCACCCGTCCCCTCCACTGTTGCTGCTGCTGCCGCCGCCGCTGCGGGAGTCGGTCCTGCCAGAGCAGCTGGTGTGCGCAAGTCGTCCCTGGGCTCGCTCGTCTCGCCATGGAGCCCCTTCAGCGACGGCAGCAGCAATGGCAGCAGTAGTAGTAGCGGAAACCCCAGGGCCCTCGCCGCGTACAGCTACCAGACGAGGCGGCAGCAGGGCTCCTCGCCGATCGACCTCTTCTTCGCAGAGATACCTTTGCTCGGCGGCAGAGGGCATTATGGACGCGGGGTCGAGACCCCTCTGGCTCGGGACGACAGCAGCTCCAGCCTCGATCACTTTGTCACAGCCCCTGTCGGGGATTTCAGCGCAGGCGCCGGTGCTGGTGGTGCTACCGAGCTGCTGCCGCCGCCGCCGCTGCAGCACCGGAACGGTACTGACTCCGGGCCCGGGAGCAGCGACACCGACGACTGGGCTTTTGCGACGGCGAGCGGCGGTAGTGCCGCGGGGACTTGCTCGGGCCTGGACACGACCGTCGACCTGACGCCGTCGCCGCCACCTTCATCATCGTCATTCCACGTGCGCAAAAGGGTTGCCACATACATGACAGCAGCTGCACCAAAACCTTCAGACCGACGAAACCACCCCGCTGGCCCAGCCTCGGCAAGGGTGCCCGCCCCCGCTGAGGTCTCGGTCATAACCCTCCCGGTGCGGGACCTGCAGCGCGCGAAGCGCTTCTACGAACGTGTCTTCGGCACGCCGTGCCTCTCTTCGTCCGGGGACGGCAAGTCTGCGGCTCTCCACCTCAACAACGGCGCGCTTGTCGTTACTTTACTCGAGTCCGAGGAGAAGGGGTGCAGGGGCGGTAATGGCCAAGTGGTCCTGCTCACCGTGTCTGTGGACGACGTCGAGGAGGTATACCGCCGGCTGCGGTGCTTTGAGGAAGAGGCTGAGGGGGCGGATGGTATGGAAGACGTTGCTATCCCGGGGTTTTCGGCGTTGGTGTCTAGGCCTTGGGGGTTGCCGGTTATTATGTTTTCTGACCCTGCCGGAAATAGGTGGCGGGTTTCACAGGAAACGGAGAGCTCATGATGGCACTTCCAGCTTATGTTTTGGCGGGCGTTTTGGTTTTGGGGGGATTCTGGGACTGGGGCTTCGGAGAGATGACTTTCTTAGAAGTGGGTAACCATATTACTGAGGATAAATACAATTACACGCACAATAATAATGAGAACGGAAATTCGCGTACCCTTAATCGGAAGGCGTGTACCCTCTCTACTATTCAACTAATTAAAGTATAAAACCTTAAAGTCTTTATAACTTTAATAAATAAGGCTTCTTTATGATAAGGGATTATAAATAGGGTGGGTTAGTCCTTTAGGAACTTGGGTCGTGCCTATCGGCCCTACTCACGGCCCTCTATTATGCTTCGCGCTCTAGGGCTCGCCCCCTTTACCCTAGCCGACCCTTTTGAGAAGTCGTCTTGTATAGGATACTTCTTAGTTAGTAATAGGTATGTGCCTTCCGATTGAGGGTATGTAAATTTCCGTTCTTATAATAATTACTACTACCTTGATCTGCTGCACCCTTCTTTGCTGTCTGCATCACACAACCGTTCCAGGGGTACCTATTCTTGCTCGGACTGTTCTTACTATCACGGCTATCACGCCAGTGCCTACAGGCGACTATAAAGCATTGGTCGGGGTCTCAGTCAACTGGTGGTTTCGTTCTTAATCCGAACATATCCCCAAGACGCACGGTCCCTTTACACACAGTCAAAAACGCTGAAAGACCCAGCGTTTACATGGTTCGCTATATTGGGAATGTGTGTGCCTATTCGAACGACTCTTATTGTTAATTCTGACTTCGGAGCAGGTGGGTTTGGTCGAAGGGAAAGCTTGACTTGTGTAGTCCAACCCTCCATTCCCCTCTCTCTGCCAGCCATGGCGTTCTTCGACTTGGAATTCCCTGACAGAGAACATCAATCGATCTCCGGTTGAGAATCCATCATTTCTATGCGTCCCAGGTGAAAACTTTGCCAAGGTCAGGAAAAAGGATTCACTTGTTCTAACTAATGAGCGTCCATAGGCTCGGCGGTAGATATAAACTTGAATATTATGGCTCCTTTCGAATCGTCAAAAGGAGCGACAGCGTGAATCATCCCACTACTCCGCTTACGAACGGAAATGACAGATACTAGTATTGCACTGGCAAGAGCAAGTACAGAATCCAAAACATGCTTATGCTATGTAATCTAGGTACTTTTCTTAAGACACCCTCCCAACGGGATGAGACATGCTCAAGCAGCGCACATGAGTCCGATGGTTCTGTTTAAGTGCTGAAGCACTGGCCACCGTTGGCGGAGACAACACTACCGGTCATCCAGCCTGACTCGGGGTTGCAGACGACGGCGACGACGCCGGCGATCTCCTCGACGTAGGCGGGCCTGCCTCCCCACCTCTTGGCGACTGCCTTGACCTCCTCCGTGTCCCACTCGCGGGCACCGGACAGCGGGATGATAGGGCTCCAGAGCGCCTGGGCGGCGAGGACGTCCTCGCTGCAGTTGCGGAACATGTCGGTGAGCACGGAACCCGGGTTGATGGTGTTGACGGTGCACTGCTCCGCGAGCTCGCGGGCCCACGTCCTGGTCATGGCCTCGAGAGCGCCCTTGGTGCCGTTGTACAAGGTCAGGTAGGGCAGGCCGCACTTCTGGCCGATGCTGGAGATGTTGACAATACGACCTATCGGCAATGGTCAGCCACGTGTCAGGAGGCCCACATGCGTAGATCCCTAGTCCCGAGAAGGATCTCCTGGCCTGGGTGAAATGCAGCGAATAATAAAAAGCATGGGGGTGGTTTCTCGCTATGATCGTGTACGTACCGGAGCGGTCAGTAGGGAGGTAGGGCTTGGCCTGGCCGACGAGCAGGATCGGACCCAGGACATTAGTTGCATAAGTCTTATGGAACTCCTCCGGAGTCACGCCCTCGACGGGGCCGGCGGGCATGACAGCCGCCGAGTTGATGATGATATCAATCTGCAGCTTGCCCGTCTTGGGGTTGTTCGGGAATTTCTCCTTGCACGTGTCGATGACGGCCCGGGCACCCTCCGGGGTGCTGATGTCGGCCCGGCACGGAACAGCAATCACATTGTGCTTCGAGCTCAGCTCCTGTGCGAGCTCAGCCGCCGGCTTGTCAGACGCCTCGGTCAGGTAGCCGATCAGGACATTGGCACCCTTCTGCGCCAGGTTCGTGGCGATGGCGGCACCGATACCTGCATCCCCTTTCCGTCAGTCCGCTGCAGATAGGGCGCTTTTCTTTTCGGAGAGTTGGACCATCACGTACTTCGTGCGGCACCGGTGACAATGGCAAGCTTGCCTTCGTGGATTCTAGGAGCTGCCATATTCGTCAGAGTTGTGTATCTACCCCCGGTCTGTCAGAGTCAAAATAAGGATTAGAGAAGTCTGATTACTTGAAGGACGACGGAATTGGGAGCAATGCGGGATGCCGGAAAATTCTCAGGCCCTTGCTTGAGGCTCGCAACACGCGAGGGTCCGCAACGCGGTGGTTCCCCGGTGTTGACATTTGCGGGCCGCATGGAGCAGAGTTGCCTGGTTTGCATGGGTTCCGAACTCGAGAGTGGAGGTTAATTCCCTACGCGGCCGGAGGGAACTGGTTGGGCAGTGGGGAAGAAATTTACACCTGTTTTGTGTCCCAAAGGGCGGGCATAATAGACCCAACCACCGCCAGAGAGATGCGGAGTTAGCAAATGCTTCACAGCACAATATATCTGCGGAACAAGAATACAGTAGCTGATTTTGAGGCATGTCTATCTAATTGGGCACCGGCGGGTCAAGCTTTTACGCAAAGATGGGAAGCCACCTGTGCGGACGGATCGACCGGCTTCTTGCAGATCTGCCGTCCACCTTCGAAATAGACCCGCTTTGTGTCGCTGAAAAACAATGCTATAATATTCTCGGCAGTATGGGAAGAAAGTTGGTGGTCTGGTTTGTCATCCTCAATTTCACAGTACTCTATCAACGTCAGGCCGGGACAAACCCAGCTCGGCTGGCCCACATTCCGGGATCGAATTCCGACTAGATTCGTGAGACAAGCCCCCTTTTAGTCTTGCAGAATAAGGCAGACCAGAACCAGTTTCATCTCCAGGCTTTCAGGACGGTAGAAACGGTCTCAGCCTTCGGTATGGTATGTGTGGGAGTGGGTTAAAGTATTGTAAACTCTTGCAGGTCGACATTGAGCATTTATTTGTCTTTATGGTCGAGGACTAATCCTCAATTCGGTCATCTTCTAACGCAGTTGCACTCCTATCGAACTTTCGCGTGGAGAGCACGGCATTTCGCTTACGAGGCGAAGGTCAGGATAAGCATTGCATGATGCTCCACAGAAGCTTCAGCAAAACTGTTCTATCTGTTACCTAATATTTGCACCATTTGTGGGCAACAACCTCGGGAGCCACTACTATGTGGGAGTTTGGCCTTGCATGAAGCCGCCTTTTCCCACTTTTACTTGACGCCAAACCAAGGCTCAACTTGACATGTCAAAAATAAAGTAAATTTCCCAGTTTCTTGAGATTTGAAGCCTGCAAGACTCGGACCACCATGGAGTATGCTTGGCATGGCAGCAGGGAACAGCGTCCTTTCGACCCCTCTGAGCGGTTTGGGCGAGGTCTCTCACCACCAATCATTACCCACAATGAGAGCTCAGTAACTGTCAAACAACGAATATCCTCGCGTTTCAAGGCTCTTGCAATCCCTGAATTTCCTGTCTCGGCAGCAGATCGCCTTGTCGGCTCGGAGGAGTGCCCGCAACGAGATCCTTGGGCCCCAACGGATGTCTCGCCTCGAAAGAAAAAGCCCACCTCGACGATGAAGTCGGAGGCTTTTCATTGACCCTCGCCTGACAGGTCACCTAATTCCTTGCTACGGGATTGGCCGTCTTAGCTCAGGGGCAGATACTCCCCATTACACAGTGACGACTTGGGCTCGACAAGAAGAGCATAGCGATGTACGCAGGCCCTCGGGTACCCTAGAATTCTCCTCCCCGCCGCAGTCGATGGTCAAAGACCGTCTCTTTGCATCATTGACTGTGCTCCCAACTCAGCCTCGCCTCTGCATGCTCACCATTTTGCAATAATCACGATGGTCGAGGACGATGCAAGAACAGTAGCGCTCAGCGGCCTAAGTCTTGCCATTTTTGTCGTTTCTCTTGTCTGCCTTGGCCTGTCCCTTCTTTCCGTTGGCCTGCGAACATATATCAGAGTCTTCGACAATGTCTTCGGCTTGGACGATGGACTGATACTTGCTGGCGTAGTAAGGCTACATCATTTCCCTGAGATCTTCGGCATGCCACATGACTGACCGATCGCCTCGCCTACTTAGATTATTTACACTGTCGATGTTTCGCTCGCATGCTATGGCACCACTGTGGGGCTCGGTACGAGAGACGAAGACCTGAATATGTGGTTATCGGTGGAGGGAAAGAAATATCTGATGCTGTGGATGATGGTGTATGTGATTGGTCTGGCGACGATAAAAAGTTCGATCTGTGTCACGCTATTTCGTGTGGCCGCCGCGAACAAGGCGTTCAAGATCGCCATCTACGTTCTCCTGGCCTTGACCATTGCTACATTTATTGTCACCATTGTGGGCATACTTCTACTTTGCAAGCCAGTCTCAGCAAACTGGGACGGGCAAGGAAAATGCGCAGGCATGGGCTCGATGGTAGCGCTTTCCTATACCTCGACGGCCGCCACCATCGTTACCGACCTGTCACTCGCTATCCTCCCAGGTATCATGGTAATGGGAACCCCAATGAAACTGATTCAAAAGCTGTCGGTGGTTGGTCTATTATCATTCGGATCAGTGTAAGCTATCGAGTTCCTGGACTTGGGCCTCAACGGCCGACCCCCCCGGGCCAGATTCGCAGCTCACTAACAATATAAAACACAGGGCCTCTCTGACCACTATGGCGAGAGCACCATTCATTCAACACTATTGGACACCGCTCGACAACTTGAACTGTAAGTTATCAGTACCAAGTACAATTTATGACCGGCACGAATCAGTTTTAACGCTGCTACCAGACTGGACAGGTTTCATTGTCCTCCTCTCGAATTGTGAAAGTGCTATCGGCCTCATTGCTTCGAGCATCCCTTCGATCAATAAGTTCATTTACCGGAAAACAAAACTTGCTCATAAACCCCCACAGGGAATCAAGCCTGTCCGAAAATCACTGGTCACCTTCGGGAGCGCACCAGTTCGACCCAAGGGATCCGGTAAGAGGTTCCTGAATCCGACAGATCAGGGGACGAGTTTCGCAAGCGTCCATACGGGCGACTGGGCCCGGCTTCAAGATCAGGAGTCGGATACCTCCAGAGACGAGATTAGTGGAATACGTGCTGAGTACACGTACCAAGTGGAATTGTCGAAAATCGACACGAAGACACGAAGTGAAAATCGATACGAAGTGAGAGAATGAACTCGAATCAGCACCTCCTTTCCTGTCCAGCGGTATAGAGGCTGCATATCTTCATTAAATTGTTCGAATATTGTTCAGCCGATACATAGATCCAAACATCATATCATTCAGGCGAACGTGGCCGCCTCGGAGATTGCTGGCATGGGTTGCTTGCCCCGGGAGATGTCGCAGAGGAAGCTACGGCACAGGCTCGGTACTTCAGTACCCAGTCAGAAAGCATCATGAAACACCTCGGTGATCTTCTGTGGTTGAGCATTTGCAAAATTGGCCCCCTTACTTCGTTGTCAGGTCTAGGAATGCAAACTCAACGTCATTTTGCCAAGACAGGACTTGACTGGCGCATTTCGGCACAGCCCTACTCCTTAGGGATGAAGGATCGACGTCGTTGGGCTACTGATTGGCCAATTACAAGCTTGATGTTCAAACTTAGCAAAGTTTGGTGTTTCGGGGTGGTCTGTGCAAGAAGTACACTTTCCATACTGAGCGCTGCCAACGATACAAAGGTGCTTCCTTCGGCACTGTGTGGTTTTCCCTCCACTGAAACATGACAGGGATGTTCTACACTTTATTAGGCGGCCATGGTACAATGGGAAAAGGCCCAGAACGTGTTCTTGCTGACGACTCGACAGCTGCTTGCTCTTTCCAAATCCATCGAGTCCGGACAATCCGGACTTTGCCTGTCGCTCACATGTCAACATCAAAGCCATCACCGACATCATGGTTTTGCTACCCCGAAAGTCCGTGATCCTGCTCCTCGTGGTCGTACTCTGCGTAAGCTTGTTATACGAGCTCGAGAGTCTCACGGGAGCCGGGCACTCTGTCCTCCAGATACTGCCTTCTCTCCGAGGGGCCAGTGGCCAGGGACAATCCCCCAAAGAGGTCGGGCATGATGACCTCTTCAAAATCCCACTTGTGAACGAGGAATCCATCAAGTCTGTTTGCAGAACAACGCAGTGGAATGAGAGCTTGGTGTTCACCTGCAATGAGTCGTTCGGTGGCATCGGGAATATCCGCAACTCACTCCTGCTGTGTGTACGGTTTGCTATGCAGGCTGGAGCAGCTTTGGTGCTCCCTCAAATCCTGATACGGGACGCCGACATCACAAACTACAAGACACAAAATGCCACAGACTTTGGCTACATGTTCGACACACAACACTTCCTCAAGTCGATGCAGCAGTCCTGCCCGGAGATGACCATCTATGCAACCCTTGAGGATGCCACAAAGAATTCCAATCTCGCTGGTGATACAAATCGGGTGCGCTTCCAAGCAGAGGCTCTGACTGGCGATGGGCTCATCAAGACCGACAAATGGCGCGAAGAGTTCTATTCTTGGTTAGAGGAAGAAGAGGTCGGCCCGGTAACAGGAAAGACAGGGCCAATAGTCATTGACCTCGAGCGCTGTTATATGTCTTGGCCCATTTACTCAGACGGAGAAGCATTCGCGTCGTCATTCGGCTCGATCTTGCAGCTGCGAGAGGACGTCAGGTTACTGGCTGGTAAAGTACTGAGGGCCTTGGCCGAGAAGCTATCGTTCACTGATGTCGAACTCAAGAGCGATATCTTGCCTGGCTCCTATTTTGGTGCGCACCTGAGAGTCGAGCATGACGCACAGGTCACTTGGAGTCCCAAATTCGGGTGGACACATGCCTCCTATGAGAAGCAGGCAAAAGACTACCTGGCGCAAGCCTTACAGCCCCTCAGATCGAGCCCAAAAGGTATTTACGTGGCCTCGGGGGATGTCGAGGGAACACGACGGTTTGCCAAAGACGCTGCCCGGAATAACCTTACAGCCCTCAGTAAATTCGACTTGCTGCAAGGCACCGCGGACTTGGAGACCCTGGAGGCGCTCAGGTGGGACCAACAAGCGCTCATCGACTATCTGATCCTACTGAGATCGTCAGACTTCGCCGGCGTTGCGCACTCGAGCTTCTCATGGAGCGTTGCTCTCAAGCGTCACACCTGGACAAGGAAAGAGGGTAAATATTTGGACGCCCCGGAGAAGCTACATGATGATCTGAGTGTCGTGTATGGGGTTGTGGGCACCGAAAACTTCCCGGAAGCCTTGTGGCCTTAGCAGCCACGTGACTGGCAAATATATTGAGACAAGTTCATCGCGAGATGCAGTGGCTCCTGAGTATAAAATAGATACTATAGATTTTTAATTGAATTTACGCATACAGATCGGAACCGAATTCTGGAGGTAAGACTTTCAGATTGGTATCCTATTGACTCAATCTTCTCAACTTGTATGCCTAGCTTCTGCCAGCATCTTGATGTCTTTGACTTCAGCATCTGGCGGACGGGGACGACCGTAAAGGTGGCTTTGTTTCTAATCCCCATACATACAGAACGGATGTGGCGCCCTCATACAGCGGTAACTACGCAAGACCTGGCGTTTAAAAAAGCACAATGCTAATAATGGTGCAGAGAGAATACAATGCGTGGGCACGTCCACGGGTGGCCTTAGCCTCGTGCCGCAACTGTATAGGTACTCCGTGGCAGTGGGCAGCGATCACCAGGGGTTATTTGGCAACGTATACAGAGCAAACTGTGTAGTCTTAGGGGCGTTCCTTGTGTCAACTACTACTGATGCAGCAAGGAAGTTCTGTGATGACTTTCAGACTTATGCCTCGCTTGCAACTGGCGTTCGGGCTGGCGGGCTCTAGGATGGGGGCAGCTTTTACAGTATGTTCTGCGGGTTCCGCATCCATAGAAGTTATCACCGACTGACGGAGCCTCTCTCGCTAATCCGGAAGTCGGTGATCTGGGGCAGAGTAGCAGAGTCTCCCTAACAGATACCCGGGCCTGCCAACTCTCCGGTTGAGGAGTTCCACACCCAGGGCTGCTAGGTTTAAATGGGCTTAAGCCATGCCTCTGGCTTACAAGGCGTCATCCAATCCTTGTGAAGACGTTATCCTAATCTGCCAAATGCGATGCTAAAGCACTAGACGCGAAGGCAGCGGCCGATTTCTGCCACTAATAAGTGGTTCATCACTGTTGATGAGCTCGACAGCTGCACGAGTGATTTCGATCCCGGATGGCGCAATCGATGTTCTGAACGCCTCGGCGAGATCCCCGCCCGTTCCGTGATGAACGATATCCACCTGCCCACAATCTGGACTTGAATCGCCCGAAAAAGAATGACGGGTTTTCACCAATAGGGCGCGGGTTTGGTGTATCTATACATCATGTACCTGCCGAGACAACCGAGTCCCTGGCATCGGGTCGAGGCCTGCAATGAAATACGGCCCGTGGCTCGGATGTCACATCGCTCTCAAGTTCAGCAGAATTCCTTACCGTGATTTTGAGCTCTTTTTAACTATCATGTGTCTTTTCGAATTTCCTTCGACACAAATCAATTGGTATTTTCCTGTCAGCTCAGACAGGTTAGCTAGCCATGACATACAACGAGGGTCAGGCAAGCCCCTTAGTTTCCAGCCCACTTTCAGAGCGGACGTCATTGTTAAAACATACAAATTTGAAACCTACATACGGGGCCGACACCTCCCGTGCAGACAGCGATCATGGAGGCTCCGAGCGCAGTTCCCCATCATCTCAAGATGGGGATGAAGAGGCTTCCATTGACTCAATCGCCACATGCACGCCCACTGAAGTGGATGGCCTTCAAGCGCATGAACCTCTGAGCTCCAAGGCAATTCTTTGGGCCGTCCTTCCTATGCTGCTTGGTTTGTCTCACTCTTGCTCTTCCTGGCCCAAAAGAATATTGGAATTTAAATTGATCCGTATTCGACACAGCTGTCTTTATCGCCAATGCAGATGGGTCCATCGTGATGGCCACACACGCCGTCATCGCCTCCGAATTTATGTAAGCATCACTTTTCACCTCTAGTGGATCACCCTGTGTCTTTCAATGGGATGTCTTGGAAAGCTCTAGAATGCAACATTTCGGGGCCCGTAGCAGGATTGACATTACCATTAGGGCCCTCGAGTCCTCAAGCTGGCTGTACACCGGTTTCATGCTATCGTCCACGGCAACACAGACAACATTCGGTCAGCTCAGCGAGATCTTTGGGAGGAAAGCGATCATAATCCTCTGTTATGCGGTATTTGGCCTTGGCTGTTTCATCGTGGGAGCTGCACAGTCCATGACCACCGCGATCGCTGGGAGAGTCCTCTCCGGTGCCGTCAGCGCAGGGTCCAACGTACTCGTGTCTTTGGTCGTCACGGACCTTCTTCCGGTGCGAGAAGTCGCGACCTGGAGGTCGTATATCAATGTGGTTGCCGTCAGTGGCCGCTGTATGGGTGGGCCGCTCGGAGGCTGGCTGGCAGACATGATAGGTTGGAGGATGTGAGTAGAATCTGCTTCATTTGTTCTGACCGGTGCAGCTGATAAGTGTCAGGTCTTTCGTTGGCCAAGCCCCGATATTCGCCATTTCCATATTACTCTGCTGGGTTTCTCTGCCAAGCACCAGCTCAAAGTCTTTGGCAACAAAAGACCCGACATCCAGCACACACGAGTCTAAGCTCGGAAAGCTTCGTCAAGTGGATTTTCTTGGCTCCGTGCTTTTGGCATTTTTCCTGATACTTATCTTGCTGCCTCTTGAAATTGGAGGGAACAAGATTCCTTGGACAGACGCTCGAATACCGATCCTTTTCGGCGCTGGAGTGTTGTGCCTCGTGGTGTTTGTCGCGGTGGAGAAGTGGTGGGCAATCAACCCCCTTTTACCACTCAACCTATTTTGCAGTCGGCACACTGTTGCATCCTTCCTCGTTCTGGCTCTCCAATGTGCTGCCCAGCTGGGAGTAAGTTGCATGATGAAGAAAACCACCCTGCCACCCAGCTGATCCCGATGAAACAGATGATGTTTTCCGTCCCTCTGTACTTTCAAGTCACGCAAAGGATGTCTAATACTGCAGCTGGAGCTCACCTGATGCCAGCAGTTATTGGAAACGCCATCGGAGGTATCATATCCGGCTATTTTATTCGGAAGTGAGCATGTAATCTGGTCCTGACGTTGATATATCTTGTGTTGACAAGGACTCCTTAGCACGGGCAAATACAAATGGCTCATCTATCTTGCCACTTTGATGTCTGCCAGCGCTTATGCCCTACTACTCTTACGCTGGCACGGTGAGACCAACTGGCTGGAGAGTCTTTACATCTTCCCGGGGTGGGTTCCAATTTCTGCTTACCACCAAATGCGTTGTCGTGTCGCAGATTCTGACCTCTTTACTATCTTAGCGGCTTCGGTACCGGCGTTGCACTTTCCGCCCTCTTTATCGCCGTCCAAGCTTCCGTGAGCAAGCAACAGGTTGCTCCCGCTATATCGGCTCTATATCTTGCTTCCGGGTTCGGAACAGTCGTCGGTCTTGCCGCTGTGAGCGCGACTTTTCAGGCAGGCTTGAGGAGCACCCTCGAGGCCCGCCTGGTGAACTTGCACCTTAATGAGGAGTTACGAAGTGAGGCATGTTGTTCTCCGAGCCGTCGATCTTGGTAAACTTGGCGCCTAACCGTATTCTAGATCCTTGAGAAGGCGCTGGCCAGCGTTGAATACATTTATAAAACAAATGGGGACGTTGCCAATGCGATTACGGAGTCTTATATTGATGGGCTTTGGTATAGCCACATCGTATCTCTTGGCGCTTCGCTTCTGGCGTTCATGTCGACACCTTTACTGAGAGAATATAAGCTATGACGCTGGTACATGTCAGATTTGCAACATAGACTCGAGCTAGACCCCGGAATGTATTCTCTGGTCCATATGATCAGTTCCCACCACATCGAAGAGGAACTGTGAAAGATCTGGACACGGTGTTAGCTGCACGTTGCTGGCGTGTCCGAGACAAACACAGCCGTCTTCAAACCTCATGGCTTGAAGCGGATTGCTCGTCTGGAATATATAACAGCAGCAACTCGAGTTGTCGGGCTGACAGCTGGGAGTCAGCCTGCAAATTGTAGGGGGTGCTGGATTTATACGGGGTGTGGTCTATTGAATCCATATTTAGCGCGTTGTAGAGCACACTGCCCCCTAAGTCTCTACTGTCACCTGGGGACCCCACTGCACTCGGAACACGCGGCCTTGGGTTCTTTGCTGCAAGCGGAATTGCACCTGTAAGTATTTGGTCAACTGGTACCTAATAAGTACTTAGGTAGGTACTTAGTACTTGAGTACTGTCCAGCCCATTCCGCCCCATTGACTCGAACCCCTCTTAAAAAACCGCAGAAGCTTTGGACCCTGCACACTTGCAGGTCCGCGGCTTAAAACCTTGGCCCGGGGTCATTTCCCCTTGCGTATTAAGCTTCCCAGGGATCGATCGTCTTCTGTCTCAACCCGCCGCGCTGGTACCGCCCACAATGTCCATCGCAGGGGACACGAGGAGGGCGCTTGGGCCTCTCAGGTGCCTCATCGCAGTCATCGCCATCCTTGCCTTCCTCACGCCCACGGCCCAGTGCCAGCAGGGCGGCCCTACGCAGCAGCCCGTCGTGCAGGTGCCCAACACGGGAGCCCAGAGCACCGGCATCCCAATCACACAGAAGCCCACCGCGCCCGAGCCCGTCGAGTCCAGCGGCCCCAAGCGCCACCCAGACCTCCCCGTGCTGGGCTACGTGACCCCCTGGAACTCGCGCGGCAAGCAGCTGGTCGAGGACTACCGCGACAAGTTTGATCTCGTCTCCCCAGTCTGGTATACCGTTCACGCCGACGAGGCCAACGTTAACGACGTTTATGTCGTCAGAGGCGGCCCGCCCGCCGAGGAGGACGAGGCCTGGTACCAGAGGCTGCAGAAGCCCACTGCCTCGTCCGACGCCGCGCTGAAGCCCCTCCAGGTTGTTCCGCGCTTCATTCTGGATGGCTGGGATCAGGAGGATTTCCAGAATCTTCTCTTCAACGAGACGAGGTGGGCGCTACTCTCTGCCGCAATCATGGACGTCGTAGTCGAGAGATCCTTCGACGGTGTAGTCTTTGAGTCTGGCGCATCCTACGCTCTTGGGGCGCCTCTCACAAAACTCTCGGAGCTGTTGCACGCCAAAGACAAGTTACTGGTACTTGTCATGCCGCCCGTGCGGGCTCCTGGCGATGGCATGACTGACAGTAAGCAAACACTCTGCATTCTCTCCATTCTCCGTGTTCTATGTGGTAGTTGTGAAACGCAGAATTGTGCACCTGACTTGAAGTACCAGTCATCCTCCAACCCATGGCTGGGCTTTCGCATTACGTCGATTATTTCAGCATCATGACCTATGACATGACCGGTCCCGGTGGCCGAGAGCTCCACGATGGTGCTGCCTTCCCAGAGGGCAGCTCGATCAGACAGGCCATAGCAAAAGGGCAGGCTCGTGAGCCCGGCCCCAACACGAGCGCCGGCTGGGTCAGGGACAACCTCGTCGCGTTCGTTGAGGCGTCTGCAGCCGGCGCAATGGACCCATCCCAGTCACCCGCAGAGTCCCGGTGGGCGTCTCGGAAGTTCCTCATGGGGACGCCCCTCTACGGGTACAAGTACCCTGTTCTCTTTGTTGACAAGAACACTGGCGATCTTGTGAAGCCGGGGTCCCGACCCAAGAACAACGACGCAGTCGCGCCCGTCTTGAGAGGCGCTGGAGAACCCATCATCATGTCTGCAATCTTGGACATGATCAAAGAGAAAAGGGCAAAGGTGCTGAAGTCGGAAGAGCACGGGGAATACTTTTTTGACTACGAGCAGAGGCCGGGAACAGGGGCTTGGAGGGTGTTCCTGCCCACAAGCGAGAGCATTTCCAAAGTCTTTGACACGATTCAGGATGTCGTTGACGATGATTTCGAGTATGCCTTTGGAGGTGCAGGTGTCGCACTCTGGGAAGTTGGCCAGAGCTCGACGGGCCTTCTGGCTTCTATCTGAGGCGTGCCATGGTGACCGGGGAATCCGAACGATTCGGAGAAGATATTACACCATCATGGAAACAGCGGCGGAAGTGTCCCATGGGGTTCCGGTAGGAGTGAAAGCTGCGCAGGCACGAAAGGCCATCCACTGGAAAGCTTTACTCGACGGAGATATTTGGACACTCTTGATGAGTAGCTCATGGAGGATATGCCTGGAGGTTGCGAAGTAGCGCCGCAATGCCGAGCGCGAGGTCATCGTTCAGTCTCGCAGTTATGCTATAAATCATAGAGCGGAAAAAAGTCTCACGACTCATCCAATTCATAGTCTTTCTGATCTCCCCCGACGCCCCAAATACTCTTGGTGGAGAGACTTATCAGCTCTCCTGATCCCGCGGCCAAATGCGGGCCGAGATGCCAGCCACACCATTGCGATGGGAGCTCCACGGGAGAACCAAACACCGAGCGGCGTGGGCGTGTCCAAATGATAAAAGCAGCAGAATGTGCGTGGAATTATCTACTCGAGAAATGTATCCGTAGAAAATATAGCAACAATCGCCGGCTGCAATGTCTCACCCAGTCCGCAGCGCAGCACCCTCGTCGTCCGGGTCCACGGACCCGCACACCTTCGTCAACCCCGTACTCCGCGGCTTCAACCCGGACCCGACCATTTGCGTTGTCCCGGCCAGCGGTGACACGCCCGCCACATATTTCCTGAGCACCTCTACGTTCGAATTTTTTCCGGGCTGTGCCATATACTCGTCGACAGACCTTCTGAACTGGAAGCTCATCGGCCACGCTCTGAACAGGAGGAGCCAGATCGAGCTGCGGACCGTGGAGCCCGGCGCCGGCAGCTGGGCCAGCACGCTGCGCTACCGTGCTGACGAGAAGCGATGGTATCTTGCTAATTGCCTGTTTCAGAGGTACAGGCCTGCGACCGATGTATGTCGTAGTCATTCTAGCCTTTGGGGTTGCTCTTGTCTTGGCTGCTAGGAGATGATTGCTCACTTGTGATTCCTCTTGTTTAGGAGCGTATCTTCCCTCGGGGGTTTTACGTGTTCACCGACAACATTTGGGACGACAACGCCTGGTCTGATCCGGTCTACTTCGACAATCCTGGCTTCGATCAAGACGTAGGTGATCCCTCTCTATACTGAGACTACCAGATCTTACTTTATCCTTCACATCTCCTTCTCCAACATGATACTTGCGCTCACTTCAATCCTATAGTTGTTCTGGGACGACGACGGCAAGGTATACCTCTCAACAACCACGAGGCTCTCTGACCGCGCACCAGGTTCCAAGCAAAAAGACTTCGCCATTCACATCAGCCAGATCGATCTCCCCACGGGGCAGACCCTGACGGCGCCGGTCGTGATCCGCAAGTCCCCACACGGGATCGCTGAGGGTTCCCACATCCTGAAGCGCAACGGGTTCTACTACCTCTTTACCGCCGAGGGCGGCACCGAGGCTGGCCACCAAGAGTGGGTGTTCCGCAGTCGTGAAGGTGTGCTCGGCCCATGGGAGAGCCAGCATAAGCCGTTATGGTACAACGGCCCAGACGAGAAAGTCCAGAGGACCGGACATGCGGACGTCTTTGAGGATGGCTCTGGCGGCTGGTGGGCAGTCCTACTCGGCGTGAGGCCCATTAGGGATGAGGGGACGGGAAAGTGGCTGGAGCCCCAATTGGGTGAGTATCGAGTTGCTCGTGTTTATCTTCTTTCCTTCAGAACGTGCCAGAGCCTCCGGTATATGTGAAAATGACTAATATGCTGTGTTCTCCAGGCCGAGAAACATTCCTGGTGAAGGTCGACTGGGTTGATGACTGGCCAGTCTTCAACGAGGGTAAGAACATCACTCTCTTGACCAAGGGGCGAGGCTCCTTGGCCAAGCCAGCGGAACCAGGCGACGCGTCAACGGAGTGGCAGGCAGATCTCAGCAGACCCAGCCTTGAACTTGGCTGGTATCAGAAGAGTGAGTGTCGCCCATCAGACCCAATTACGGTTCCATGCCAGCCGCTCGAGCTGACAATCGCTTTCACAGACACGCCGCTGAAGCTTTCATACTCGCTCAGCGATAGGCCTGGCTATCTGAGGCTATGGGGCAACTGTTATGACCTTTCGAGCCCAGAGGCGCCATCCATGCTACTGAGAAAGCAGACATCTTATTGGCAAACATTTGAAGCCACCATGGAGTTCGCTTCCCAACAGGTGGGCTCCGAAGCTGGTCTTGTGTTATGGTGGAGCCAGTTCTCATACGCCACCATCGGTATCAGGATCGGCGGGATCCTCAGCAACTCCAAGGTGCCGCATGTTGTATCGCGAACCCCAAAGGGAAAACCTGGTAAATCCACTGTGAGACTTACTCGGCAGAAATTGTGGAAAAGGGGCGGGCAGTGAAGCTGATATGTTCCTAACACAGACTACATCGTCGGATATTTCGCCGAACGTGGCAGGAATATCAAAAACGACAGTTTCTGTGAAGCTCAGTCTCGCCTGCGAAGGCAGCCAGTACAGATTGAGTTTCGACCAAGGGCCAGGGGGGGCCCAAATCAGTGTGTCCTGCTCTGCACAGGATCTGACAATCATGCCGCCAGTTGGCGGATGTTTCACGGGTGTTATGTTTGGGGTATATTCATTTGGTCGAGGGGAACCAGTGCTGGATCCAGCAGACTTCGGCAATATCCAGGTGTCGACCAAGACAGCTTGATGCCTCGCCCTGGAGGTGGTTAATCGTGGCGCCTACTACTTGGATGGACCCGAACCATTCCGTCTCACACAAATGGCTCCGGCCCCTAAAGGATAAAGCATTCTGGAACGGTCGACTATGTTGATGTCCTCTTCCTTGTACATCATCTAGGCGAGTGGTGTGCGTCCTATCTCATGTGATGGAGCTTTGCTCGGGTACCTGCGTAGGGCCCTAGGCCGTGGCATCTTTTCCCACCCGGCCCCCAATAGAAACGCCTGCTATATCGCAGCCTTCTAGCCTCTTGTAGACAAGTTTGCTGTAAGACGACTTCCAACTTGCAGAGGATAACCCCTTAGAAGCTGGACTTGGATAAAACAATGTTGGGAATGTCCTTGTAGGGGAGTCTCCCGATGACAAGCTTACGGTATAGCTTCGCACGAACCAAGAGGTACTAGGCAAGTCACAGAGGCTCATTATGTATACAATTTTCTTTTAGGGACGCGGTGGTCTTGTGGTAAAAGTGCATGCTATGTGCAGAGGGCCTACAATCCTTGATTGGAGACGGGGAAAGCACTTGAGCGGCATGAAGACGGACAGGCTGACCCAGTCCGTGACGAGACTTGAGTGAATACCAACAGTGCCCAGCTTTTTACGTATACTTAAATCACAAATGCTGGTCCGACTTTTTAAAGCACGTGGCACTCAGGCTGTGGTGAAAGACTCGGCCTCGTTTTCATTTGCCCGTGATATTGAGTCTACATACCTAGGTGTGTAAGACGCCGGGTATTAGAGCAAAACAAGTGGTCTCGATCGCCTATTACTGCACCATCTGGCGTGACACTCGGCTATCAGGCAAGCCACAGACATGCCATGCAGCCGGGGCTGGGCAGGTTCCGGCCCGACAGCCCAGCCCCAGCGACAGTGATGCAGGCAGGCATCCGCTAGAGTGTGCATGGTCTAGAGCACATGTAGGGCTGGCTTACTTAGACGAACGAAGACATCCAGCTTGAGTGCTCGCCTAGGTACTTGAGAGTAAGTACTTAAGTAATTTCCACATGTGTGCACATGTGGACGGAAGGGCAGATCTGACAGTATTGTGTATTTGACGTTGTGGTCGGGCAGGAGGGATATCCGCACAGGAAGAGGAGGCCGACGGATGTTGTGTCGGGTTACCTGATACAGTAACCCGTGTAGCGATCCGACCTCCCCCAGACCAAGCAGCTCCAGATCCCCACCGCGGCGCCTTCTCCTACCCTGCTACCCCACATTCGAGGTCGACGACAGTCCAGTACTGACCCCGCCGCGCATGGAAATGCCAACAAGGGCGGGAGAGGGCCGGGTAAACCTCGACTCTTCGGACGTGGGAAGCAATCCTCGTGCCGAAATAACCTGGTGCTATAGCTCCCCGCCCCCTCCAGGGAGCAACTGGCAGGTCAGCTGTCCTCGAGGCCCCCAGGGCCCCAAGGACTACTGGCCGATGTTGCATTGCAGCGAAACTCAATGCCGGGTGGGCCTATGGGCTCTTTCTAGGGTCTGGAGTCTGGACTACGCTTCCAAGGTCGACTGTCGTCTCGTCTCTTGCCCCGCCAATGCCCACAACGGCAGGCCGAAGCAGGCCAGTATGGTAGTGGGGGGGGGGGGGAGAGAGACAGAGAAGGGGGAGGGGGGACGTTGGGGCTAGACTGGGGACCTCTGTGACACTAGCATACCAGCAGGCACACGGCAGCAACCGAAGGCGAGGCGAGTACGTCTAGGACGAGCTACGCCCTCCTTGGCCCGGCTCCTTGGGCGGGAGAGGACTAAAATGGACCACCTCTGGGCCATACAAGGCCAATCTCTCGCAAAGGGGATCCCGTGCGGATACAAAGGCTTGAGATACCCCGAGAGAACCTCTGCCGATGACTCGGAAGTCGCAACAGCCCTTGGCAACTAACCCGTCACCGTGCCTTCCTTCTGGGTGCGAATCACTTCAAGTTCCCACAAACGGTTCCCACACAGGAAGGAGCACGCGCAACACCCACACCAGTCAGTCCTTTCTAAGCCCGGCTTTATAAAAGGCCAACAACACCCAAATATCTTGCAGCCAGAGTGTCCCCCTCACATAATCTCACATAATCTCACATTCACACCATCACGACACACACAAAACACGGCAACATGTCTGCAGCATTCAGTAGTCTGAACCCCAGGCTCGCCGCCACAAGACTCCTTCCCAGACTGCCCTTGGCTCGTCGAGCACTGGTGAGCGGCCCGAGCAGCTTCAAGAACTCGGTGGGCAGCGCACGCGGCCCTTCCCAGCCCAGACAGCTCCACGCCACAGCACGCCGGAACAATGGGCTCACATTCGAGAACACCGGCCGGCTGCCCGAGTTCAGCCTGAGAGACAAGGTCATCATCGTCACCGGGGCAGGCCGTGGGCTGGGACTTGTCCAGAGTGAGGCCCTGCTCGAGGCCGGCGCAAAGGTCTACGCCCTCGACCGGCTGGACAAGCCCGACCCGGACTTCGAGCGCGTCCAGGAGCGCGCCAAGGAGCTCGGCACCAGCCTCTCGTTCAACCGCATCGACGTGCGTGACAACATCAGCCTGAACGCCACCGTCGAGAAGATTGCCGACGAGAACGGCCGCATCGACGGGCTGCTCGCATGTGCCGGCATCCAGCAGGAGACGCCTGCGCTCGAGTACACCATGGAGGACGCCGACAAGATGTTTGGCGTCAACATCACGGGCACCTTCATGACGGCCCAGGCGGTGGCACGGCAGATGCGCAGGCTCGAGCGCCCGGGATCGATGGTCTTCATCGCCAGCATGAGCGGAAGCGTGGCGAACAAGGGCCTGTTTTGCCCGTGAGTTGCGCCCATCTCCCCTTAGCTTTGCATGGTGATCTTTGCATTCTGACCGATATCCAGGGCGTACAATGCCTCCAAGGCCGGCGTGCTTCAGCTCGCGCGCAACCTCGCCATGGAGTGGGGCACCCACGGCATTCGCGTGAACAGCATCTCGCCCGGCTACATCGTCACCGCAATGACGGCGCCGCTTTTCGAGCAGTTCCCCGACAGGAAGGAGAACTGGCCCACGCAAAACATGTTGGGCAGGCTGAGCTACCCAGAGGAGTACCGTGGCGCGGCTGTCTTCCTCCTGAGTGACGCCTCGAGCTTCATGACAGGGGCTGATCTTCGCATAGACGGAGGTCACACGGCCTGGTAAGGCGACTCTAGCACGCCTTCCCAGGACAGCCGCGCTACCGAGTTAGGTAGGTACTAATCCAGGATTTGGTGAGTGGTATTTGGCGCTCGTCGGTAGGGCGCAGACGGTTGATTGGTGGTGTTTGGGGGTTCAGACTCCGTTAGGCACGGGATATTCCCTTGTATAGGGTGGGCACGGCAATGGTTTTGAGCGTTGCTTTTCATTTTTATTTTTCAAAGTTGCCCAGCACGGTGCGATGGTCTCCTCCACAAATCGGGGAATCTCAGCTATTTCGCACAGATTGAGTGCTATGGGCCGCTGTAGTGTGCTTTGTCTCATAGCACGTAGTTCATGCCTCACAAAAGCTTCAGAACCCGGCTGCAGTGGATGAGCAACTTCCCCTAAAATACCATCATGAGTGAGATCATATATAGTTATGTTGTGATTCAGCATGCCCAGTCAGCGCTGTATGCCATTGCCCACACTTGACTCTGTGTCCCTGCTTTCTATTAGATGCAGGCAGCTGTAGTAGGTGCTTGTCCACCCTCACCATCTGTTGGGTCCTGCTGTCTTTGTCGGCCACAAACCAAGAGACTCCAAGCACACCTTACACAAACTATAATTTCCGTCTTTTCTGGACGGCCTGGACGTCTTTATCTGCCATGTTTGTTCAGTCAGTGCAGTGGCCATTTCGCAATCGTCCCCCCCCCCCCAACTCCAGGCCACGTCGACTTGTGGAGTGGCTTATTGTAGATGCTATAGATCTGAAGAGACGTATGCCACGTCGAAGCCCATCCACCACGAACTGGACATCATGCCCGCTGCTGGCCAAACATATGTCCAGGTTATACGTTGTCGAAGGAAGCCAACGCGACACCAGCCCAGGCACCTCAAGGAGCAGGGCCTCCCAGCGGCTGGACCATGTGCCTCGGGCCCAGCCTGCTAATCACACCTTTTCTCAGGTTAAAGCGGTGCTCGATATCCTCGTCACGAGCGCCCTGCTCCCGCATGACGAGCACGTCCCGGATCATGCCCGACGTGAGGAACCTCCTGCCCTGACCGCCCGACACGCCGAGGCCCTCGAATTCCTCCTCGGCCTCGCGCGACAGTCTCGCGCGGGCCTCGAGCGCCAAGAGGACGAGGTTGTTGGACGGCGACGGGAAGACGGGCCCTCCCGCGCCGCCCGCGCCGCCCCCGTACGGCTCATGTGGCGACGACGTCGTCGTCGTCGGGGATGCGGTTGACGAGGGCGAGTATGTCGGGTTGGGCTGGACCACGCCTATCTGCCGCAGCCGCTCGGCAAGGCCTGGTTGGAGGCTGTTCTCTGGGGGCGAGGACATGTGCGGGTCAGAACCGTCTCGGAGGATGGCTGTTTCGCGCTCGCATCGTTAGCGGTTCGTCCCTTGCTTGGGAGGGCGGAGCCCCGGGCGAGGGGGTACTGGAGCTGGGCAGGGTCCGCAACGAACCTTCGTTCTTGGCCAGAGAAGCCTGCGGGGCCTGTGCCTTTTTTCGTGGTGGCGGTCTCGACGATGCAGCTGTCCTGGGGGCGTGAGACGTCGAGGAGGGCGGTGGGACTGCTGACCCAGGAGCTCTGTTTGGGAATTTGCGGATGGTGCTCTGCGCAGCCGACTTAGATGCGCCGGAGCCCATTGTGACGTGGTTGTTGTGTCTTTCAAGGAGCGAAGCTCTATTTCCGTCTGGGCGAAGTCTCTTCCCGCCTGTTAGAAAGCCGGGGCGAAGAATTGGAGTTGTTTGGTCTTTAGATTCAGCACAGCATGAAAGTGTCCATTGGAGTCGTTCGTCATGACGAGCACTATTGTACGGTGGGACCTATGACAGCTGTGGCAGGGATGGTGTTTTCAGGGTTTGACCCTTATCGCTCCGGATTGGAGATTGGACTTACAAGTGGTTGTGTGACAGCCTTGGAAGGTTGTGTGCTTGATCGAGCCTCGCTCCTCGGTAAACCAGCTGGGAGAAGACGATACTACCATACTTGATTTCCAAGGTTCCTAGGGACCTAGGTACACAACAATGGGCAGATGGGCAGGAGCCGGGAGGGTCTCGACCCCGTTCCTATTCCTATCATTGCTGGTGACATAATCTCGAGGCACCTGGGCAATCGTAGGACTCGGAGTTGATGGTCGACAAGTATCACACCTGCGGCAAGTAATATTTGAAGATGCCTACCGGGGTACCATCCAACACCTTGTAGCAGGTGACGGTCCAACAGCATGTTGGCGCCGAATTTGATCAAGTCGTTGTTCCAGACATTTAACACTAGAGACAGGCCCCCTCATTCGCATAAACCCACTTGAGATCCACTACAGTGATCCTAGCTTTTCAGCTGAGATATACGCTGCTGGCGGACGCAAGCATGACAAACTCATCACCAGATTCAAGGTTTCGTGTCAGTACACATAAGCTTTTCGATAGTCCCCGCCCCACTGGCCCCCTTCTTGGTGAAACAGTGGCAAGGAGGCTGAGTTCGACACGATAGACCATGACACTAAGCTAAGAGGAAAATGGATGTACCTGTACCTTAAGGCGTGGGTTTGATGCGTATACGGCTAGCCAGGGGTTCCAACTATGAATTCATCGAATCCGACGACCATCAATTGCCAAGGTCTTCTCGTGGTCTGTTATTATCAGCAACGAACGAGAACTCGCCGGGTTCGCTATGGGACAAGATCTTGGCCGAGAGAGATAATGAAGTGCCCCTTGATATGACCATGGCATACAGTAATTTGACCACGGATACGATTCCAGCCTACCGTCCTGGCGAGGGCTTCAATCTTCTGAGCCAACCCGGGTGCATGTGGGGATCCAGTTTCAGGAACCCTAACATCGCTGTGCTCAGCTTTTGGTTTATTTTCCGTTTCTTCTTTTTTTCTCAAGGGCCTGGCCGACCTCGGAGTGTGCTAGGATGCTTTAGGCGTGGAAATCCTGATCGAGATCTTCCTTTCTGGCCAGCATGCACAGGTTGCTGAACTACCTACCCCAAGAAAGTGCTCTTTTTGTTCATACCATGAAGATCAATGTGCCAAACCGAATAGCAAAGACCCGCAGGAATCTGAAGTCTGGGACTGTCTACCCACGTCCAACCTGAGTCCAACCAAAGAGGCGCCCAAACGGATGTCTGCAGAGGCTTTGGGAACCCTTGGATCCGGTACCGAGACAACGACCTGGTGAGTATCTTGCAAGGATTATAGTTTTCCGGAAGTCATTAGTGCCTTTTCTTTCAAATGGTCCCTGTCAAGAAATTAGTGAAAAGTTTCTAACAATTTCGTAGGGGCCTTACTGTCATGATATACCATGTCCATGCAAACCGGGACATCTTTGAGAAACCATCACGAGAGCTAAAAGCAGCAGTTCCAGACCCAAGGAACCTACCATATTAGAGAAACTTCCATATCTCAGTGCCGCTGTATAGGAAGGCATGGGGCTCTTGTACGGCCCATCAAGCAGATCACCTAGGGTGACTACCAAGAGGACCTAGTCTACAAAGGCGAATGGGAAGGGCATTCGGTCCAATACATGATTCCACAAGGGTATGGGGCTGGCACATCCCCCTATGTCTCCCATAAGCAACTTCTAGATAATACTAACTTTACCTCTTCACGGACGCCTCCGGCCCTTATGACAAAGAAGTTACAGGCTGCAGCATCTGGTGTGGACTACAACCACCATATAATTGACCCGTTTCTTCCTATACTCCTATAAAGCTATGGATTGGGCACCATTTCAAAGCCACTTCTTTTGCCTCAAGTACTCATAATAATAACAAACTCATATAGGATGTCCGTTATTATTGAGAGACACCGGTGCTTATGCCCAAATGTGAGAGCCTTGGACTTTCAGTGACTTGTGTAATCAGAAACTCTTGTGGAGTCTGAGTAAATATCTCATCAAGTGTCCATTGCTTGTGTATGAGGCTGTGGCGGTGATGGAAAGGACTTCCACATATGCAGATGTACAAATGGAGGCCACTGAGTCACTTAATGCATAATTATGGTTTTTCTTTGGTTTTTGTGTAAGTTTTTAATTCAAGAAATCAACTCTCATTTGCCATGTTTGTTTTTATAGAGGCCTTTGAGCCCAGAGTATGCTGATGTGGCAATGTACCACTGTCCAACCTATCCCACATTTGTGCCGGACTGGGGACTACCTAGGTACATTGATCATTCGAAAGACTGTCATGATATGTTGGTGCTAATACATTGCATTCAGAAAAGTTGAACCTTAAAGGCCGCTAGAAGGTGTTGAAGATCACAGGATGTGTCTGCCGGAATACTTGAGTTTCATCCTTGTCTAGTCCACCTCACCCAGTTCCGTGCAAGTTCCCCACATCCTGAGGTGTTATGCAAAGAGGAGTCTGCATACAACATCAGGCAATGACGGGATTTCCAATACCCCTCGCCACGTGTCAGGTCTACACTCAGCACATGTCGTCGAGATACCCTCATTGTGTAGCACCAGAGATCTTTAGTGAAACTGCAAAAAGCTTGCCACCCTCCACAACAGTTTGAAATTCATCGGTTGACGATCACTAAAGGTCCCCGAGAGTCCCAATGATGTCTTCACAAGGCCCAGATACTTCATGGATATCAAACTGTTGAATTGTGCTCTCCGCAACTAGGCCCGTGAGAGCAGTGTCTCTACGAAGTGTAAACCTTATCTGGGCCATGAATCTCAGTACTTCACACGGAGGGGACGGAAGGCCAAGCGTGTCCACGATCGGATGACTTGTATCCTCGGCCGTGTCGCGACGGGGCTTCATTCCGGGCTTGTTGTACTTGGCTGGCACGCTGCATACGGCCTCCTCATCCTACTGGCGGACAAGATGCGCCCAACTTGAAGTGCCGGAGCTATGGCCGCCCCAAAATGATTGTCAGTGTGACTGATTTCGTCTGTATCAATGGGACCATGTTGTGAGTGGGCCCTCCGTCTGATACCTGAGCACCTGCTTAGACTCTGCCACACAACAAGCAAACGGAGGCGGCTCCGCCCGTGATTTTCTCGAGCCAGCATCGTCGGATCTCTGCATCTTTTCTTTCTCACATGGCGAACGAAGAGTCGTAGGAGTATCGTTGATACGGCTGTATCACTAGGTAGTCATGTGACAACGTCGGCGAGGCTGTGGACGAGAATCTCAGTCGCTCTGGTTACCAGGATAACCCATCACCCGCCTGCCCTCCACATGCAGGCTAGATCCGGACTTATGCGGCTCAGTCCTCTGATCTACAGCATCATTCCCTTTTAGTTTCCCGATTCTTGGGATTGCAATCTGGGGTAATTGGAAATCACTTGGGTGATCGACTGAGGTAAATGCCGAGCAAGTAAAGCATTCTGCCCTACGGGCTAGGGAAGGGGTTTCTGAGCCTGCATGACCCGTCCAGGTCCACCCCAGTCGGGCTGGCCTTCCTTCGATCCGGGGATTCCGACATCCCAGACCCGTTCGCGACACGAATTGTTCAGGCGGCTAGCTGTGTGGCGCCATCCGCAATCCTATTAATCCCCAGGTGGCTGGGTTCAGCTTATTTCCGATACTGCGGAAAGATCTTGACGGAACTTTGTTCCGGCTCATTGTGCAAAGATCCACCGTGCTAACAGTTTTGGACAGTCTGGACTGCTCTGGTATTTCTCAGTCTCTTCGCATCCTAGTTGCAGCCTTTGTGTCCCTGTGAATGATGTTGAACCAGTGGTGATGGCTACATACCTCGTATTTCAAAGAAGCTCGCCATTGCAAAGCCGGGGCATAGTGTTGAGACTGACATGAGGAAGTTCCTGGTCATGAACGAAGAAATAACTGTAAATCTGTCGCATTCAGTACTTTCACATCAACGCGAGTGAATGTTGACGGCTCTGAAGATGGCTGAAAATTGTGACTTTGGTCTCGAATATCATGTCGTTATCGTCGAGGAGAATAGACATACTTCTCAGGGCCGGGGCAGCTCTTAGAGTGCCTGGATATTATGTGTGAAACTCAAGGACAGCCGATTCTTCGCACATTTTATTGGGAGAGACAACTCCAGAAGTCCCATCTCGGCGTTTCATGCTCCATCCATGGCCTTTCGGTACGATATTTCACACGGTATACCATATGTCCTTGACGTTTCCGGAAGTAAGGGTGGGTACTTCGGATGCACTGGATGTGATTGCGATAGACACACGCGACAGTCTGCTTGTACGCAAAGCAAGGCATGACTGAGACGTTGTCGACGGCTCGTGATCTCTTGACGGATAATCAAACTTCTCGCCCCGTTCTTGCTTGCTCGTTGCTTTTTTGTTGATGCAAATATCCAGAGCTTTTAGTAACTACTCCGAGGATTGGTTTCTAATTTCCTGTGGACTGTAGCGCCATGGCATCTCGAGCAATGATCCAGCCTTGACTTTGCTTACGAGATGTACTTCCACACAACTTCCCATCTAATGCGAACCCAGGTGCCTACACCATTTATTTATGCTTTGTTCACCCGCAATACCTGCAAGTGGCACATCCCTTGCGCCATAAAGAAAGGTCCACGCTGGCGCAGTGTCCATTGGCTTATCCTGCAAGAGGGAGTTTTTAGCGCCGGCTCAGAGACGAGCCCATCTCAGTCATCCGGGAGGGCATCAATGCCTTGGCAACTGAGATTGTGACTTTTAATAATACCGAGGCGTGGAACAGCGCGTCCTTACCTAGGTAGACAAGCCTCTAACAAAGGACAGTGGAACCAGGATCGGGAGAGTTTCACAAATCACGGAACAGCTCTAGCCATGTGTGGCACGGATGGCTTAGTCAAATATCCTGTGTACTTGTGAGAGCCGCTTGCCATCAGAGGGTTGTTTGAGACATCTGGAGTCTTCAGACAAGCCACCTCCACCTGTCCCTAATCCCCAGGCAGCCCCGGAGGCCTAATGAAACCCTTGGGTTCGGTCGCTTGTTTTCAATTCCTCGTTGTCTTTGCTACGATGGCCCACAATGACTGCACAGCGATGCCAGTGTCAAACGGATCATCAGACGATGCTAAGTGACAGGCGAGTCGTTGCAAAAGTCGTGGCAGTTGCAAAGGCGGCTGAAATTAAGCCCGAGCGTCCGCTCATATAGGCCGCGGGGTCCACCCGGAGGCTCCGAGGACCGCCCGCGCGATGCCAATGCATGGGAAACCATGCTAGAAAGCGCTGAGACGGGAAGACTGTGGTGCATGTACTACTTGCATTGCGTGGGTTTCGTTCTATAGGTGGGAAGGGGCAATAAATGAACTCTCGCAATTCTCGTCACGTTGTACTTACAGGACGGTGTGCTGAGTGCGACACAGCCAAGGAGAACGCAACATCTCGCCATGGGAATATCGACCGGTGTGCTATCCTCGATTCGATGCTCGGGCTGGATGGTCGAACCGTTCCAATGGGATGGGCGGGGTCACAAGATGCCCGGGCCCGATCGTGGAAGCCGTGATGACACTAAACAGCAGCATCTTGGATCGCTTGTTGTGTTGTTCGAGTCAATGTCACCATGAGAACCCACCGGAATGACGGAAAAGCCAGGGAGCGCTCAGCATCCCGACAAGAGGAGCCCAGGGGAAGATCATCAAGATTAAGTTGTCAAGAAACTTGCCGATGGGGCCGTGGAATGGAGCGTCGGTAGTCCAATATAGGGGTCCAAGCACCATGCTCCAGGCCAATCAATGATGGGTTCCAGATGTCACTTTTGGCTGAAAAAGAGCATTAAGCGCGCTTACGCTTACGAGCACTTGAGCCTAACTTTGGTCAAGCCTTGGCCCTGATCGTCCTTGCCAGTGCCTCAATGCCTCCATGCGGTCCACCAGTGACACCTCGGCTTCTTCAGGAACGCTCATGACCTGGCAGCCCTGTGAGCGGATCTGGCCCCATTACACAGTAGTCTACCATTGTAAAACACCCGTGACTGATTCGTGCCGTCGCCTAAACCGCGGGAGGGTGGTGGGCGCGCGCCGGAGTAAGGCGTTTCAGATGCGGCCATCTTGTCCCCAAACCCTTGGGTTCGCACTCCATAAATAATCCTGGATCCGCACGCTTATCAGGCTGTATTAGTAGCCGCTTCTTGTACCGTGGTGGGCTCAACATGATGGTCCCTGCCGCCGGCGGACCGTCGGTCTTTACCAAGCGACTGACTTACCCGCGAGTATGCTGGGCTCAACCTTCTGGGGATCAAGCACATTTGGGCACAAGATGCCGAGCCCAAGTACCCTCTGGCGTCTCATGCACAAAATCAGACCTTCCAGCCCCTGACGTCCTCGCGCCAACAACTTCCTGACCCGTCCAAGAAGCACCGGCACGTGCAAGCCCCTGAACCTTGTCACCCCTCCTCGAAAGCATTCACAGGGGCCGCGTCTTCCCAGCCGCCATTGCAGTCTGCTGGGATGGCTTGGCTTGGAGAAGGTAGCCCTGTCATCTCATCTTTTTTTGCGTTACCTTCGTCATATTGAAGACGCGCTGGGTGCTCAAGCCCACAATAGTTCATTGTACGACTCGTGAAAGGGATACTCCGTGCGGGCACCGCCCACCAACGTTGCTACCCATCCATTCCCTTGGTTCCAGTTCCCTTCATGTTGGGATGGGAACGTCTTCCCGACGACATGATTGGTAGCGTGCGGACCGGTAGATATTGGCCATGCCCTGGGGCCAAGCTTAATCCCACAAGCTTCTCGTCCTCCACAGGGGTGTAACAAGAAATACATCTGGGGTTAGTCCCTATTCTCTCGTTGAGTCCAAGCAGCCCAAAAACAGCCCGTTTTCTCTTGCCGGATCCCAGTTGACGGATCCTCATATTTCTCCCATCTGATGTCTCACTCGGTTTTAGTCGACCCTGGCGCAAGTTTCCCCTGGATCTCGGCCTAGAGGAACCATCCTACAGATCCACCTACTATTTGGACAGCCTCATGGGGGTTTGAGAATATTGCCCACTCACAAGTTCAAGTATAAGTGAAACCGCCCCTGGGACTCCACTTCGGTCTTCGGCCTCACAGCGCAAGGGGTTCCTTCGCTGACCCGGCTGGACGGTCAACCACAATATATCTCCCACTTGGCCCACGCAAGCCTGCTCGTCCGGTGGGACTCGACTTCAGGCAGGCCTCATTGATCTACCACGATGGACACGACTTCGACGCCTGTGGATCCGGGGCTGGCAGCCCAGAACATCTCATGGCTTGCTCTGCTCATCATCATCCTGGTCCTCTCATTGGCAACTATCATTGTCGGGCTCCGCTTCTACACGAGGGTCGTGCTGCTGAAGCAGCTGGGGCTTGATGACTACTTTGTCCTATTGACATTGGTACGGCGTCAACATCTACTCGAACCTCTTGCATCGAGGCCTGTCACTAACTTGCTTTCAGGGCTTCGCCGTAGCCACCGGCGGCGCCGTCCTCTCAAGTACGTCTCAAGTTGACGAAAAGACATGTGATACAAGGCTGACTCGCTCTAGCCATCCCTTACGGCCTCGGAAGGCGTACTGCAACACTCGATCCTTCAGTCATTCCCTTGTATCTTCGAGTAAGTTCTAAGGCCGGATCGGCAGTGACGATATCATCGATCAGTGTTAGCTGACGAGGACGACAGTCCTTTTGGGTCTCCATTGTCTTGTACAATGCGACTCTCATGATGATCAAACTCACCTTCTTAATCCAGTACTACCGCGTACTTGGGGTGTACAAGATGAAGAGAGTGATATGGATGACCGGACTGGTCATCATGATGTGGGCTTTCTCGCAGTTGCTCGTCGTCATCTTCAGCTGCTCGCCCGTCCAGAAGTTTTGGCTGGCCGACTTGGAAGGACAGTGCATGCCCAATTTACCATTTTGGTACATCAATGCCGCTGGAAACATCGTCACGGATCTCGCGATCCTCATCCTCCCGTTACCCGTCCTAGCGAAACTAAAGCTTCGTCGGCAGCAGAAATATATCCTCATTGGCATCTTCTGTCTGGGATTATTGTACGTTTCATTGCTGCTATGCCCTGGACGGCGAACCTATTGGATGGATGTAAAACTGACGCTTTGCGAACAGCACCTGCGCCATCTCGCTCATCCGTCTCAGCTACCTCAAGCAAGGCCCCGACTTCACGTGGGACAATGTCCCAACATCTGGCTGGTCCGTCAGTGAGCTGTGCTCTGGCATAATATGCGCATGTCTTCCGACTCTTCGGCCGTTAATGTCTAAGATCAAGCCGCAATGGATGGTCAGTTATGCGTCACGGTCACGGAGGACCAAACAAGAGTATGGAGACAGGAATCACTACGGCGCCAATTCAGGTAAAATCAAGGCGATGAGCAGCAGTACTGGAAATTCGAGGAGCACCCGCGAGAGCAAGGACCCTAGCCTCTTCGTAAGCTCAAAGGAGCTTGGCTCATCAAACTACACCAGACTCGGGGACAACGACATCGAAATGGCAATTCCGGCACCTCCAAGCCCGTCGTTCCAGGCGGATAGAAGCAGGTTTGACGACGCACGATCTTCGACGGACGGTGAGAATACATTTGACGCAGCACTTGCCCAAGGCCCTCGGGTGGACAAAAAAGATATTCCGATGCAGAGTCTAAGCTCTCGAACAAAGCCTCAGCTGGTCCAATCTCAAGGAACAGACGGCATCGAATCAAGGAGGGAGTTCAGCAACCGTGGCAAGGAGAACGACAAGGCAATGGAAATACTGGGCGTCGATCAATACGACACGGGCATCACGACACACATCGTGGCGGACAAAGGGCCATCCTCGATGTTCCCCCAGCACTCGCGAGCTGTCATCAAGTCAAAGTCAGGTGCCAACTTATCGGGGATCGAGGTAAAGACAGACGTCATTGTCTCGACTACACCGTCGCCTGTGACCAGGCCAAAAGACGTGCGATGAGGAAGCCACCTCTGTAATGTCGTATTCTTTCTCTGATTGTACATAACAACTATAATAGCTAGTCACATACCCTCCGATGAATTTGATGAGTAAATGAGGCTCTTTCTCCTTGTGCAGGTCAACATTCTTCCACGCGAGTCACTCGATGCAACGACAAGTGAAGCTATCGCGGCACCCCTTGTGACCCTCTTGCGCTCGGGACTTGATCCGGAACTTACTTCGAAAGCTTTGCACGGTGTGGTCACAGCGCTGCCCAAATCAGGGGATTACAGTCGTCTTATTTTGTCAATGGTGCACGAGGCCACACTGGCCACTACTCTAATAGAGTGGCTTGAACCATATTTAATCGCGCCATGTACGACCTTGGGACGATGTTACTGACGTAATGCGGTACACTGGCATTGTGGTATCTGTCACGTTGCTAGTCACTCCGTAGATCCCGAGCTCGACTGGATATACCATGCTGATCTTCGTTAAGGTGGACCACTACAACCGGATCCGAGCGCCAAAGCAAGATTTCACAAGGTTCAAATGGCGAGCGTTGAGCAGACGAACCACAAGCGTGCGTGCAGGGCCAGGGGGCGATGCAAACCATATGTGCGTGCATGCAACACAGCGGTGCCATGCGAAGTTTCCGAAAGTTAAACCTTAAACATCGTAGCTCTCCATCTCCCAAGCTTGCCGAGCCCAAACTACCTTGCCTGTACAGGGTTTTGCCTGCAATAAGGTTAAAAAGGTACTTCTACCCTGATGGTAATGGGGGCCCTACCATAACTCACACTCTGTTAGAGAACCAAAAAATACAGTCACCTTCACTATAAGTACCTAGAAAAATAAGTCAATCCTAGTAGACTTACATTAATAAAACGGTAACTAGGCTAACGGGAGAGAGGTACCGTTTTAAACTTAAAATAGGAGATTCTGATTGGTTAGTAGGGTGACACTGCATGTATTCACGCTAACAAAGTGCAAGGGAAAATCCTGTATGTCGAGGGGATCAACGCAAACCTGGGTTGGCACATGTGATTGGCACGTAAGTGTGTCTCGACTTACGAGGCCCTTCTTGAGAGCCCGCGATCCAGAGCCCTGATGCTGGACGATTACCGGAAACCCGTTGGGGGCCAGGGCAGGTCACTCGACGAACCAGTAAACTGAGGTGAAATAGACTTCAATTAATACAGAACCACGAGAACCAAATAGTCTTTGAACGGGTGGGACTGGGCTTTTTCATCCCATCGCCTGCCCCCGCGAACCTCGGGATTCGGGCCTGGACGCATCGTTCTTGTCGCGCAGAGGCCAGCAATTGTTATATCATACTTTGCGTCCGCAATATCACACTCAGGCCCAATCGGAAGTCAATAGCACAGACGCCCGGCATGGCGGTTCCAGTCGCGACAACGCGTACGACACACGTGTGGCCCAATAAAGTAAGAGGTATGTACGCACCGACTGCTGCGATCGATTTAGAGTGAGGCAGGGACGTGAGCCGATCTTGAAGTGACCCAAGGATGCGATGGTGCGTGGTGACTGACACGTCCAACGGTGGGCGGAAACCCTATCGCCACCACCTTCTTCTGGCACCACGTCTGTGTACTACCTAGGTTTGTAGTACCATCTCACTCGTATCCCTTGGAGACTCCATTCAGGCCCCAAAAGTTACACTGGGCAGACACGCGGCTAAGGTGACGACCTCGACCTGGTTGCAAGCATGAAGTGGAGCGAAGTGCAAAGATTCATCTTGGCGTCCAGATGCAGATCTCGGGAGGTCATGCGTTGCCATCATGAGAACAACACTTATACTTCACCTGTTATTAGATACACAAATCAAACTTTGCTAGATTACCCGGGCGTCGGGGCGGGATTAAAACACAGTGAGAATCTAAGCATTGTGAACAAGCAAAGTCAAGTAAAGTTGAAGGGTCTTTCAGGATCGTCATCGTCAAAACATCACCGTGCCTTGAGGACATCGCTAGGGAGAATGCGCGACATCGCATCCACCTGGGCAGCTTTGAACGTCATATAGATGTTCCTACGCCGCTGAATTGTACCAAAAACCCTTGTGACGACTTTAGAAGTCTTTTCACCTGCGTCCACATGGGGCTGGTGCTCTACACGTTAGCTCAGACTTGAAGACGCATTGCTTCAACTAATCGATAAAGTGAGGCTCTGCCTACCTGTACGCAGACAGGCGAACAGCTTGTGGGTCCGGGGACGTCTGAGTCAATACATTTCATACTTGGGTAAGATCTCCAAGGGCATCGCGCACTCATCTCATGGATTAGCAAGCACCCTTTTTGGCGCACTGGACGACTTCGAGTTGGAGGTCCTCGCTTTGAACCATGTTGTTCCAGATCTGACCGAGTCCTGACTCCTGTATCATGTCGTGTTCTTGATGATCTGCTATTGCAAGATGCATATACTGTAAAATGTCTGGTGCTGGTTTCTGAGTAAGTGGCGTCTGAAACAGTAAGAATCTCAGCATCGCCCTCTCCCCGTCCCTGCTTCAGGGCCCTCCCTCGGACTTCGGACAAATGTCCAGAAATTGGTGTTGCTCTTCCTGTTGGCTCTCTCGGATATTTGTAACGTGGTGATGACGACCTCGAGAGGTCAGCGAATAGGTTGCCGCAGCGGCAGCCGCCGGCGGCGTAACCGGGAGGTACCAGCCCGCCCTTCTGACGCCGCAGATCAAACATTGAAACGTGGAGCTTTGCCCGATCTCTGACCGGCGGAATCTCCGATGCAGGCATTCGCAGGGCTGATCGTCCAGGATTCATCCAACCAGAACATTTAGATAATTGAAAATTGCTGTGTACTTCGGGAGAAAAGCGGCACCGGGAGGCTCACCCGTAACAATTTGAATTCCACTTTTGTTGCTGTGCCTGTCATTGCGGGCCCCGACTGCACGGCAAGCTGCGCGTTTATCGGCCGCTCGCGAAGTAAATCTGCGGAACGTCGAAGTATACATGGGGCTAAAACGATTTTCTGGCATGTTTCTGCCGCAAATCCGCCAAGATCGCGGTGAAGGGTGCCAATTGGAGAAGCATTGTCAAGCCTGGTCAAGCACAGCATGATCTCCTTCTTGTCGTCTTCAGAACGTGGTTCACCGTCTCTTGGCGGCCTGAATCTTTGTCGATCACACAGATGCCGCGAAACTCGGCCAAGCTAGAATCCAGTCATTATTTCGATATTTAAATTCTCCCAACGTGACCATGTTTACAATTTGTACTCATCAGCCTCGTCCCATTTCATCTTCGTCATCCCATTCTTTCGTCGTCCCATTCTTTCTTCATCTCATTCTTTTAAGAGGTGAGTCGAGCGTACCCAAGCGAGTCTAACTTCTGCTTTTACCGTCGAGCTAACCGTGATTTAGCTGCGCTCACTTCATTCACTTCACGCATTAACAGTCCTGGAGACTCTCTTTGACCAGTACATATTTATTCAACATGAAGCTGTCACTCACCGTCATCACTCTCTTGGCTGGCTTCGCCGTCGCCCTGCCTCAGGGCAAGGGACAGAATAACAACAACAACAAGAATGGCCAGAATGGCCAGAACAACAACGGCAATAACAACCAAGATGCCGCAGCAGCCAACGATGACGTGAATGCTGCAGCCAACGATGGTTCAGGTGGTGTGGCTGCCGCCGCAAAGGCAGAGGCAGCAATCCTCTTGACTGAGAATGGCGATGGTAAGTCATCGACGGGCGTCAAATTCTTCACTCCAACCGAATCTTTCTTGGAACAGCAAAACTAACGTGCGTGCGTGTTGTCCAGCTGGCGCCGTTGACTCTGGTGCCGATTTCGAGAAGGCGGTCAAAGCCATCTCGGACTCTGGTAACCAAGATGACCTAGACACTCTGGAGGCTGCTGGCATCGATGTCGACGCCGCCCTGGACGGAAATGGAGGTGGTGGCAACGGAGGGAATGGAAATGGCCAGGGCGGTCAGAATGGCCAGAAAGGACAGCAGGGCCAGAACCAGCAGGGCCAGAACCAGCAGGGCCAGAAGAACCAGCAGGGCCAGAACTAAGCTTGCCGCCATTCGTGATGAGTAAGACTGCCAAAGCTCGAAGCTGACGTATTTTTCTTGTTTCTTCCTCATAATATGGCTGGGAGGCGGTCTCGGTAGAATCTGGATCCGGAGCTGACCTGTTCATTCTTTTAATATAAAATTAAAAAATGACCTGTGATGAATTATATCAAAATGAGCAGTCCAGGTCTACGCTTTCTTATCCCTCCTAGTAATTCACTACTAGTAGACTAGTGCCCACAGCACGCAGCACTAGTTTTTAGCTATAGTAGGCATAAAACTCTAGTAGGATATAGCTGGTTCCGCTTCTATTCCGCATACATCCGAGAACATACATGGCGCCTTCACACGGTGGTAAACGCTCAAGGCCCAGCGTTTAAAAAATAAACAGTATTGATAAGATTGGTAACGATAAATACCCAAGCCTATTATCTAACCAAAATCTGCCTCTCAAGCATTTGGCCCACGGAGCGGTGTGGTGTGAAGACATGGCGGTTTACGGATTAGGAAGTTGTGAGACTGCCGCCAAGCTCTCGCAGGCATCGGAGCACGACTTCACGCTGATCCTTATGGCCGGTCAAGGGAGTGGACTGACCAAAAAGATACCTACATACCGGGGGCGTGCTAGCCCACACATATAGTAGCCCTAGTAGGTTAGAGAAACCTAGAGTTTAACCCTTCCTCATAGGGGAAGCCTTTCCCGAAGGGCTAGAGTTATAGATTTTAGGTATGAAAGTTATATAACGAGTTTTTTAAGAGAAGTATGAACCTACCTCGGTAGAGAAGAAGAGGTAGTTATAAAGAGGTAGGTAGTTTAACCTTAATTAGATATAAGATTTATTAGACTTTAAGAAGAGATTAAAATAACTTTAAAAGAGAATAACTTCTTAGCTAGATTTCACACTAAAATAAATTAAGTACTTTAGAAAGTTATTATATAGATTTTATATCTAAATCTTATCAGTCTAACCCTAAGGGGCAGGTGTAGTCCCTAGCCTAGGTATGGCCCTTCGTAAGTACAGCCTACTTAGGCTACTATATGAATAGGGTCCTAAGCCTCGGTGCAGTATATTACAATCGATTCGGTGCCCAAGGCATGTGTAGAGCCATAACCTACCAAGTTGAAAAAGTAAATGAGCTTTCTGAGTAGCACCACTGCACGACACGATAACTAGTCGCTTGCATTCGACGCCCGTTCTAATCCCGGGGGGGGGGGGGAGGCGGCAGGCACCCTTGGGCCTCGAGCTTCCGGTCGCGAACGGGCAGATCGGCTAACCTGGCAGCCCTGGTTGCCTGGCTTTAAAACTTTGGCAATAGGAGTGGCACAAGCTTGAGCTGTCTGAGTCGAGGAATGCGAACGCGGCGGGCTGGTCTGTGCTGTTTCAGGTTTGCGTCATATCAACACTTGGCTTGTCAAATGCGCTCCTCCCTTTGCATCGCAGGCTCAGTGGACCGTCTGCATGGTTGCAAGCCACATTCTACGAATTCTAAGAAAGTTGTAGCATCCCCGAGTAGAGGCACATCGGCCTCGTTGCGAATCAGTACCCGCCAAGTGGACGACACCGCAGCCGGGGCTGCATAATAACAATGATGTGCCTGCGGCGTTTCGCGGGTGTCCTGCGATTGGGCTGTGGTAAAGAAATTAAGGAGACGCAAGTTGTCAGGTACAGAGGAACAAAACCTGGGAAAGCAGTCAAGCCTGGTACCGAGTTACGCATTCTCTGCGTGGGAGACTCGATAACAGTCGGATTCCTTAGTGACCAAGATGGCGGCGACGGAAACGGGTACAGACTAAGGCTGCTTGGTGATTTATCACGTAAGGTCCCCTCTTATCGATGATGGAAATCAATGGGTAGTTGACTGGACTACGTTCACTTCAGAAGACCAGGTCGTGTACGCTGGGACGGAATCAGGTGGTACGATGAAAGACGGCTACTTCGTGAGTCCACTTTGTACTTGGATTCTATTACTACTAGTATGGACAATGTCTGAGATCTCTCATGTCAAGGCTGCCTGGTCAGGCAAGACGATCCAATTCATCACGGCTAATGTAGGCCCTTCACTCGCTCAAAGACCCAATGTTGTCTTGATCCACGCCGGCACAAATGATATGAACTCGAGCAAAACAATCTCCACCGAAGGAAACGACCCGGTTGCGGCTGCTAAGCGCCTCGGTCTGCTTATTGACTTGGTCATCGAGTCTTGTCCTGATGCAACAATTTTAGTGGCCATGATTGTTGGAACTTGGGATCCAGCTCAGGCAGACAGGACCCATAAGTTCAACGCGCTTGTTCCGGGTGTAGTGAAGCAGCGACGTGACAGGCGGGTTTTAGCTGTGGATTTCACGTCTTTCCCAAATAAGCTCCTGCGGGACGGCGTCCATCCCACGAATGAAGGTTATCAAGTATTTGGAGACTATTGGTATGACTTTGTTACTCAGATCCCAGAGGAGTGGATTCAACATCCGGTTGGCAATGATCCGGATCGCTGGTAAGCGGACCTGGTCACGTGTATTTTATTCGAGCACTTGAGACCTTTCGCATTTTCATCCACAATATGTCTTGTATTGCAACTTTTCGGAGGCGCAAAGTTAGCTGTTGAGCAGGAGAGCTCGCTGTTATAGCTTGAGCCAGAAATACGATATCAACGAAATGGAACATGAACATGATTCTTTCCGGCTTAAAGAGGACCAACAAAACGTAAATGATCGAAGTATGGACTCTAGTCCCTGGATAAGTGAACTACCAGTTCCAACACTAGGTAAGCAGAATTTTCAGACAGCATGATTTGCGATCACTGCATTTGCATACAACCCCTGCAGGTGGTTTCGTTTCTAATCCACATATATGTAAAACGTATGTGGCCCTTCATACAGTGGTAAACGCTCAAGACCCAGCTTTTTTTTTTTTAAAAAAAAAAAGAATACAGTGCCAATAACAGTGCAGAGAGAATCCACAACCCCTACAGAATCTGGGAAAGCCACTTGATTGTAGTGAAGATTATGGGCCGGTTTCCCTCACGGCTGTGTTACCACATTCAGCGACACTACCCTAAGCTCGTAGTACTCGAATTAGTGTTGACATGTTTGAACTAGTTCCCTCAGCTTGCTGTCCTTCAATAATTTTACCTGGGCAACTTTACCATATTGTGATGTTCTTTCAGAGGGTATCTCGGAAGAGGTGTGAAAGTGCACATGTGGGAAAAGGTGTTGTTATTATTCTGAGATGTTTTCCTTTTGATTTTCACGGCTGGACACCACAGCGGACCAAATAATCGAGAGTTCTACATGAGCATGTATGTCCGTTCATCGACTGTTGTTCACAGAGAGTAGATAAATTCCGGATTCTCCCTGTCCGTCAAGTCGAAGAACTCCTGGCCCTCTATCTTCACATACCCAGGCTGAGCCCTGAGCTCTGCCTTCTTCTTGTTCTGATAACGACACCAGTAGTAGATGAAACCGATGGTCAATAAGTTGACCACATAACAAGCGACGATGGTGATCTCGGCAGGCCTGTACTGCGGCGCGTCCTTCTCGCGGAATACTTGCGGTCCGATAATGTTGCCTACGCAGTAGCCAATCAAGTACATAGCCGCCACGGTGGTCTTCTTTGTCCAGCCGGCGACGTTCGTGGAAATGAGGGATAATATGGCGACAAAGGGCGTAGGGCTGGCTTGTGTTAGATAGTAGCCGATGAGCCGGCCGATCCTGTGGTCATTACCGAGGCAGGTGATAAGTAGCATTCCCAGTAGGGCTAATACGTGTTAGCCACTGAAAGGAAAGGAAGGGTATTGTAACTGACCGAGGACCATGCCGCTTGTGCAAACAAGGAGTCGGTTCCTCAGGCGATCGCCCAAAATACCACAAGCGACAAGGGCAATGACCTGCCAAGAGATGTCAGCAAGCCACTCAGGGGTATAAGGAAGCTTGTGTGGGCTTGGAAAAGCTTGGCTTCTTGGATAGGAGGGACTGTGGGTCAGGACACACCTCAACTGCTCCGCCTGGTGTTCCCAACAACAGGGACTGCTCATTTGTGAAGCCAAATGACACAATAAGCTGGCTGAAGAAGTTGCTTATCCCTCCGTTTGGTATGTCCGCGACGAGGCTATAAAACACAAAGGCCCAGACCATAGGGTCCGTCAAAGCCTCTTTGAACTGGTAGAACTTGAAGTGCTTGTTGCCAACGCCCTGCTGATTCACCCTGATGCGTTCTATGGCTAGAACCTTCTCCTTCTCCGAGAGAAAGCGTGCGTTCATTTGGTTGTCGGGCATTACGAAGAGGAAGATGGTACCGATAAGAGCAGTAAACAGTCCAATCACCAAAAACAGCAACTGCCAGGACTCAATGGCCAAGGGATTCTTGGCCGTGCCGACGGCAATTCCGTACGCGACGAAACCACCCAGGATCTGTCCCCAGCCGTTGAAGGAGAACCATATACCTGTCCTCGCTCCTTGCTCCTTGGTAGTGTACCACTTCGAATCGTCAGCAGAGGAGCATGGCATCTGAGACGAACCTGCGCCTCCGCAATTGTGATTTTGGCCCCACATGGAGTGACTTACCTGAGACGTGAAAAGAGCAAAGCCGGCTAGGTTGTTTTAGTTACCAGCTTCAGAAGGGACCCAAACCGGAAGCATAAATTGGTCGTTTATACTTACGGGTGACGGCAGCTTCGAACACACCGAGGAAGAACCGCACGGTCATGGCTCCAGCGAAATTCTTGGTGGCAGCCATGCAGCAGAGAACTAGACCCCACATGATGACATTAAAGGCGCTCCATTTCCCGAGGGGGAGTCGCTGGAGCAGACGGTTGGTAGGGTACTCCCAAAACAGGTAGCCAAAATAAAACATTGACCCGATCCAGCTGTATTGGTGACCGGTAAGGTTAATGTCCCTTTTCAGACCCATCACAGAGGCGTAGCTGACGGTAGTCTTGTCGAGGTAGTTGAGGCCGTAGACCAAGCACAGGAGCGGCATGAGGTTCCAGTCGATCTTCCTCAGCAGTCTCTTCTCGTCCTCGGGCGTAAGCTCGATGACCTCACCGTTCTCGCCCTGGAGCACCTTGAGAGCGTCGTCGGCATCATTGCGGTCGGCGTGCTTAAGAATCGCGCCGGCTTTCTCGTCACTGGCGTTGCCAGGCAACGCCTTCTCAGGCGGGTTTTCGATGTCGGACATGATAGTGTAGATGGACAGAGAGAGGGGAGGGCCCGGGGATTACGTTGGGGGAGCAGGCGGCAGGCGGCAGGCGGGCAACATCTTTATTATGGGTGTGTTGCACATCATTGAAAGTCTAGCTGGTGGAAACGGCCCGGGGAAAGGCCAGACTTCTTATCGTGCCGGCAATAGCCCGGACGTCACATCCCGCCCGACTGGTTGATGAAGAATAGATCCAGCTCCGGGGTGGCACAGTGGGTGCTTCTGATGTGGTGCCTTGTTTATCTTTGACTGTCCTGAGAGTCAGGCCATGGGTGGTGTGTTGGCTTATCAAGAGAGCGGGTGTCTGTGCATTTGATGATAGATCGATACATGATTTCAACCTGCGCCAGCCTATCCATGTCCATGTGGGAATAATCATTGACGCAGCAAAGCGATCTCGGATGACTTGAATCGCAGCGCACCGAGACTCTGGCTTACAGCCCCGAACAGGGCAATTCTGGGTCCGCGAACAAGCAAGGGCCCCTGAGGCTCGCTTGGGTTATTTGCGGGGTAATGTGACAGCTGAGTATCCCTGTCACAGGGCCCTAAAGCGTTACATGAGGGTATTTCTAACCGGCAGTCACCGGCAAGTACAACGGGTTTGTCAGTCTCTATATCCCTAATTTTACTATCTCGTCGTGGTTGACAATATTTGGTTTCATTTCTATTCCATATACATCCGAAGCCATACACGGTGCCTTCATACAGTGCGATTGACGATGTTACTTATAAAATTTGGCCCAGGTGAACAGTGGTGGCTATCCATTGGTATGCTAGGATTAATAATATTGCCCTGTGTTGCCCCCTCCCCCCTCCCGCCGCCCCCCGATAGCTCCAATCACAAAGCAACACCATCTGTCTGAAAGCGTCAGAGGTCTCAAACTGTTGCTATATTCAATAGATTAAAGAAGAATAAGAGCGATGCCAACAAAATGCTTAAGCCCCACAACCTGTGATTACTGCAGTTGGACTCGGGAGAGATTTCTGGGAAACCTCAGCATGAGGGGCCTTTCCCCTTAAACAAGGAGAACCGTAGACTCTCACTGCCCTTTACAGCCGCATGCATTGCCGACAAGGATGATTCTGGGCTGGCAGCTCATTTCTTCAACGTCAATGTCTCACAGCCTTTCACGCTCTCCACAATCCACACCCTTCAACGTCCATAGGTTTGAAAGTGGAAATTGTCCTACGATAAGCAGTATATAACAGATCATTCCTGTATGGAATCAATAAGAAGCGCCACACCGACTGCCAGTGCTAGAGCCACCACTACAGATCACAGCTCGTCCGCTCTTCAGACAGACTACAGACGAACAATTCCTGATCTTCCTAAATAGAGCCGAGTCCAGCCAGTGTTTCTCCAAGCCATCCCAACGCCCCACCGTCTTGGTTGCCGTCTTGGTTGCCGTCTTGGTTGCCGTCTTGGTTGCCATCTTGGTCGGCCTCCTCTGGCATCGCTACTGCTGCTGCCGCTTGATCTGCCTGTCCTGGTCCATTACGTCGCACCCTCTTGGGAGCACCTTGATCCGCGGCATCCTCGTCCGCACCCCTCTTGTTGGTTCTAGGGTCGAAACTTTCAGGTATCAGATCGCGGTGGAATTTCCGAAGCCTCGACCCTGGCTCCTCGTAGCGGTTGGGATCGTCGTCGGCGTCGTCATCGTCGTCGTCGAAGAAGCTGTTGTATCGGTCCAACAGGTAGGTCGACCACTCCTGAAATTTCTCGCTGATGCCAGTGTCTTGATCGTCTGGATCATCGTCATCTCTATTGGCTGCCAAAGCTGCAGCGTGGTTTTCCAATGTCAGCAAAGCACAAGCAAGCGCGTGAGTGTGTCAATGTAGATTGTGAGATGTGTGGTTAGTGGTTAGTGGGACGAGTTTTGTTTGTGGGAGATGGAAAAGGTAGGTGTGGTCTTCGCTGGACACGGGAGCATGCGTCTTACCTCTGCCCATCTGCGCAAACATTTGATCTATCACAAATTGTTTCTGGCGCGGCGTATCACCTATGAGGAACTTCCTGTGGCCCGTCCTGTACTCAACTTTTTGATCAATGTATGGCTTGGCCTTGGGCCGGTAGTACTTGGAGGGGGTCGGGTCTTCGAGCTCGGGCTTCCAGAGCAGATCTTCGTCGAGCGCCTCGTCGCGCGTGATGATGCCCTGCCTCCTCTCCGTCTGGAGCTGCAAAGGCCACCTGTTCACGCTGAAGAACCTCTTGACCTCGCCCCGGACCTCGGGCCTGGCCCAGCTCCAGACCTTGGAGCGGACCTTCTCGTCGAGCGGGTCCAGGTAATCGTTCGCACGGCGGCCCGGCCACAGCATATTGTCTTTCTTCACGGCCTCCTTGATTATGTGGTCGCGTACAAGCTGCAGTGCGGCCTCTGCCGTCAGGGCGTCGTCATTCGCCCTGTCGGGCAGCGTCGCCTTGACAAGCCTGACCAGCGGGTTCTCAGCACCACGCTCCCACTGCGTGATCCTGTTGAACTCGGCCCTGTAGGCTTGGATTGCATTCGACATGTCACCAGCCGGCCTGGGCTGTTTGTCCTTCCACTTCTGCTCCAATCCGCCGTCGAAACTAGTCAACTTCCCCATGTAGTAACCCCAGCGGTATGCGAGACTAAGGAAGTATTGCTCCACCCTCTGGTCTAGCGGGCTATTGTGAAGACACCTTCTGACGAGCGACTGCCAGGTTCGCAGGCGATCAAACCGAGGAGCAGAGACCACGTCCTCGACCCTCTCCAATGGGCGGAGATCCTCGGAGCGCTCAGGCACAGTCCACCTGACGAGCTGTTCTGGATGGCATGTGGGGACGGGGCGCTGCACCCAACCATAGCACCGCCAGTCGGCTTCGTAACGGCAGCGTCCTTGGCTGTGGAGGCGCTCCAGCCACATCTGCACATCGTGGGCGTAGAACCTGATCCTCGTCACTGGGCCGTCCCTCTTGTCGTGAATGTAGTCAAGGAGGTCCTCAACGCTGACTCTCGTCCCATTGTCTGGAAACAGCGGATCCGAGACGTCGTTAAATATGCGTGCTAACTTGTCGGCAAACAGTATGAACATTGACGCGCGAGGCTCTAGCTGCTGCGTCATTTCGGGTGTGATGGATTGGGTGAGCAGAAACCGGATCCAGTAGATCTCCATCTTGTCGAGATCTCGGCTGTTGCCGTCCTGGTCAAGATCTCGTTCGCGAACAGATAGGAGATTAATACTCTGCTGCTGACCATCCCGTGTGTACATGGAATCTGCGCCGGTGAACCCTTTCCTGTAAACAACATCCATCTGCGCCAAGAGGGGTCGAGGTGCGATGTTTAGCTCCCGCTCAAACAGCTGCCTAGTAGTCCTCATCTCCCTCAACATCTGCCGGTGGTATTCGTCTGCAGCACTCAGCCCACTGTCAACATAGGCACCCCATAGTGACATGGGCGGCAGCACCGTCTGCTGCACTCCAGGAAGAGCTGAGGAAGATATTGATAACATGCCGAAGCCCAAGCGGCTTACCACCGCCTCGCGCGCCGTTGCCATTTCCCTGTTCCGGTCCGCCCAGAACTTGACCATGTTGGCAGTGAAGCCCTGGGGGTCGTCCTTGCCGTCTGTCTTCTCGAGCTGATTTGGCCTCAGCTTAGCTAGTTCGTACTTGCGCGTGGGTCCAGCGCCGGTGTTCTTCCGCATGATTCCGACCTCTTCGGCCGAGAGGGCCAGGCGAACACGGCGCCAAGGCGTATTGGCGACCGTGTTCTCATGGCTGCTGAACTGCCGCAATGCAGCCTGCAGGCCTGCGCGACGGCAAGCCCTCTCCCTCGCGTAACTTAGCTTGTCGGCCGCGAGCTCAGTGCCGTCGAACAGTCTCTTGGAAAGACGATTCCCGCCGTCTTCCAGACGTGACTCAACCCATCCTTGGAAGCCAATACCGTCCCTGGCGATACACTGCTCGAAAGTCTGCTCTTGCACGAAGGCAGCATTATTATCCAGTGCTTGGTCGGCGGCCTGCCACAGTGCTTCTTCGTCGTGTGAGAGCTGGTCTTGCTGCGTCGACCGGTTCTGTTCGGTGATACGCGGGTCTTGCTTCTCGACATCGGTAAGCCACATATCATTCACGACCGTCTCTGCCCGCGGGTGTGTGGGGAACTCCGAGGGCAACAAGTGATTCTGGTCGTTGTGGTCCCTGCCAAAAAGCAGTGGCAGCTTTCCGTTGTACTTCAACCTGGGCTTACGCGCAGGGATCATATCCGAGGTAACAACCTTGTTGGGCGTGTTAGGCCCGTAGTGGGTGTCGTTGAAGAGGGTGTGCGCCTGGACCTTTTCAAGCAACTGTTCGGCCATGTGTCTCGATTCGGGGCCTATACGCGGGGCCTCATCACTCGAAAGGAGCCAGTTCAAGAATTCGTGCACCTCTGCAACATTCCTCTCCCAATGCATTTCCCGGTCGATGTCCCCTTCGTCGAGGAGGATCTGAGCTGCCCTGAGTCGCGTGCCGACCGGCGGCTGAGCCTGACCGTGCCAGGTAAAAGAGTGCAGCATGTCAGCTGGTGATGGCTGCATGGGAGCTGGCACGCTGCCATCAGTTGGAGGGGAACCTGGCGGAACAACAGGAGGCCCGGGAGGAACAGGAGGCCCGGGAGGAACAGGAGGCCCGGGAGGAACAGGAGGCCCGGGAGGAACAGGAGGCCCGGGACGCGTGGGAGGACGCGTGGGTGTGTCGTCGGGAGTCAACGGCCGGAGCCCGGGATCAGGTGTGGTTGATCTACCATTTCCACCGCCAGGTTGTCTCCCTGAGGGGAAAAAAGTGGACGTCGGCGGTTGAGCCACTACCGGCCCCGGGGGGAACAAAGTAGGACCAGGCGGTTGTGTCACCACCGGCCCCGGGTGGAATAAAGTAGACGTCGGCGGTTGTGCCACCACCGGCCCCGTGGGGAACAAAGTAGGACCAGGCGGTTGTGTCTCCACCGGCCGCGTGGGGAACATAGTGGGACCAGGTGGTTGTGTCACCACCGGCCCCGGGGGGATTCGAGTAGCACCAGGTGGTTGTGCCACCACCGGCCCCGGGGGGACTCGAGTGGGAGCAGGCGGTTGTGCCACCACCGGCCCCGGGGGAAATGTAATGGGAGGTGGTGGTCGTGTTACTGGCGCTTGAGGTCTAGTGCCCGGCGTGGTGTTAGTAGTTCCTGATGTGGTCCCGCCAGTACCAAATATATCCCCAGCAGGCGTTGTTGTTACCCCCGGGGGGACTCGAGTGGGAGCAGGCGGTTGTGTCACCGGCCGCACTGGAGGAAATGTAATGGGAGGCGGCGGTCGTGTCACTGGCGCTTGAGGTCCAGTGCCCGGCGTGGTGTCAGCAGTTCCTGATGTGGTCCCGCCAGTACCAAATATGTCCCCACCAGGCGTTGTTGTTACCCCCGGGGGCACTCGGGTGGGAGCAGGCGGTTGTGTCACCGGCCACCCTGGGGGAAATGTAATAGGAGGCAGCGGTCGTAACACTGGCGCTTGAGGTCCAGTGCCCGGCGTGGTGTCAGCAGTTCCTGATGTGGTCCCGCCAGTACCAAATATGTCCTCAACAGGCGTTGTTGTTACCCCCGGGGTGAACGTGAAATTTACTGCCGTTGACTGGTCTCTGGTTGCTGTGGACAAAGCATTGAGATTGTTTGGGGGCAGGAATGTCGTAAGTGGGTCGCCCGTGAATGTAGGGAAAGTCACTACCGGTGGCTGTGAAGTATTGCCAGCATCGGTGGTGGGATTCGTGTCTCCTGGTCTAGTCGGGTTCGATGGTGGCCAAGAAGTAGGACCGAAAGGATTGTCGCCAAAAATATCGACGTTCAGAACTCCGCCAGTATTGGTGCCTGCCACAGGTGCTGCTCCTGGCACACGTTGGAAGCGATGGCCGCCAAAATGGCCTGTGAGTTGGTAGTTCAGGCGTTCTGCGGGCGACAACGCGTCGAATTCCTCTTGGTTAAGGGTAGCTTCAGCCTGAGGCAGCGGGACGAACGTAGGGAACAAGTTACCGCGCCCAAGCTGGGAGAAAGACGAAGTGTTAGTCCACATCTAGAGGTTCTTAAGGAGAACATCATGCCTAGACAAGATTGAAACCTCTCCAGCTAGGCACTTGCTTGCAACAAATCATCTAGGTAGGTATTCACGAACCGTATTGCTCGGGTTGTACTGGCTTCGAGCCGCGTCATCTAGCGGAGGCAAGTTTGCCGCATTGAATCTGTTCCGGTCATATCCTCGGAAAGCTGCTTGAATATTTGGGTCACGAAACCACGCTTCATTTCCTGTCCAGACGTTGTTTCTGAAATTCTCTGCAATATATGCCGTGATTTCATAGTCCGATCTGCCCTCGAAGTGGCTTAGAAGGGCTCGCCAGTGTTGATGCGCCGGGGAATTGTTGACACGGCCCCGGAGCCTTGCGACGAAAGTACCATCGAGCGGGGAGAGTACTGCCGACGCCATCTGGAGAGATGGCCAGAATTTGACTAAGTAAATATTCAACTGGCTCTGACAGCAGGGAGTTGACCTCCCACGGTCATGAATAAATTAAAGTGCGCCGTCGTCGTCTCAAAGAATGAGGAAGGGTGACGGGGAAATGTGTAGGCTGAACTCTTTTGCGCGCCACAAAAAAGAAAGAAAAGCAGGAAGGGAGGAAACAATCTCTCTGGCTGGATGGACGATCCTTTGCAATAGACATATTATCTGCTTGCGCATGTTGCACGCTTGCATGCATCGCGAAGGACAATGACCGTGTCTGCTGGCCATCCTCTCAGCGGGGACATTGAATCCGGCCGGCCTCTTAGAGCGTGCTCACTAAAGTGGCGGCGGGACACCTACCCGGCCTGCATTCCAGCCGCGGCGGATACACCGGGTTGAGCTTCCACACTCGGCCAAAACGAACACGACAATGAATGACAGCCGCCGTGAGAAGCCAGTAGTTGAAAGCCGCCGCTTTCGGAATGCCCCTGACAAAACGTATCCCAGCTGTCCCGGCTGGCAGCGCTCTTGTTCCTCAAAGACGCTGCCGGCATGGACACTGGAAACGTCGCATCTTTGTTCCAAGCTCCACTGCGGCTTCGCTGTTGTAATTGAACGCAGTGCAGAACACCGTGGAACCCGTGGCCTGATGGGCCACGGGTATCAGCATGTCCCCCGGTGTCTCAGTGCTACCGCGTGGAAGTCAGCTAGTGATCAGCCGCAGTGAGCAGAATCAGCAAACATGGATCGTGAAGACCATGTCGGAAATCCTCGGACAAGACTGGAAAAGAGCGTACAGCAACTGCGATCCCAACTGCAACTCGTCCGCCCATCACGGGGTAGAGTAAACAAAAATGATGGCGGCCAAACTGTCGGATCTGTCAAGGGACAACAGCCTGGCAACTTTGCCTCCTTTGCGGAGGCCGAGAAGAAGCACGATCAGAAGATTAGCCAATTCTCTCCGAAGCTCAAAGGCGCCGGGACACAGCGAGTAAAAGGCCCCGAGAAAAAGACCCTGTCGTCCGATTTTGAGGGCTTGAACGCAGTATCGTCGCTTGAAGAAGCTGAGTTCGACTCGGGACCACAAGAGGAGACCGAGTGGCAGCCCTCGTTAGTGATAGGGTCATCATCTATCGACACCGGAAACCCCAGCGCGAAAGAGGTCGCTCGTAGAAACATGCTGCAGTGGGAACACATTCACCAGCACCACCGCAAGCAGTCTCCTGGGAGCTTCCAGCTGAACATTTTGGACAAGCGGCGCCAGGATGCAGTCAGAGAATATGAAGATATCTGTGCCCGGGCAGACCCAGAGGACGATGTGCCTCGCAACGAGACGCGGGCGTTCAAAGAAGAGCGCATACAATCTCGACTCTGCGTCCTGCAGGAAACCCTTGCTCAAAGCACAGAGCCTGAGTGTGAACCTATGAGAGCTAACATCTCAGCTGCGATCCGCGGGTACCAGGAGGGAGACATCGAGTGCTCGAGCACCTATACCTTGATCTTTGCGGGGAAAATTGTCGACACGACCTGTAGGACGTGGGCCGAATTCGCTATCGACAGGAAGAAACGTCTGGACGAGTATTTCGACAAGCATGGCCCTGGTTTCCTCTGGTGGGAGCCGCCGCTGGCCGATGGTAAAGACGGAGTAAATGCCAAGAAAGCACTTCTTCTCGATGTCAAAAAACACGTCGAACCCGATGTCCAATTCCGAGATGACCAATGTCATTTGCGAATACCTATGTGCTTTCGCAAGGAGAACGCCCTCACATGTCGAATGGAAGGCACAGAGGGGCAGCAGAGCATCTTGAGGCAAGGCGCTTCCGACAAGCCAAGGATCAAGAAGAGGAAATGGGTACGCGTAGACGATGACGAGAGCTGTGCCGACGTATTGAAGAAAGCCAGGGGCATGGCTGCCGATGCCTATGAGCCGCATATACCACCTGAGAGGGCAGCAAAAAAAGGGGTACTCAGCCAGCCTTTCCCAGCGAGCGTACGGTCATATGATACGAGTGGAATGCTTACTTTCGAGATGCTGCTTGACAGTGGTTGCGAGACCCCAATCCTGTACCATGAAGATTTCGTGTCCTTGGGCTTCACCAAGAACGACATGAACGCTGCAAGCGTTACGGTCGTCCACGGCGCCAATGGGAAGAAGTCGAGTTTGAAGCTCTTTGAGCTTCTTGCGGGTGTCCAGCTCTCTGAGGACTGTTCCCACGACCACGACCTCTTTCCCACGCAAATCATAAAGCTTGACTGGATGCTGAAGCCGCCAGCAGGGTATAGCGGCGAGAGATTATCCGGAATCCTTCCTTTCCTTGCGTACTATATGTCCTTTGCGCCAGGGATGGACATTGCCCACTTGGGCGATGAAAGAGGCGATGTCCTGGGCATGCAACGGATCCCAGCCGGGCTCAGGTATGACCCGTTCGTGAAACTTCGGTTAGGCGAGCATAGGGAGAGGTTGTTCAAGAAGCTCCAGCACAGAAACCCAAGCAAGATTGTCTTTGAGCACCGGAGAGGAAGTGCACGGCGAACATTGGTAGAGGAAGAAGTCGACTCTGACGCCGGCACGTCACGAATCACGCTGCTCGACACCGACGGGACAGTGATGCAGTCCTGCAAGATAGAGACTCCCCAGGATAGGAGGAGACAGAGGTTGGTCGAGTTTGTCGAGTGAGAGCGCAGTTCTTGAAGGAGCAAGCAATGCCTCACAGGCGAGATGAGAAGAACCATTTCAATCTTCTCCATGAATATTGCTCCCCATTACTTGCTATCCCATCATCCAAATTGCAAGCTGCCTTTCCGCGATGAGATCAGCGCGAGCCACAATCTCGGTCGTGACTACTTGATATGCTTGTTTACACGACACTGGCGTCTGCTTGATAAGCTCGAGGGCCTGTAGAGGATACGCCTTGGCCTCACCTCCTGGCTCCTAGGTCTCGGTCACGCTATAGATAGCTGGCCAATGACCCGCAGCTCCATCACTTGAGTCTGACATGCTGTCCGAGGCAACAGGAGGCCTGGGATAGCAATTCCATTCCTGGCGTACTTGGCGGTGTCTGACAGAGTGTGCAGGCGGCCGAGGAGACGGCACGGGTGCTGGCCCGCGAAAGGGGGGATGAAAGAAGGAAAAACAACGATGCTACTGGCCAGTCGAACTTGCAGGAAACCAGGCACCACGTCTCTTTAAGACGCGCTCGAATATCAAGCTCGCGTGAAAAAGGCTGTCTCTGAGTCAAGCAGACCTCTGAGATTATCGCATCCGACACATCTTAAATTAGCAGTGTCTCGGGCGCCTTGTGGACGGCCGTCTTGGCTCCCATCTGTACCTATCGATCCCGTGCAATCCAGCGGCTCGGCTGCGTGGCTTGCTGCGACGTTGTGTGAGACATTCAGGGCGTAGTCGCTTCCGTTGGATGAGCACCTTGGGCAGCGCGTTCTAAAGAGCGGCGGGTTCCCGGCCCTGACAGGCTGCATGTGGCACGTCGGAAATCGATACCTGACGCCATGCTGTGTTGATGGATAGATAGCCTTGCCAGGGGACAGCCAGGGGACTGGCACCAATTCTAGAAAATGCAGTTGACCTTCGGTATGGCCCCTCCAAATGCGACCTGCGCCATCGCCTCTCCGAGAGGTTGGTGCGACCGAACGAGCACTGGGTGGCATTGCACCAAACTGGCGGTTTTGAAATCCAAATGCGTATGTCTCCATCGGGCAGTGGTACGATCACCCTTCAAGACAACGTGCCCTTCTCATCTGCGGATACTGGGGAGTCTTCGCCAGGTGATGGAATTGACGGCGGGTATACCTCATGTCAAGACTCCGATCGTCACCGGCTTCAGCTGTCCCTTGGCCGATACTTTCTGCCACGTCGTGCCGTTTGCCGGATCGAGCCACTTGGCTCAGGCGGGATTGAGAGCTAGGTCTTCTCAGCCCAGGGGAGCGATGGGAATTCTGGAGGGCAGATAGAGTTCGCACGTACAAGGCCACAATGACCATGTGAGTGTTCAGCCCAAACGCCACGAGTTTAGTGGCATTCCTCCAAGCCCAGGGACCCGAACACGCCGCAGCGTATGGTTCACATCCCTCAATCTAAGGGACAGCCTTCCAAACGGTGGTCCGCAGAGCGATCAGCGAGACCAGCTCGACGGCGATCACTCCAGCTGAAGCAGGGCAAACTCTCGCCGTCGAAGCCCAGCTGATGAACGGGCGAATAAGGCCGCCACTACGGGGCCGCCAGCTGTCTCTGCGGGAGGGTAACCACAGGGTTCTCCCGAGCGCGGGAGGTTGAGAGTTGAATGGCTCCGCGCCGCATGATGCAAATTTGAGCCGTGATGTGCGTAAGGTGGTGGTCCCGTGTGGTTTAGGAGGGACCATCCTGGAAATCCAGGCTCCAGGCTCTCCCGCTCCACCCAGCTCCCATCAAAAAGGTAGCCCCTGCGGCAGGCGAGAGATCTTCCACGGCATGGCGCCTATTGAGATGAAGATTCATGCCGAGCTGGGCAGCAGACAGGGACGCTTGCGATAAGAGGGGATGAGAACCGGGCACGCCCGTGAGAGACTGGCGGGCTGCTGCTAGCCGAACGGCTGCCACCTTCTCACCAAGTAGCTCCCGCTTTCGAGGCTTCCTCGGTCGCCTGGTCGTGGACGGCGGGAGCTGGGCAGGGGCAGGTGGGGCGGCGTGGTTGGTCGAGGCGGATGCAGCCAGAAGATCGAGCATCCCAGCTGACGGGAGATTGCCGCAGGCCGTGGGGGCGCTGTCCCAGTGCGCGAAGGACGTGGCTCGACGCGTAAAGTGGTCTTTAAAGTGGTTTTCTTTTTTCTTTCCTGTTGGTGACGTGGAGAGCTGCATTGGAAATGGCGGGCGGCCTGGCTGCACCGTGCAGGCTGGGCTCAAGTGCTAGTGTGTCGTGCTCGACCTGTCTGCTGCTAAGCTAGTACCAAGGTACTTACTTAAGTAAGTATGTGACTTGCCTATCCTGGTCCTGGCAGCCTGGTTACGCGTGTAGACACGCGTTGCACTGACTGTAAAGTGGTAGAGGGGGAGACAAACCGCGCCCCAACCCAACAGCTTGTGACAATACCGAGCGGGCGAGCGTGGAAAGCTACTCAGCAGACACTACCACCATTTCTCCAATGACCTGGCCGGACCCAACCGCCGGCGAACAGACATCGCAGCCCGCTCCCCTCTCACTGCGACGCTCGGCGCGGAAAAAAAAAGTGTGATGTGCCCACTCCGGCTGATTGGGCTGCCAGGCGAAGCAAGTTTCCCAGCGGCTGTTCCTGATTCTGTTTCGAAAGGCGACCAACTGGACAGCAGACGGTAGCACCCGACCGCCGGGGAGCAACTCTTCGGGTGAAAATTCTGGACTGAGGCCTTGCTAATAGCATCCTTGCCGGAGCTATCAGGCAAGCTGCGGCCTTCGATGAGGGGTTCTCGCCCGGTGCACTGGGATGATTGGTTGTTGCTTGGTCTTGGGCTGGCGAGATGCGTTGCGCATCTGATGTTTTGCCTTTCGAGCTACCCCACTGCCCGATTGCGCGGGCAATGTGATTCCAATTTCTCACATGCAGCTCTAGTTGCGGTTTCCATTTGTTCGCGACGCCAGGAACAGGATCGTTGGCGTCTTTGCCTCCCAAGGGCTCGGCCGCTCGTCTGACGGCTTGCCCGTTTGGGAAGCCGTCTAACCCAGACTCGGTCTCTGACTGCGGACAAAGTGCAAAATCCAGGGGCGACAAGGCTACGCAGGAGCCCGGGTAGTATGTACAGAAGCCATGCTTCGACAGAAACGACATCATCACGCAGGGCGGCTGCATAACGTCTGTCACGTAAGGAATCCTCCGCCTGAAGCCTCTGCCACGTAATGATGTGCTACAAATAGAACCAAACGTGCTGAAGTATGTAATGCGGCTCGTCGACTGGCGATGTGGTAGAATAGTCCCTCGGACCCTTGAGCCCAGGAACAAGAGTATGTACATGTGCATATATCCTAGCCAATCCAGCTTTCAACATGCTTCATCATTTGTGTCTCAAGCTCAGGGTCCTGTGCCCACGGCAGACGCCTGTTCACAAGGGCGCCGCAGGGAGACGTGTGGTGGGTGCATCGACACATCACCAGCTTATCCTGGTGGTCAGGGCGGGGAACTGTGCGACGATCTGTGCAGGAAAGACACCACTTGACTCATCTTGTCCTTTTAAACGCGGGCACTAGGACATTAGGACAGGTATCTGGTCGCCTCGCTTGAGGAGTCTGACAGTGCGATTGCGGACGCTCAAGGTGCGACATGCCTAGACGCCTTGCCATCCACGGTCAATTGACTTGTACCGACCGAGTCCAAGATTCAATCGATCAGGTTCGCCAACAGACATAGATATACACAAGCGGCACTTGAAAGAAATACCCTTCGAGGCTCTGCTTTGGGAGGCACAAAAATTTGCGGAGTGAATGACCGGCCGTCATTGGTCTGAAAAATCACGTCCTAAGGAGCAGCCGGTGACAAATAGAAGTCGGCAATCCACCCAGGCCGCATGTGTCTAAAAAATTGACGTCAGGGCACGGCCGGTAGGCAAAGCAAAGCAAACGCTTCCTCGGAAATGGTCTCGAATCCTCGGGTATGACGGGCCAGACGGTCACACAGGGTCCTGAGACGGCATCTGATGCTCATCAGATGTTGGGCAGCGGCCGAGTGGCAATGTCGTCCCAGGGAGGGATTCACGTTACCGTAGATCCGGTTCGAGGGCAGGCACGAGCCAGGCACGAGCCAGGCACGAGCTGAGCGTGAGCTCGCGTCTTGTACGCGTGGTGCGAGAGTCATCGACGGCGTAAAAAATTGCTACCATCTCGTTGGTCGTTCCTGTTCACCGTCCAACTTCGGCCCGGATTATGTCGCGGTGGCGTCGTTGAGCAAGGAGTCAGCTCTCCGCAGCTCACTGCAGCGGCCAGCCAGGCTCGTAGCTTCGCTGGCATCCCTGTTGCCGGTCAGCTCCCCCTCACCAAAGAGGCGCATCGCCATAAGCTAGGTCCCAGGTGATAGGGTCGTCCGCGGTAGAGCGCGTCTTGAGACGCGCCTGGCGCGTCACCCCGGTCGAGTCCATTCCAAAACCCCCCGACTCAGGACCCCATCCCATCTGATCGCCGAGCTCGTTTCCGGTCTTGGCAAGCCAGAGGCAGTGACACTTCCAAGCGTGCATCTGTCGAGACGCCTTCCGGATGCAGAAACAGCGCTGATGCTGCAGCAAAATGCCTGTCAAGACACGGTGAAACTTTGCCGCCTGGCTGATGGATTGATCGCCGTGGTGCGAACTCGTTGTCAAAATGTTCTTGACAACTCGGTGCTTCTATGTGATTGCAGTGTTCTGATTCCAGCCATCACCGCCATCCAGCACACATGTTCTCCGGCGGCCTCGTAAACCTTTGTCATGATAGAAGGCACCGGGGAGCTCCGGGTGGAACCGAGACGCCGACCGAGACTCCGAGGCCCTTGCGAGGGCTTTCCCCCGGAAGGAGACGGCAAGTTTGAAGGTGGAATCAGGTATTTTAGAGTTGGGCCCGGCCTGGGTTAAAATCAACCGAACTAATCCAGCCAGGCAACCCCGGGAGCAAGAGTGAAATCTCCTGAGTCCGTGCCAGAGTATCGGTACAGGCGCCCGACTTTAGGCTTTGTATCTGCAGTGCAACGCCGTGCGTGTGCGCCACCGCGGCACGCAGCACGCAGCAAGGCTGTCCGATGTCAGTCGTTCCCCACTGAAACAGCGCTGTGGGAGGGGAGGCTCAGAGGAGAGCAGAATGACCGGGCCTGCAGTTTAGTCATGATGACCAGCACAGGCTGACCAA